GGGTGCGGAAACGGAGAGAAACCTTGGTACGGTCGAGCCAAGCCTATCAAGATATTGTCAGCAACAGAGGCATGATGGGCGGTTGAAAGACTCACACCCAGAATATTACCAGCGGTGACGGCAACGATGCCGCCCAAGAAAGATCCAAGAGCACGGGATCGAACAGAAAACCACACTGCATCAGTTAGTATCATGTGTGAAGCTAGACCGGGGAGTCTTACAGGCAAGATAAGTGAAGAAGACGGATTCCGCAAAGACAGCCTGTCCAATGAATAGAACGACCAGAAGGAACTTCTTCGTGAAGAAGAGTCTGGCAGTCTCCTTCAGCTCGAAGCTAGGAAGCTTATCAATCTCCAACTTGACCGTAACTCCATCTTTCCTCTGAACCTGATGCGGCTTGCTGAGCAACAGAGCAACGAAAGGACCAACAGCTTGGAGAGCAATGAAGATGAGGTAAACAGTGTAAGAGACCTTTCCAGCCTCGTTACGGTCGGCATTGAGACCAAGATTGATGGCACCACCAAGGATCTGACCGGATAGACGGTAAGTGAGCCAGTAACCTAGAGCTTTACCGCGGTTCCAAGGCTCAGGATATGCGATGGCGATAGCGGCTTCGGCCATCCAGAAGACACCGGCCGAGATACCGCAGAGAGCAGCGCCGACAAGGACGAGCCATTCTGTTCCAAAACGGTTGTTTGTGTAAAGACCTGCAGCATAAGGTGCATATCCAAGACTAACTCCCGTCAGCGGCGTTCACGAGTAAGTTCGTGTGAGTAGACGTACGTTCCAAAGATCAGAGCACCCTTGATGCCGATATATCGAACCATAGCACTCGAGAAGTAACAAGACACCACCATGAGACAGAATGTCAAGGCATTGGCAGCGTTGATGAGCTTAGGCGAGGCTGCACCACCGGCACCAAGCGAGTTCATGGCTACCCAGATACCTGGGGCAGACAAGTTACACAAGCCCAGCACTGTGATGTTGAAGAATGTGGAGCGATACCACTTGACTGGGCAGGATTAGTAGAGGACGTGCATATGGATAGTGAATCTTACCAGGAAGAAGCTGATCCTTGGGAGGAGGAGCAACCTCACTGTCTGCATGTCGATTTTCTACCGCCGTCATCTTGTCTTGCTTTCAGAATGATCCTGTATGAACTGAAGAAAGTTGAAACAGAAGAAGAAGCTTGATAGCTATCAGAATCTTTAGCGAGACACGGCTGTAAATGTTCTGCAGAAGTAGGCACAAGATCAACATTTATATTTCCCTTCCCATCATGAAACCACCGCCCAACACGATAGCACCAGCACGCAATCCAACCCTTGACCACACCTACAGCTCAACTGCCGAAGTCCCAGCCCTTTGGGCATTAACTCTTCTAGCGCAAAACGTATATCTGTGGCGACATTGCGTTTACCAGAATCTCGGTATGAATCCGGTTCGAGACTCGAAATGTTTTCCTTGCTAGTATAGTCTCATCGTTTGACTTGTCCTCGGTTACGCTTCAAGTATCAGTCTGTGTACGTGGAGGGAGGATCTGAGATCAACTCCCCGAGAAAGATGGTCCCATTAATGAAGCTAATGCAAGGGTGTTTAGCGGCTCCGATGCTTTAGTGCAGTCGTGATAGATTAGACGGGCTCTCCACGTGGAGGTGCGGGCGAGTCGCGCGATTACGTGCGTGGGACCATGTCATGACGAGATCTTGCCAAAAGCTCATCTTCAATTTATTGTCGAAGCTACTAACTGCCTATGGAATGCTCCACCACTTCTCATGAATATCCCGCAAATCGATCTTATCTGGCCTCTGTAGATACGGCGTTTGATCGGCCTCTACGTCCGTCTCTCTCTTGGTCCATCCATTGCCCAAGTAATGCGCAAAACGGTTCTTAGAATCACCGATATACTTGTACTCCCAATCTTCCCATCTAGGTTCCTGTCGCACAAATGTGATATGTCCTGCGCTTCCTGGCCAGAGCCCGTGAATTCTAGCACCAGGTCTGCCGCCATTGTACCATGAACTACATTTATCTGTAAGAACTGTCTTGGCGAAGAATGCGTCCGAGTACTCCACGAAGTCGTCTGCTGCTTGTTTGGATGGACTCAGAGACTTGATGCCCTGTCGCGAAACCTTGCGGAGGACCTTGGCGAAGTATGTTAATTGCGTCTCGACGCTGTGCGGGACAGTTCCCGATGGCCCTGTTGCTTGCGGTCCATGGACGAAGAGAAGGTTGGGGAAACCAGGCGTTCCAAGTCCAAAGTATGTGTAAGGATATCCATATGTTCCATCGGCCTTCCACAGGTTACTGAGCTCCTGTCCATGAGCGCGAATGGGGAATGCTGGAACCATATCGACGTTCGCACCAGTCGCGCAAATGACAGCATCGACATCTCTCTGCTTGCCATCTTCAGTCTCAATACCCGTCTTTGTGAAGCGCTTAATCCGTGTTCGTATGTACTCTACGTTGTCTTCAGTAATGGCCTCGAGATATCCTGGCCCAGGCGTAAGACGTCGGCAATTCGGCGAGAAGTCTGGTACGATGTGCTCAAGAAGTTCCGGCTTCTTCACTAAGCGCTTCTTCATGATGTCGATGAATGCTTCGCGGAGCTTCTGGTTAGACTCACTGTTCCGGAAGAACGAGTCAAATCTGGTCCAGTATAGACTCTCGAGGTCCTTTCGGAAGGCCAAGTATGCGTCGGGGTCCTCTGCCCATTTCTTCTTCTCCTCTTCAGTATATGGCTGGGCCTCAATCTTTCGCTCTTCACCAGCCCAAGATGCAGCAATCCAGGTTTTATTTCGGGCATAATGATCAAGCCGCTTGACAATTGGTTGGAGGTTTGCTGTGACTTGGATACCGCTCGCTCCATTGCCAATGACAGCGACCGTCTTATCCTTGGGATCAAAATCCGTGCTCCAATTGGAGGCATGGCGAAGGTGTCCTTTGTACTCAGATATTCCAGGATAGTCGGGTAATTTCCAATCATTGAATCGGCCGATACTGGTCAAGATGAACTCGTTCTTCTCGACCGTCTCTTCGCCTGTCTTCACATTACGCAGCTTCGTGATCCACACGCCCTCTTCATCGTCCCAGGTTGTTCCCTCGACTCTGGTATTGAGCTTGACATATTTGTAGACGTCAAATTTTCGCGCGACTGATTGCCAATATTCGCGGATCTCGTGGCCGGGTGCGTACTTGTCCGACCAGTCTGTCTTGGGCGCGAATGTGCTTTGGTAGACGTGCGATGCAATATCGCACCTTACACCAGGGTAAACGTTCTCAAACCATGTCCCTGCCTATGCAGATGTCAGTATATCAATCTTCAAGCAGTTGGATGTTGGGACATACCACATCGGCGTTCTTCTCGTAAATGGTAAGCTTGATACCAGGGACTTTGACTGGTAGAAGAATGCCTGCTGTGATGCCGGCCAGACCAGCGCCAATAACACCGACTCTCAATGGGCGTGGTTCGTCAACGAATCTGTCGACCAAAGTAAGGCGAGGGCTGTAATAAGGCGATGTCTCGTCTACGTCTGGCCCATCTCGTACGGTTGTTGATGATGCGCTGTCCTTGGTCTGGGTAATTGGGGTTGACTTCTCGGCTGGCGCACTCTCTACAGCGACGCTCGATAAGTCTGACTCTCTATTATTGAAGCCATTGATTGCGCCGTTAAGCACTGCTGCGGTGGCCATTGTTAATTGACGGGAATATTGTGCTCGGGAATGATGGTGAAGGTTCAATTGCCGATGAGAGCTCTCCAAGCGACAAGACTTGGATACTCAATACCTTGAGCTATTCTTCTATCCTTATCGCATGTTCCCCATGAGCACGTTAGCTAGCTCTTCTGTTACATCATGTCGTAATCTAATCACTCCGCATGGCCATTCGCTGTTGCAATTCCCCTTCCTCTTTCACCATATTGCGTCTTTGTTAGTCCCAATCACGCTTGTGCCCCACGCTCTTACACCATCGTGGCCCTGTCGGCTCAACATGAGACCCTGAAATCTCTACCCAATCAGCTCGAAAGCAAATGAATTACCGTCGCTTCCGATATGCGGAATGAACTTGAAGTATTACCTGAGGTTGGAAGATTTAATCCGGTAGGCCGTCGCCCAACTTGGCTGTCGCAGGTTTCAATGACGCCCGAAGATACGAGACCTTGGCTCTTCACTCTTATTCCATCGAGCCTTTGCTCCTGGGTCACATATAAGTATGAAATTTTTATAAATTCACTTCTAAAAGTACATGAGACAGACTAATCATGTAACTGAATGCCCTAAATAGACAAATCATCTCATCTCATGCATGTTGATCCAATTTCAACATATCATATCCTATATAGTAATTCAGCACCCCATGGTCTTATTTGTCGAGTGCAAATTTTTCCCCAGTCCACCCATAAGTTCGATAAAGTCTTCGGCCATGGCGTCTAGCAATGACAGAGGGTACTGTATTATGTGAATGAGCCTCATGAAAATGGATACTCCCATTAGCTTCCAGAGTATATGGCGAGAATTGCCAAACAGAACTGTATAGCTTCACGGCAGCAAACCCAACTGAAGTTAACGCATGCAAAAAGTCGTTCCATGGAACTTCACCGGGGGTAGAATTGACATCCGGGTCATAAAATAGAATGCGGAACGTCTTGAGTGCTTGTCGGTCGACCTTGAAAACCGGTTTCGGATCCTCAAGCGTGACTTCGGAGAACGCTTGACTAACGGAGAAACACGTCTCTACTGATAAAGACGAAAGAGAGAAAGTGGCGACTCAGGTTGTTGTGATCATCTGGCAATTTCTCGGTAGATGATACGACGCTCACGTACTTCTCCTGCATTTCTCGTAGGCGTTTGGTAATTCAATGGATTTTTGTGAAGATCTCGACCAATGTGTACGCGTTAATCAAAACGTCAGCAACGGCTGCTCCCCATGTGCTTGTGTGTTTTCTTCTGAAGCCTATGAGTTGCACATGATCGTGCATATCGCTGATTTGTTCCACAAATTAATTGGGATCCTCGCGCATCGTCCAAACATGATCCTCTGCAGCCGCGACTTTGGCCGCAAGTAGCTTTTCAAGGTTGGCAAAGTCAAGCCGAGTCGGAACACGGTAGGGGGCTTCGACAGTTATCTCGAGCAGGGACGTTTGTATCCCCTGGGTCTGGGTATTCAGGGGGAGTTCTGGCTCAGGCTGAACAGAATAAATATCACTGAACAGATTATCTGGCTCGATGTCGTGAAGAATTTGATGGCAACATTTGACAAGGAAGTCCATTAAGCGCTCCTGTATCTCTAGAATCACCATGCCGAATGACGTCGAGAATTGATTTTGAAGCCACTTCTTGCCATATACGTCAGATGTAGGCCAGTCATAGTCTTTGGTTGACAAATGAAGCCAGGTTCCCCGGTCAACGTTTGGGACTTCTCTCAGAGTTCCATAAACGTCGCCAGAGGAGACGCCACGGAGGATCAATTGCATGCCTCTCGTGGGGAACAGCGGGCCATCTACTAGCATATCGGCCAATGCTGCTCTCTGGACGTATTGTGAATCAGTATCAATGAAGAAAGGGGGCGGATGGCGGCCTCTGGAATTAAGAAGCAAGAGTAGCGGCGTAGGCTTCCCAAGGGAGTCCTTGTTGATAAAAAGCCACAGTATTGAACTATGATGCTTGACCTTGACCGTGGCATCCGTCTCAACCTGGCGCCAATAGTCATAGAAAGGTCGATGGGTTGGTGGCATGTCTGGCCATGCACTAAGAAGAATCTGGAGCCGCTGTTTTCTACTTTTCTTGAGCCATCGTTTTTGTATGCTCTCTTCGTGTCTTTCGAGAATCTTTCCAAGGATTTCATAGTTTTGAAAAATGCTTTTCCCTCTTCTCTTTGACTCGGCTTCAACTTCCTCTGCTGAGGTATTATTCAATGGGAAAGGGTAGGAATCTCTACTTTGTTGTCTTGTGTCGGGAAAGCTTTCATCATGAGGCATTTTTTTCTCTCGGAATCTGAATGTCATATGAGACTCTTCGAGTTCACTATCAAGAGAGAGGTAATGCCGAGGCCACACATAGAGCAGCACAAGGTGTTGTTTAAACACAACACAATATAAGGCATCATATACTACGCCTCAAAATACAATAACCTTATTATCAAGTCAACAGATCATAGAGCTGCTGCCTTAAACCTTAAGATCCAATTGAACAAGTGGCCTCAATCCACAAGCATAAACAAGATGTTTCTCGAGTTAGCTATATTGCTGGTTACTTGGTTTGATGCTGATATTTTGGAATAGGCATCTTCAGGATTGAACAGTCAAACAATACTCCGCCCCATATCATCTCGGCAGATGACCCTGCCATATCAGTAGGGCTATAAATTGTTGAGGCCTGAGGAGGTGAAAAGAAAGTTAAGGACTCCTTTCCAAGTAAAAGAGGAGAATCAGATAAGTTAAATAGAAATTCAGTGAACCTTTAGCCTGATTTCTTTTGGCACCCTACTCAAAGATCGGACTTTTTCTTTCATCCTCAGAAGCCCCTCTTCTGCCTCAGCCACTGTTACCTCGATAGTACTTGGCTGATACGTGTTTTGCACAAACGACAAAGCAGTGCTGAATTCCATCTGTGGAGCAAAAACATCCTGCTTTTTATCACGTCTATTAATTACGTCAAGTTGATTCCTGCAGCTTTAAATTTTATATCAAAGGGAAACACTGGGCTGTCGATAGCTGAAGTCCTCGTAGTAGCTAGTCTCTTAAACTATCGCTCATCAGATCATTTTTTCGAACGGCAAAATGTTTAACGCGATACCAATTCCATTATTCCAAAGTCCTTAATTATCGTTTCCCCATACCCCGCGTTTGTCACGTCAATGGGTCTGGGGTAAACGTTTTGGCGACAACAATGAGTCACAAAGAGCCGATATCAACGTATAAATTGCGCAGAAGATCACATCAGTTGCGGGCATCGGAGAACATAGTTCATTTCAATTCAAAATGTCTTCTGAACCCATCACATTCGCCATCATTGGCGTCGGCCTAATTGGCCCTCGTCACGCCCAGACTGTGATAAAAAACAACCAAGCAAAGCTGGTAGCTGTTGTCGACCTCATGCCAAATGGCGAACAACTGGCTCAAGAGCTTGGGGCTGCCTACTTCAAGTCTGTGGCCGATATGTTGCAATCGTCAAATAAGCCTCAAGCAGCCATTATCTGCACCCCCAACCACACTCACGTCCCTCTGGCTCGCGAGTTATCCTCAGCGGGTATTCATATCCTCATTGAAAAGCCTTTCTGTACAGATATTCAGAGTGGAAAGGATTTGGTGGACCATCTTAATAAATTAGATGTCAAGGCTTTGGTCGCGCATCATCGACGATTTAACCCCTATATGATAACTGCAAAAGAAACTGTTGGTTCTGGTTCTCTTGGAAAAGTTATTGCAGTGAATGGAATTTGGGCGACTTATAAACCAATGGATTATTTTGGTCCTCCTCGAGAATGGCGAAGAGAGAATACGGGCGGCGTTGTTCTCATCAATCTTGTCCATGAGATCGATCTGTTGCACTATCTCTTTGGCCCCATTACACGGGTTCATGCAGAGAAGACGATATCACAACGTGGCTTTGAGGCTGAAGAGGGTGCAGTTCTGACACTTCGTTTCAAGTCTGGTGCCGTCGGAAGCTTCCTGTTCTCAGACAATGTTCCGTCACCACATAACTTTGAGTCCGGCACGGGAGAGAACCCGTTGATCCCTAAAACTGGGAAAGACTTTTACCGTATCTTTGGCACCGACGCATCATTGAGTGTGCCAGATATGACTCTGTCTTCCTATGCTGAAGGTCAAAAGTCATGGCATCAGGAGTTAGTTCAGAAGAACGTCCCTGTCCCCGATGGCGTGCCTTTCGAGCTACAGTTAGATCACTTCATCAAGGTGATTCGTGGTGAGGCGAGCCCGAGTTGCACACCAAGAGATGGCCTAGCTGCACTTGTTGTCTGCCAGGCTGTGAAAGAGGCATTAAAGGAGAACAAAACAGTGGACATCGACGCTTTTGATTTTGAACTCTAATTGAGCGGTGTTTTGGACTCTTCAAGATTTCTGAAAACTTAAAGATGGATTATAGGGTATATTATAATAGTAATAGTATACAGAGGTTTCCTAGGTTATACTTTGAAATATGATAATAGGTAAAAACTATTTGATTCTCTGGACAACCATTCGTCCCAAATTTATGGTTCTCTTAAACTTTTATCTGCAACAAGTTTCCATGATCAAAATAGTCCCCTTCAGTTCCACTTTCATCAGATACTGACAAAGGAGAAGACTTATGTTTACAACAGCAAGCTACATTGTGTAATGTCCCTTAATATGCAAACTCCTCATGTAAGCCGAAGCACGATACAAAACTATTCTATACCGACTTCTGAATGATATCTTAGTCGTCAAAAAGAAGATCAAACAGCCCACTAGCAAAAACAGGGCCTGACCGGGGATTGAACCCGGGACCTCTCGCAAACTATAGTTCTTTATGAACAGAACTGAGATGTCACTCCCGAAGCAAGAATCATACCGCTAGACCATCAGGCCAGATACTAGATCCTGGGGGTATCAGTGCGTGCCAGAACCAGGCGCCTATAGACATGCCAACTCCAGAGCAGCTTTGACTGCAGGTCTACGGAATTCACAGACTATTATTTCGTATGTTAAACAACTTGAGCTAGTTTATTCTTCAGCATCAAGTCGCAACTCGAACGCTCGTCTATTTTGTAACCTGCTTCCCGTAGAAAGTGGTGATTATCGGCGCTTCGTCCATGAGAGGCTAGCAGACGGCACGGCTCGCAGGATCTACAGCACTAGCCCGTGATCGATGAGAACTTATGAGAGCATTGAGTTGCGGTTCGGGATTTGGCTGTAGCCATTGTAACACTATGCTGAAATATTTGGGATTTAATGGTAACATTTAGGGTATGGCTTTGAAAGGTCGAGTTCCCCCTGGTATCGCAGGACGCAAAGGTTGGCTGGGGATCGTGGTTCTTCAATAGTTCATATCATTTGGCTCCTCTGTGGAGAAACAATTTACTTTATATAAGGCCTCGTTCTATCGTTGAGCTAATTCTAAGTTGTTGGGGACCTGAGCTATGCTTGACCTGACTATGACAAGAAAGTGGTGCAAAGATTGATTGTTTCTGACCCTTAATCCCTTTTCTTGCCAATTCTTGGGAGACATAGCCAAAGACCCAGCAATGCAGTCAAGAAAGCCAGGATAATCGGCTGGAGAGTCTTGACGCCCTTGGCTTGGGCAATAGCACCCACGGCAAAAGGCAGAATCGCGGCACCACTACCACCGAAAGCAGCTGCGAAACCAATAGTACTAACATGCAAGTGCTTGGGCAACATTTTTGTAGTAGCAACGACAACTGCCGGGAATAAAGGACCGAGAAAGAATCCTTGGAGTGCTACTGTTACGGCCGAGACATAAAAGCTCGGAACCAGCCAGAAGATTAGCTGCAGTGCCATAGCGGCAGGCAGATACAGAGACACAGCAACTTTGACACCAAGGAGTGGAGTCACGAACCCCAGAATAGCACGGCCAACGGCGAGACCCAACCAGAAGCCCATGGAGGTCATACCAGCTGGGTAGTTCTCAGCCTTTCGCACGCGGATCATGAACTGGACGATCCAGCCACCGACAGAAACCTCAACACCAACGTAGCAGAGGAGGAATGCGGCACAAAGCCAAGTGACACGAGCGAAAGGAAGCTTGAACAAGGCTTCCTTCATGCCCTGGTTGTCCTCGTTGCTGGCATCCATGGTTTGGCGATAGACTTCTGGGCCATTGGGCCAGAATGCCCAGGTGCAAGTAACAAATTCGATAGTGGCCAACCCGATCTGAGTACAGCGGTTAATATTGTGCCTTTCATAAACATATCAATATGTGCGACTCACCATAACATAGTAGAATGTATACCAAGGCAAGTTGGCCTTTGCGATCATGTTAGTTGCGATAAGAGGACTGATGACTCCTCCAACGCCGTAAAAGGCATGAAGGAAGCCAAGAGTCTCATTGGCCTTTTCGAGATTGCCAATCCAGGCATTCCAAGCAGCATCACTGATCCCGTTTCCGAAACCAGCGAGACAGTACGCAAGAACCAAGACAGGGTACGGAGGGTGAACGGCGATAATGATGTAGGCGAGAATATGGCAAATTCCGCAAGTAATACCGATCCCTCGCTGTCCAATCCGTCGATGCAGTGTATTGTTCAAAACTGCTGCTAAGATATAACCAACAAAGGGTGAGAGGAAAACAAGGGATACTATGATGTAACTCAGGTTGTAATATTCTTCTAGCTGCGAGCTGTTAGTAACTCAGCCCTCGGAGGAGCCGATTTACGTACGTATGGGATCAAGGCCTGTCATTTTAATGTCAGAATGGTATCAAGCAGAGGACTTCACAGGAATCATACGCCGTATGCAGCATCGTTAGCCCCGGAGGTCAAAAGACTCCAGAACGCCGCTCCGGTCCTGAAAACATTCTGGCGGGGATATTTCCAGCTCTCAGCAACCTCCGCGGAAGCATTTTGTGCCGCGACACTCTCAAGACCACCGTCTGAGTAATCTTCACCGTAGCGAGAGCCAAGCCTCCGAGTTTCGTCAAAAATACCCGATCCCTCACGGGCCGCAACGGAAGGGGGCTCGTTGACTGCGCGAGACGTCAGCTCGTAGGAGCCAATTGTGGCTGTAGAAGAGGCAGCCATAGTGGAGATGTGCTGACAGGAACGGAGGTTTAGGTTAAATTTAAACGCCGACTATAAAGGAAGTGAAAAACAGGAGGAGGATTCTCAGCGACATGATGAGATTTATGTTTTTTAAACTTGTTTGTTGACGACACCATGTGGATCTTGAATCCGGATAATTGTTCAGCATTTGACGATGAGTTGACAGTATAACCAGATCAGGAATGGATTTACGAGACCCAAGACGGTTCGTCGGACCGTAGTGGAAGAGCCTCGGGTAACAAAATAGGGGCTAACATTTTAAGTTAGGTATGCTTATTCCTCTTACGATTGTGAATCATGGCTTCGTATGCTCTATCCCAAGAAGCGACAGTAACAGTAGCAGTAAGCAGAGCACATACGTAACGTACAGCAAAAATCCTTTATCCCGTCTCACATGCAGAAACAGCATCAGCACCAGCCAATATGCAATAGATCAGCGTTGGATCGCATCGGCATCGGCCTTTGCCAAGACACCCACCAGCGGGTTCGACGCATGGTAATCTGAGGTGGGCTCCATAATGTAATTTGGGTACCGGTACCACCTTGGCCTGGGTTCTCACTATATTCACAGTGGCAGTGACGGAGGCAGGGGGGCTTAGTACCAGTCAGCAAGCGCAAGCTTCTTCAAAAGTCCAGACCACGTTGGCGTGAGACCATTGGACTCTGTGGCTTTTTGCTCTCCCTCAGCTGCTCTCCCAGGAAGCCAATGAACGAAATACCAGCCCTACCAGGAACCCAGCCATGTCACCCCCCGACAGAACCAGAAAGCTCAGCCCTGAACGGCGACATTGCAGAGATGGGTTTAGTGCTGAATCCAACAAGGCTGGGAATGGGTGGGAAATGCCGTGGTCTCTTCTTTTAACCCTTCAGGGTCTTTTTTTCTTCTTCTCATCCTCCCCTCAGATAATCAATCACCTGCGAATAAAGTCTCAACTCGTTGCCAAGCAAAGGCCGACCTCCTCCCGCTTTTAAGCTCAGGGCACTGCGGGGAACTGACCGGGCCGCTAGGGCCTCTCCAAACCATAACTCAATTTACCTACAGCTCCAGCTGCAGTTGAGTTCCAGCTCCTCCCGTCATCATGGAGCTGAGGGATTACCCTGATCACGATCCCTCTTCACAACCCGCGCAATCGAATTGGGAGCCCACGAGTCCTTCTATCGCTAGGAAGCCTATCGGGTCCGCGAAGCAAAACTCGCCGTATACTTCCCCCGACTACTCGACCTCGTCCTTTGCCCAGCGCGCAACTCATCAACCATATCTTCAACGGCAGACCACGACCGATACGGCCTACTATGGCGCCTCGACGCCACTGGGAATATGGGAGCCCGCGTATCCTCACACGCCGGGTACCGGTAGACCTCAGAATTATAGGGAGGACAGCAACGCTTCACTCTTGATGGCTAGCGAGCTGCCGAGGAACAGTCCCCCCGATGTACCTCAAGGCCCTCCTGGTATGCCTAGTGCTCCTGGTGTCCCTCCGGATGGCCCTCCTCGAAATAGATTTATAAACTGGTGGATACATGAATGGAAGCCGTCATGGAGCATGTACGTCCTCGTCTTCTCGGGGATCGCATTCGCCGTGGGCCACCATTTCTACTATCGGGGACTTCATGGACAACTTGCCACCGACCAGCAGGGCAAGTTTCGATACGGCGCTCTGTTAGCATTCCTTTCAAAGGCCTGCTTTCTGAATGCCGTGGTGCTTGCTTTCCGACAGCGCGTCTTGATGATGATCCGTCGCAAGATGCTTACGCTCTCCACTCTTGACTCGCTTTTCGCGGCCTCCGAGGATCTGACAGCCCTTCTCAATTGGGAAGCTTGGGTAAACGCCAAGTTCGCAATGGCACTGACAATATTCATCTGGACATCGCCTCTAATCGTTATTTTTACGTCTTATACTCTTACCGTCGTCCCACAGCGGAAGGAGGAAATAACACGCTGTCAAAATGTTCGTACTCTCAATTTCACACATGAAGAGACTGTGTACTGGAGAGACCCTGTCAGAGTCGATGGCTACTTCGAGTCGTCCGTCTCCTTGTGGAATTCTACCGCTCCGTCGGGAGAAGTACCCGATAAGAACAAGCCCGAGGAGTTTGACTATTTCACGGCAGCGAGTCGTCAATTCAACACAATCGCTTTAAAGACAGCATACACACAGCAGGCCATTATGCGCCCGAAAGCGCCCGCGGAGATTTGCGGCAGAGGTTGGAATTGCTCTTATACTATTGAGTTCGTTGGTCCCGGATACAAATGTACGGATTTGGCTTCGGGAGTGAAAGCCAAAGTTAAGAAGCTAGGTGACGCAGAGTGTCCTTTCGACACATCAGTCCTCGCTCCCATGGGAAACCTCACATACTATGCAATGCTGGACCGAGGAGATTATGAGAACCCCCAGATGGTCGCAGAAGCTGGTGGAAGGCCTAAGGCGAAACCGCCTTACCCGAGGAACTTTGCTGCCTTCCGGACAGAGCCCATCCTCTGGTTCGGTTACGCTGATGTTGAAGACAGAACCAAGCCGCAGCCCGACAAACCCCAAGAAGGCGACTGGTTCAAAGCCTACACCCCCATCATTTTTGGCTGTGAGCACTACCAGACCAAGTACAAGGTTCAGTTCAACCACAGTGGCGGGGTTCAGTATCACGATGTCAAGGAACGCAAGTTCCTCAAAAAGGTCATAGATACAACCTTCATCCCCGATAAGAAGGACCCCGATAAGAGGCTTAAGGACCGGACCGTGGCGACGCCAGAGGACAACTACGTGTTCCCCAATGACACCAAGAATTATCGCTTGACAGCCGCTTACCACGCCGTGGGAAGTCAATTGAGGGCCATCTTGAATGGTACCACCACAATGCCCAACTTCAACGTCAACAGCGAGATTCTCCAGACGAGATTGCTTGATCGTCTCAATTACCTGCCAGTCGCGAATTTTCCCCTTGAGGTGCAAAAGTTCTACGAGGAAATTCTCATATCATTCCTGTCTGATCCACAAATGTCTGCGGTGTCTTGGGCAGCTGACCCGTCGAAATACTCAGGTCGATTCGATAGTGGCCCAGACTTGGATTACCCCTGCGTCAGATGGCAGAATAGGAACTGCTTCTTCTACAATTATGCGCAATTATGGGCAGTGTACGCGTTATCCATGGGAATCACCATTCTTGCGGTGGCGTCTGGCGTGAACGCCATGGAAGAGGATGCCATGATGCGAAGTCTAAGCTTCTCCGCCATTCTCGCAGCCACAAGAGCTTCCAGTCTTGACAAACTTCGATGGGAGAGGGAAGCTGACGTCAAGAGTAGCAAGATTGGGTTTGGAATTGTGTCTGATCGAACTGGCGAGAGGACTTACTCTTTCGGCGTTGAGGGTGACGTGAGCCAGGAAAAGGCTATGACCACAGGGCGCTCACCAGGTCTTTCGGTGATGAACTGGGGAGACAGGGCGGCGCGCAGAATGAGTTATGCGATGGTGAACAGGAGGGAAAGACAGGAAAATTAAATGCTTTTCTCTATTTCTGGATGGGTTCTGGTACAGGCTGGTGCATTGTTAGCGTATGGCATTGAAGCAAAACACATTTGGATATGAGCGCATAGCGTTGGATATTTGTGTCGCAAAACAACATTTTAATTTACGAAGACATGACCTTCATTTTTACATTATCAATTGAGTTTGAGTTTGTGTAAAGCTTGTATGATCTGCCGCCGAGACACCCGAAAAAATTGTCAAAATCACCTTCCAATATCCTAATGATGCCTCCACTATCTAACAACACATTTAGTGAGGTCAAAGGCTGCACAGTCAAAATAACATCCATGGTCACAACAGTGTTCTTAATCAACGTTTCCCACCACGCCAAAAATACACAGTGATCTTGATGTCAAAGTTTGAAGAGATCAAACAGCACATGAATCCACCTTGCTTTCCTCATTTTACAGTTTCTACTGATCATTGTTCTGGCGCACCTGTCAAATGATCCATGTCAATTACGGTGATACTGGTGCCACACCGCTAAGAATAGAGGCCAAGCAAATCTCAGTGGAGTACTTTAGAGCTCAGCTGTGCTGCCTGTACTGTACCTCCAGCTGCCACTTCAGCTTGCGTGTCCCAACCGTGTCCTCCGCTTCACACGCTCACACCCAAGATGTCCATCCACGCAGCAGCTGACCTCTCGGACGCTGCATTAGGCGGTCCAATTCGAATCAGAGACGAGCACTTCATCGACAATTACAACCGCGTCCTCTCCCTCCGCGGTCTCAACATCTCTGGCGCCTCTAAACTACCCACTGAGCCAAACGGCCTGTCTCATCTGGATCATGGCTTCTATGAGAGCCATCGCATCGTCACTTTTGTGGGAAGACCTTTTCCATTGGAAGATGCGCCGCTGCACTTTCGGCGTCTGCAGGCTTGGGGTGTGCCCTTTGTGAGATTGCTTGTTACCTGGGAGTCAATTGGCCATGCTGGACCAGACCCTGAGGACCTGGATACAGAGTATATTGACTACCTGCGCCAATTGATCGAGCTCATGCCAGACTATGGTATCAAGTGCTTTGTTTGTGCGCACCAAGATGTTTGGAGTCGGTACAGTGGTGGAAGTGGTGCGCCTGGCTGGACGTTTGAAGTTGTAGGTCTCGATATTGAGGCCTTCACCGACACAGGCGCTGCTTATGTTCACAGTCAAGATGAGAAGAAACGCGCGAGTGAACCACCAAATCCAAAAGAGCCAGGCGGCCCATTCTTGTGGCCTTCGGGTTACCAGAAGCTTGCTGCGTCGACAATGGCGACTCTCTTTTGGGCTGGTGATGCTTTAGCTCCTAATCTCAAATGTCGTCGCAAAAAGGACGCTGGCGATGAAGTCTCAGCACAGCAATTCCTTCAAGATGCCTGCGTTGAAGCTTTCGGTCGCCTTGCAGATGAAGTCAGTCATCTTGAAGCATGCATTGGCTTTGAACCTATGAATGAACCCCATCGCGGCCTCGTCAACCTTCATCATTTTCACTTCTGGAACTACGACACCGACTTACACATCGGCCACTGTCCTTCTCTCGCACAAGCTCTCGCCCTTGGAAGTGGCTATGCCCAAGATGTCGATTACTACGTCAAATCATGGCCATGGCCAACTCGTGTATCCCACAAGTCTCGTATTGACCCCAAAGGTCGCTCTGCATGGTTGTCCCTCAAAGACCAACCTGTCGGCCACGGTCGGGGAATGGGCGAATGCCTGTGGCGCGCCCATGGCGTCTGGGAGTGGGACGAAAAGAAGAAAACAGCACGCATTCGCGACGGTGATTACTTTGAAGTTGATCATCGACCGGGTCGTGAGGGGAAACCCATTGAGTGGTACAACGACTGCTATGCGCCTTTTCTGCAAAAGTTTACAGAGCGTGTGTCGCGCAAGAAGGCGAAGCAGTTTAGCTTCATTGAACCGATCCCCAATGAGTTCATCCCGCCTTGGCCGACGCAGGATCCTGATAACAAGAAATGGCTTCGGCAGAAGTATGCCGAGAAGGAAGTGATCAAGGTTCCACGCCCACAGAACTTTGTGTATGCGCCTCATTTCTACGATCTTAACGTCCTTTTTAGCAAGAGTCATTCGTGGATGAGCGTCAATGTCCAAGGTCTCACGCGAGGCATGTTCGTCCTCAACGCGCTCTACTTTGGAGTCGCGGGACTTCGACACAACTACAGAAGGCAGCTTGGCAACATCGTCAACTACGGAAAACAATCCCTGGGTAAAGTTCCCACGGTTATTGGTGAGATTGGCCTCTCGTACGATATCAACAAGGCAGAAGCTTTCCGCACAGGGTGCTACGACACGCAACGCAATTTGATGAACGGCTTGATCTCCGCAATGGAGGACAACAAGCTCAACTACACACTGTGGAACTACAACCCAAATAACAGAGTTGAGTACGGCGACGGGTGGAACAATGAGGATTTCTCAGTCATCAATGGTGACGAGGTCAGCGAGAATGGTCCCGTACGACCTGACTACCGGAATCATCTTCACGAGCATGACGAGCTTTACAAAGGCGGTCGAATTCTCGACGTAATCATCAGACCGTATGCTGTGAAGACAGCTGGTATTCCCAAAAAGTCCAACTGGAACCATAAATCACTACGCTTCGAATATGAGTGGACTAGTACAGCGACCAAAGAACCTGTCGATGAGAAAATACACCTCACTGAGATTTTCATCCCGGCGTATCACTACGACGCACACAAGCTACGTGTCCGCGGAACGAACGTGGAATGGACGTATGACAAGCCTCGTCAGACGCTATACGTGCGCAGTAGTTTGGCTGGGTACCACAGCATTATCGTGGCTATCGAGAATGAGGCACAGCATCTTCTTGAAAGGGGACGACGACGAAGGGAGTTGTATCCTCCTCAATTCCCATTCAACTTGGTTTCTCCAGGTGTGGAGGACTTGATAGAGGATATTGACTGGTCTAAGATGTTTGCATACTTGCCAGTTGTTGTTGTTATCTTGATTGCTTTTTTCATGACGCCTTTGACCTCGTGGTTGCTTTAGAGGGTAGAGCATAGATCTTCTTGCGACCCCACCGGTTTAGATTGGAATAGAGTTGATAATGTATTAGGCAGGATGTCTTTACACATAGACAAACAGATACGGGTTGATGGGAGTGATGGATCTTAATCTTGGTTTGATGAGCCTCATTCCCGCAGGTATATCAAGCAAACAGACCAGGAATTAAAAGAAGAATGGGAGAAAGGCATAGAGAGTAATCACATATTTAAAAGAATCGTTGTCTTCAACTGTTATTATTCTTGCATGTTAATTGTTGTGAAATCGTGACCGCTAATCTATCAAAAAAGGACTTTTACTCTGCATCTAGGGGGCATCTTGGTGCAGTATTGTTCACCTGAATGCCTCCTCGCTTCTTCTCCTTGCTATCATGGAAAGGGAGAGCCCAACCACCTTCGGTTTCGGGAGTAGATAGCCATAGCCGAAGAAGATGTCTTCGAGGGACAGGAGGAAGGTGGTCTACAGCATGTTAGTACTTTCATAGCTAATATGGTTGTCGAAGGAGGTATCTTACCTGTGTATGCTGTTCGAGCATGAAGGAGATGTGTGTTGCTAACGAACTGAATATCTCCAACCTCAAGAATCATATGCAAAGCTAACTTCTGGCAAGTCTCCTCCAGCACAGTCATAGCATGCTTCTGCTCCTCACTCAGAGGAGGAATAAGACCCTTGTCAGAGAATCTTGTGAGAGATCTCACAAAGTAAGGATCCCACTTGCAGTAAACTCGACCCTGGCCACCGTTCTCGATGTAGAAGATGGGGTTTCGGATCCATTCCTCCTCACCAACTGACGTCTCTCCCTTGCGGTCAAAGTACCAGATTGGTTGTGTCAGAAGCTCAGCAACATCGGGGTTATTCTTCTGAAGATCGTTCCAGACATTGTGAATGCTGACAATGTCACTCTCGCCACCTTCCTTGGCACGGTGGACGCAGAGAAGACCGACGATGTCGGAGTCATCGGCATGGAAGTATTGACGAGCTGTTGTGCGGTAGATACGAACGCGGTCGATTTGTGTAGCGTCATCACCGACATCCTTGACGTGACCGAGGACATGGCCCAGGCCGTTTTGGGAGACAAAGTAACCGATGTATGTACCAAGACCCATGTAGGCTACTGCGTTCTTGAGAGGACCCCATTCTCCAGCTGGGAAGCGTTTGAAAAGTATGAAGCCCTTACCGTTGAGAAGGTCTTCTCGAAGAGTCCCGAGGACTTTACCCAAGTTTGGAAGAGGGAAGTTTGACTGAACATGTTAATTTTGAAACTGTGTTATGATACTGTCATCATACCTTGGAGATGCCAGTGAGGGGAGTGCCACTGGCAATGAAAGCATCAGCGGTATCGCTCAACTCTTGAATCTCCTCATCGGTGAAAGGATGGGTCCATCGCTCAGGTGAGTTCTCGTAGTCCTCCTTTTTCCAAAGCGTAGGGCCAGTGATCTCCTTGGGGAATTCAGAGTAAGGCTTCAAGGCATCATAAAGAGGAGGATGTTGACCCGAGGTACGGATGCCATCGGGAAAGATTGAGCGAGGGGCATCTGCGTTCTTGACTTGTGGGAGAGGAGTCTGAGAAGACTCGTCGATGAGAGCACCTGGAGCCATTGTGATTGATGTAAAGACACTATAAAGACAAGACAACAATTCCAATTTGAGTGGTGAGTTAATTGACATCCAATTCTATCCTCGGCAATGATCTTATATATACCCTTTTCCCCAGGTATCATCCGTTACCGGCCCCCGCAGTGTAATGACGCCTTTGTTGGTGTATTGCGTGCTCGAGCTACAATATCACGGAGTCGTACTCCCACCATCAGCGAAACAGGCTAAGCATGTCAGCGGCGAAACTAGCCAATCAGAATCTCGAATTGAGGATGACGTTATTTGCGATTGCTACGAATCTGGGGTTTCTGCTAATTGAGGTGGTGCCAATTGAGTCTTACACAGCTTCTAGGTTCAAGAGAGATAATCGGGGTGTTGATTAGCTCTTGGAATTTCCTAATGGGGACAGACGTTGCGATTGCGCCATTGCTTGGACGGACAATTGCCGTTGAGGTGGCTTCGGGATTGTTAGTCATAATCAGATCAGATTAATCTTCTGACAGCTCGAATTTATTGTCCGATGCGATTCACTATCTTATCTGCTTAGGAAGTTTAGGTGTTTCAGTGGTGATTGAAACAAGCCTTCGAGAGTAGTCACTATGTGTTCCAGCTCCCATCTTGTGATAGGCCGCATCTCTACGTCAGCGAAATTAGGCTGTTTTCCTGAAGGGATAGCTACCTTACCTAGAGAGAGCTACCGAACCCTTTGTACATTTCAAGCTCGGCTTCGCTATTCCTTAAGAGTGCAGTGTACGGCATGGCCCAGGTATTCTGCCATGCGATCTGATATTTTGGGCTCGCCTACTTATGTTTACTGCTTCTGACTTAAGATACGCCCTCCAACGCACCCAACTCCCTCTCAGTTCTCTAACTTCACACCATTTGTCATACTCCTATGCATACTCGCAAGCAATAACGCAGCATCTACTGTGATATCTGTTCGGAAAGATGTTGCGCACACGCCGAGTAGTCTTCCAACCGCGATCTCCCTGTCCCGGAACGCCATCCTCCCAGGCGATACTAGTCGTACTAACCTTAACAAACCGCCTGTCGTTTCCTTCGAATATGACATCTGGTACACTCGCCCAGGTTCTATAGGCTACGTTCGCTTCAGGCCATAGTCGATAAGAAAGACTCGGCCAAGTGGCGCAAGCCAGTATACAAAACTCCGTACAGCTCTACGGGCCTTCATGTGAGTTGAAGGACGTTTATAATCAACCAGAAAAGCATTCTCTGATTTTATAGCCTCATTAACGCTTTTCATAAGGTTTGGACCGGGTCCGATGCCCTTTGTGATGACTTCGTCCAAGTGAGGTGGTACATGATGTCCGCATTCAAGATACTTGTAAGTCTAGCCGTAAAGCGATTATCGAAATATGATTTGAATATTCCTTTGGTGGTCTTTGTCATGATGATTTCCCTGGACTCTGTGCATGCCCTCCACATGCCCCTGTCTTTACCTTTTTCGTCACACTCGCTTGTTGTCTCGTGTCTTACCTCGCATCTTGTCTTGCCTATATGCGTCATGCACCTATGATACTATCTCTCTCTCGAGGATGAAATTGAGTGTCATCCCACTACTCGGTTTAGGGTCAGGGCGGTTGGATGAAGTGTTGTCTTTCAATGGGTATACATGGACTGTATGGCGAGACCGAGCAAGAGCGAATTCCCATATCATGAGTCGTAGTTCTGATGGTAACTTGGCAAAGCCGGTGAAGGTTTCAGGTTGTTCTGAGTCGGGTGCGTTGCGGTACCGAAGAAGACATGCTGTAGGGCCTTGGGGCTCTTGCTCGATGATGGTGGCCCTTCAGAGTTCTAAAAAGAGCACGATCCTCAAATGGCAGCATATCTTATACTAAGATCCCTTGAAGTATTGAATAACTTACGCGAATGTGTCACTTACAGCTAGTCACTGAGAGATCAAAGCCTTGGCTATGCACCTGAGCTAGTCAATTTGCCTCTTTACAAAGGACTCAATTTGACTGCAAGGGAGCTTCTTTCTCCTTTCAGAGAAAGACCTATGATAACTCTTGTATCCACACGATTGAAGTAATTCTCAATGCAACTTGAAGTTAATACCAAGCGGAAATGAGAGGCTAATGGCATTTCAAGTTAATTAACAGGTAGATCATTCTCTAGCGCTCCAGTTTCTCATGCATAGTTTACATGAAAGGAAGACACACGAAGGAAAATTATGATCACTTCTTCATTGCTTGTAAGTTCAAGGCAGCCAATGTCAAAAGAGACAGAGAACCTCTTCATAATATCAATCATCACTGTAAATACTATTTGAATGACCTACAATATTCTACCTAACGAGTTTGATCATATCCTCAGATCTGCGGCCTAGCGAAATGCATTCTTTGTTCTTTACTGATATGCTTGGGCCAAAGGGCTTTCTTTCTGAAGGGCTGCCTTGGTCTATCTGCTAAGATATTGACAAAATTCACGAAACCTTAATTGTTTGCTATTGTTTGCCATATTAATCAATGATCGGAGAAGGCTAAGTATAATGGAACTTGGAAGTCCTTTGATAAGCGTAATTGGTGATAAGATTAGTATCGACTGTGTAACTTGCTACGGAGTACGGAGAGATAACGAAAGCGGATTTATCCTCGGAGCAGATAAGAGAGATAGGCGACCGCCGCGACCCGCTCTAACGTGGACCTCAGATAGCGATATAAAAGACAACCAAATCCCCTCGGCTTCACTTAAACAACAGGCTTAATACCAAGATTTGTCACAGGCTTGCTACAAGTATTGTTCAATCAACATCATCGCAATGGCCTCTCAAATAACCGTCACTCCCATCTCTACATCAGCCGAGTCAAGCATTGACTTCGGTGCCATCGTCCCAAACGTTGACGTTGAAAACATCAGTGGTAAGCTATCATAAGCATGCTCGTGAATGATTGAAATAACGCATAGTGGGAGAATACCCGTAAAATCGGTAACCTCCTCTGGTAAGTCACGTCTCTCGTCATGCATGAGCCCAGGCTGACTGTTTCTAGATGCCGACTTTGACGTAATCCGTGACGCACTCTTCACCCACCAAGTTCTCGTCTTCAAGAACCAGAATCATCTCTCTCCTAAAGCGCAGTATGAGATTACCCAGCGTTTCGATCCTGAAGCTGCGGGCTCTTATGGCCATGGAAAGACGATTGACGCAAAGCGCTCAATCCTCCATCCTGACCTCAAGACCATCCCTCATCAACCTCAAGTGCAGGTCATTGGAAATGGCTTCGTTGAGGAATATGAAGGACTGAAGAACATTCAGCTCCGACATCCGCATCATCGCACATTCCACGCCACCACTATCCCTGATGAGAAGGATCTGGACTTCACCAGGTTCTACAGATGGCACATCGACGCCGCTCTGTACGGCCTCGCTCCTCCAGTGGTGACATCACTCCTCGCCGTCCGTGTTCCCGGAGGTCGCAAACAGACCCTCGTCTATGACGACGGATCCAATGAGGAGTTGACCGTCCCGCTTGGTACTACAGCCTTTGTGTCGGGTTACGCCATGTACGACCGGCTTTCGCCTGAGGATAAGGAGTTTGTGCGTACCACAAAGGTTGAGTACGCTCCGCATCCATATGTTTGGATGAGTGGTGCAAAGTCCCGCTCCGATGGCCTGGGCTTGGTCTCCGAAGGCAAAGAAATTCCTGTCGAGAATCTTCCGCCTGTCGAGGAGGATAAGATCCAGATCCTTCCTATGTGCTGGCGTAACCCTGTCACTGGCCGTTTAGCACTTCAGGTTCATCCTTCTGCCGTTCGAAAGCTGCACCTCGCGGACGGTACTGTGATTGATGATCTTGCTGCCGTTCGTGAGCGTGTCCACGAACTTCAGCGTCCTGGTATTGCTCCTGAAAAGGTTTATCCTCATGACTGGGAGCAAGGAGATCTTGTTCTCTTTCATAATCGCGGAGTGATCCATTCAGTGGTTGGTGCTTTTGCGGAAGACGAGGTCAGATTGTTCCGACAGTGTAACATTGCTGGCAGTAAGCTGCCTGAAGGGCCAACGCCTGTTGCAGATGGTGCTTAGACGATGCGTGGCAGCTCGATGAGAGACGAAGGAAAATATTTAATAGATATACGTGGTGATTTTAATAAGAAATTCGCTCTCCCATGAACCTTTTCTAAAGCCAAGTATATATATTGATGTCGACATATCCATATATTTAGATACAATCGAGTGTTAATCTAGTCAAAAACTTACTTAACATAAGGTTCTCTTTCTAATAATTCAACTTGATCTGTCTTACTGATATATTCGTAAGTTTACATGACTTCTAGGTCCTAAGTTCTGTGTGGTAATTATAAGCTCTCAGCTATAGGTCTCAACTACGAATAACATATCAGCATATAGTTTAAGTCTTTTACTATAATACCTTGATAGTTACTACAGAAATAATTACCCAAAAGTAAAAAAGTAGATCATGGGGTATAAGATGCTCAATAGCCGCAAGCGATGGGCCTCTCCTCCAGAGTACATTCTCTAAACCTTTCTAGGCTACCCTATCAACATAAGTCCTTTCTCTCAATATATCATATCGAGTATCAGCCATACTCAACAATCCCAAATCTTCTTAGAATTCTCGACGGGCAACATGTTTTGTATATCTAGCGAAGATTTTACCAAAGGTAAGCTCTGTTGACAACTGAAGCCTTTCATATCTCTGACCTCATGACAGTCTTTTTCTATACCTCTTTGGTACATCTAAGTCTCCTCGTGACTCTTCAACATTTTAGTGGCCACTTCTTTCCTAACTGCGACGCTTCGGAGTGGATTCAGAAGATGACTTCAACTATGTATAACTTAGCGGTCTTGTCATTTCTTTCCTTCTTGAACGGGACAGTTCTTGTCGTCTGGGGTAACCTGAAGAGTACTCCTGAATCTTTCAGACGCCAGTTTTTGGTTCTGGGATGGGCGATGCTGTTTGTTTGGTTCATCATACAGTTTGTGTTTGTTGTAACGCGTCCGGAAAGTCCAAGGCCGAGACCAAACTAAGTCAAACATGACTTACTCCGGGGGGTAGCTAGCAGTCAGGGCCACTTGAGAGAGAGGTTCAAAGTGGTGAATAGTCGAGTAACAGGCTCGTTGGTACTTTACACTAGTAAAACAAGTTTATAGAGAAGAGATAACCCTTTCCGCGGTCCAACATATCAAGACGAGCCCATCCAGTGTTTGATCTCCGATATTGCATCCCTAAACAATAAGTCTGCATAGGATTCATGAAATTTGAACAAGATCCGTGGCCTCAGAGGCTTGTTTTGCACAGGGTTGCAAGTCATGGACTCATAGTGAATCTGCACTGTTTCTTCATTCTTCTCTTCTTTCGTTCTCACAACCACGAATCTGTGAACTCCTGCAAACACATCACTGTCACTTCCAAATCCAAAGTCTACATGGCTTTCAGTGCGGTTTGGCGCAACCTTGACGCCGATTTGAGTCTCCAGAACTTGAAAGACTCCATATAGAATGGTGTTGACCGGAGGTAATGAAACTTCAGGAAGTTCTGTGCATGACCACAACTTTCTCGGGGCTGGCCCTGATTCTGTTCATTTCGTTAACTACGCAATCACACTGAGGCAAAGGACAGACTCACTTGAAAAGTTGACAAGTGTCATACCAAGAGTTGAAAGTGCAACTCGTTCCGGTCTAATCACAGCACCTCCAAAATATCCTTTGACGAACTTCGCCAATAGAACTTCGTCAGATACATCACGATGTTGAGGCGGTATGTCGAGGGTGATGTATCGAGAGTCAGAATCGTATATGTGCTGTTTCGCGTTGACAACCTCGCTAACAGATCTCGACTTCTGGAATTTCTCTGGTACGGTATTGAACCGTGTTATAAGATCCCGATCAACCTTCGACACGCGTTTCTGAATCGAGTAGCCATAGACACCGCCAGCAGTGACTACAGCAACGAGTGATGTTGCCAGTATTTTCCGAGTTAGACCTTGTAGTGCCATCGCAGTAAAGACGCAATGATGATCAGCAACGACTTGATCGCATGATTGAGATATTCCCCTCTATTTAATACTGATAACGAATTGACTCACCGTATAAAATGCGAAAACTCGTGATTGAGGCATGGGCCAGCTGACCTAGCGTGGCATGTCCTTTAGCTGACCTGAGTCCGGTTCTACCCGTCTTGTTAAAGCTCAGCGTCAGCTTTGGGGATAGTTTCGGCTTCGTCTCTGGAGAATCGGGGCAGAGTTGAGCCGACTCTGGAGAAAGCGGCGCGACATATATGCGTGATATGATACAACGGGAGGTTCATTGTTCCGCTCATCGTTTTGTCGCGAAAATGCATGGTTTCTTGGCTTCAATTGAGAACAGATGTTATTGGTGGTTACATCGTGCAAGAAAGTTCACCAGGGTTGATTTAGAGTTCACTGGCCAATGGTTATCTGCAAAAATGTCATTGAACGGATATAAAATATTATTAGAAGGGAGTATTGTTTAGAATAACATAGCGAAAGAGGCTGATGACGCCTTGCCCAGGTCTTGAAGTATGTTGACCTTGGCTCAAATTAACCTCCGGGTCCTTTGCAACGCTATTTTTGTGAATGAAAAGCTCTACTCCGTAAATAATTATTCTTTCCCTGTTCTAGCTTGCTCCTCCTGTTATCAAGCCACAGCAAAGCACTTGTAGGATCAACGTCCAAACATTATATGAAGCGGTGTTTAACTCTTGTCTTGCCTTTTTATCCTGCTGAGCCGTCTTTGGCAGGTCTTTCTTGCCTTTCTTCGCCATTGTTGATCTTAAAAACTATTTCATGTTAGGTCTTTCCAATGAAACAATTTCGGATACGTACGGGCTTTTAGAGTGTCACAGTCATAAAAACAGAGTGGATATCCGAGCTAATATCGAGGTCTTGGTACACGAGAATTATTAGGGGATAGGATTCTGTTAAAGCAAGATTCCTGGTGGATTTAACTGTTTTCGCAAGCGAAGGAATGTGGCTGAGTTGGTGCTTACACCGGGTTTGCCATCAGTGGTATGACGGGGCGCAGCCAATCCTTTGAGGCAAGGAATGCCAGCTCAGATTACATTATCATGACGTTGTCAGATCTGATAAGGTCGGTGTTCACGTGGCATTATCAGATCACGGGCCAATCGGGAACTCAAACCACGGTCGCAGAGTGCAATAGCTCCAACAGAAATCTATACCCTACTAATCTACCTACCTTAAAACTCTATATCTCGCAATTGAAACATAGGAAAAGAAAGAAATACTCAATAAGAAGCTCGAAGCTCAACGGAAGTCAAGGTCCAATCCTTAGGCCTGACGCTTCTGCTTACCGCACTTAGCGAGACACTCATCAACCTTGATGCCAACATCTGTAGGAATAGAAGCCCTGATCTTCTCTATATCCTCACCATCAACACTCTCTCCCAAAAGACGAATTACAGCGTCATCCTTGATAGAGAACAGCCCAGGTGCAACACCAGCAAAACCGCCATCCTCAGAGGGAAATGCAGCGATAGCATTGGCGGGCTCGCAGTCAGGGTTGACCTGGTAGTGCTTAGTTCCCTGGTAGAAGATGGTAGCTTGGCCAGCGCTGATTTCGTTGCGGATGACGCGAGGCTTTCCTTCGGCGTCGAGGACGCCGCCTTCGGGAACGGCTTCGGTGTAGACGCGGCCAAACATGACGGCAAAGAGCTCGGAGGCTCGGGGGTGAGTGTGAAGCATGATCATAGAGCAGCCTGTATGCAATCAGCATCCAAGGTTCAGAAGCGAGAAGGATGAGTATATACCTGGAATTTGAGCGGAAGCCAGACTGACGCCGGAGCCTGTAAGAGCAGGGAATGTCTGGCTGTTAGCCATAGCACTGGGGGTGCTGTTAAAGCTGAAGAGAAAGTCTTTGTCCTCAGGAAGAAGACTGTAGCGATCAATGAAACTTTGATAGGGGTTAGCAATCACTTGATAAGAGAGTTCAGAGCTCATGACATACGTGTCGGCGAGTCGCAGCTTGGTAGTTAAGCTGACCTCGGAGGTCTTGCCCTGAGGAGCTGCAGCCGCGAAGGGCGAGCAGGCCAAGAGAACGGCAGTAGCGGAGAGCACGGCGCTGGAGAACATTTTGATGATGTTGTGATTGAGATTGTTCAGCAGATGCGAAGTTGCGAAGGTTGTTATGTTATTGGGACTAAGATGTGTGAGGATGTTGAGCGATTGCTGCTTGATCGGATTATCTTCAGCGAGTACATCAACTAGTTTATATACTTCAAACGTCCACATATAAACTTATTGATTCTGAACTAAACACCACCCTCGTTATGGCGTATCAGGGCCTTCCGTAGCTGGACACTACCAGCCCTGTCCGCCTATACCCAAGATGGGGATCTCTAGCTAACTCAATCTTGTTAAATCAAGGTTGATCTTGGCGCAAGCGCCAGACTTCCGACAGACTAGTTTTCTCCATTTTCAATAATGCCGCGGTGGATTTGGTTGGCGTACGTCGTGGGTATGGCTGGCGTACTGGCGTACTCCGGCGTATTCGAGCGTACCCGCTAACAAGTGGTGCAACGGCGGCCATGTAGGCGATCAAAAGCTGAGGCGCATGAGACTGCAGATCTTCTTCATATAGTATATAGTTAACTCTTACAAATCTTGGGATGCAACGTGAGCTACTGCCGGACTCATAGCCTTGCTCTGATCGTATTCGAACCTGACCGCTTGGCTTCGGGACCCCGATGCTACCACCATCAATTTAGAATTGATGGCTTCGCAGCCTTTTTAGATATTATATTGGAGATATACAATTCTCAATGTAGAGTGGTATCGTGATAAGTTGTTTGTGAAGTCGAGAGATCACGACATGGCGATCTTCTATATAACCTAAATCATCCCCTCACTAACGACGACAAGGCAATCCAGCATATCGTACATCTTAACACGATGGCCACACTCAACTTCAAGAGAGCTTTTACTCTTCTTCTTCTGTCCACCTCCTGTGTTGTAGCACAGAATCCCTTCCCAGACACTACCACTTGCGACAAGACATGCCAGGCCCGAGCCCTCAACGCATCCTCATGGATCTCGGAGCAACAGTCGGACCCAACATTCTCCTTTTACAAAACCCCTTCAAGCTTCTCTAGCAAACTTGCCCCTGGTGTTGTACTCAAGACAGAGGATGTCACTAACTTGGATAACTATGTCGTCCCCAGCGGTCTGACCATGTCGCGAATCATCTACACCACTGAAGACCTTGATGGAAAGATCATTCCCGCTTCTGCTTATGTTCTCTGGCCTTATGCTCCCTTTTCCACTGGTCCAGGCTCTACCAAGAAGGGCTTGCCCATGGTTGCTTGGGCTCACGGCACGACAGGTACCTTCAAGCCCTGTGCACCTAGTAGCTACAGAGCTTTACAGTACCACTTTCAAGTCCCCTTTGCTCTGGCACTTCAGGGCATTGCAGTGGTTGCACCCGACTATGCTGGTCTTGGTGTATCTGAGCTGCCCAACGGAGACACCATTCCTCATTCTTGGGTCACAGCGCCAGCTCACGCGAATGATGTTGCTTTTGCTGTAACTGCAGCTAGATCAGCGTTCCCGGATCTTCTTGGTTCTGACGGTCCGTTTGTCGCTATGGGCCACTCTCAAGGTGGCGGAGCATCTGTAAGTTGATGTCCTTACATACAGCGTATTCCCTGTGCTCAATTGCTTATGGGTACGGTCTGCTACCATCAAAATACTGAAACTGACTATTTTCTCCAGTGGGCTTTTGCAGAAAGACAAGTCAGGAAGCCTCTCAAAGGATACAGAGGCACAGTCTCCATAGCGCCAGTGACTAGAATTCTCGATGACTATGCCTACTGGACCGAGAGCTCGATCGCATCACCCGGCCTGCTTGCACAATCCGCAGTCATCGACTCAATCTCTAAGGTCTACCCCAAGTACAACTACACAGGCTTCACTTCTACAGGGTACGATCGCTGGCACAACGTTATTGCCAAGGTCAAGGGATGCTTCCCCGTGTTGGCCTTGGTGACAATGGATCTCGCCCCCACCGATATTGTGAAGTCGGGCTGGTACAAAGATCCGACTGCTAAGAAGTGGGCTGATCGAGTCGCTGTGGGACGGAAGACCTTCGCTGGTCCGTTGCTCATTATTAACGGTGCAGATGACCATGTCGTTCGTCCCGAGGGTATTGACGCCGCTGTCAAGGACACCTGCGATTTGGTGAAGAAGACTGGCAATAAGGAAGCTGTTGAGCATGCCACCTTTTCTGGTATGGACCACTTCTCTGCCATTCAGGCTAGCCAAATGAAGTGGATGGACTGGGTCAAGAGTAGACTTTCCGGCAAGACCCTCGAGAAGGGTTGCTCTGAGGGACTTGTCGAAGGACTGAAGACCAATGACACTGTTCATACACTGGGTCCGAACTTCTTCTTGTCGTACTTTGATACAGCAGAGAGTTGGAAATACAGTCTGTAATGGAATGCAGTGGATGGATATTAGATGTTTCAATAGTTCCGAGACTATTGCTTTTGTTAGCTAGACTTGGATAAGTGTGCTGTACTGAAGACGAGGAACGGGGCCACAGCGTGAAACAGATTGACAGGATGGAATATTACAATGAATGGTATTATAACAGATGGGATAGAGTACAAAAACATTAGATCAGAGAATATTAAATGGCCGCATGCCTCAAATGCTTCCCTCCCACGTACCCCTCAGCTGTATCAACAAACAATTTCCTCCCCTTGACATACGATACCATGAATGAGAACAGCTTCCAGTTCCCAATCTGACCCGTCGCATACTTCTTACCCAGTGAAACGAATATCATCTTCTTAGTCGCAGGCTGATACGGCTTGATATCCCCCTTCTTCGTCAAAGTCGCATCTAGAGCTGTCGCCAAGTGAATGATCTGATTGTCCGTGATGGTCAATTGCTTGGGGTCGATGTTGCCCACGTCGCCAATGCCCCAGATATTCTTTGTCCCGGCGACTCTCATCTTTCCATCAAGCTTGATGTTTCCACCAGAGTCTAATAATGACGGTGGTACGAATGAGGTGTTGAGTTTGATGCCGTGCAGAGGTAGATAGAGATCTGTTGTGAGGGTGCTTCCATTGGACAAGTGCACCTCTGCCCCTTGGCCTCTTTCGCTCTTCTTTGCTTCGGTGACGCGCGCATTATAGATGAGTCTGACCCCAAGGGTCTTGAGATCCCTTGAGATTGATGCGCGAACTGAACCAAGGGCTCCTTCCAACGGTTGTGCACCACTAATAACAAGGGTGATGCTCTTGGAAGAGCCGTATCTTGCGGCCAATTCACCAGCAACTTCAGTCCCAGTAGCACCACCACCTGCGATTACTATTGACTTTGAGTCCCCGACTTCGCTTTGCAATTGCTTCCATGCTGAGATGGTCTCTTGATGTGTTCCAACAGGCTTCAGGGGAAGATCACTAGCCAGCCGAGACCCTGTCGCAATGACCAGCTCATCATACGTAATCTCGCGCCTGGTATTCTCGTTAGAGATTACATGAACAGTACTCGATTCGGCATCGACTCCATCTGCTTTCCCAAGGAGGAACTCAAAGTTCTCAGAGGGGTATTGATTGAAGCCGGGCTTGATTGGTAAGAAGAGCTGTTCATCTGGGATGGCGTCCGGTATTATCCCACGAGTAGCAGCGACATTCCAGAAGAAGTGACTATTCGGGGAGGCAAGGATGACTTTGAGGTCAGGAACTTTGGGAAGTGTGTGTTTGAGAAGCTTGTGGGCGAGTGGAAGACCAGCCCAACCTGCACCTAAAATGACTACGGTTTTTGTCATGATGGCTGGTGATGCTGTTCAAATTATATGGAGGCGAAGGAGAGTAGAATAGGTTAGTTAATTATCTTTAGTGCTGTGATCTCATTTATACAAACATACAGATGCTCGGTGTCGGTGATGGACGTATGTTGGTGTTGAGAAGGGGTTTATCTAGAGGTACGTTTGCCCACCTACAGACTACTTGCAGACCTATGTATCTCTGTTAGTGATCCGTCCCTCACAGTCGGTGGTGGATGCGCCGGGTGACAGGGATCACGACCGAACGCCGTGTCCGAGAACGATGACGATCCCCCGATCCTTCGGCTCCCCTCATCAACAGCTTCAGTAAGCAAAGCATATGCGATCTATTCTATCAATTGAGCCTCAATTGCCGCGAATTCATTGTTTCCGTCTCCTGTTATCCAAATATCTACCCGTTACCACCCTATACCTCTGTGTCTGTCGGAGCTTATAACCCCCGATGGACCGATCCCTATCAACATCCCATCATGAGGTCACGCCCAACCTCAAAATCTGGAGCTGTGTAACCTGTCGTCGTCGCAAGATCCGCTGCGATAGAAAAGAGCCATGCAACAATTGTACAAAAAACAAAATCGACTGCCATTTCCCCGTGACGGGTCGTATACCGAGACGAACTCGCGATGCCAAGACTCCAGCTCAGAAGCAATCTGAATTGCTCAGTCGTCTTCGTCGTCTCGAGTCAGTCGTTACTGAACTCGCGGCGCAGGTTGAGGATGAAAATGGGGCCAAGACTATGGGTCAGATAACAGTGGATAAGGAGCCTACAGAGTCTTCATGGGCTACGTCATCTGGCAGTTTGGATCATCAGACTTCGGAGTTTGATGAGGATTTTGGTAGGCTTGTTGTTGACAAGGACGGTGGACTTCACGTTGGAAATCGCTTTTGGACGGTATTTTGCAGCGAGGTTAGTACCTAACACCCTAGCGATGATCCGAACACTAACAAGTGACAGGTAGACAATATACTTCAAGCTGTACACGACGTTGCAGATATCTCGGAAACCCCAAGTAACTCAATCATGGCAGAGCCCACCAGCAATGGGACTCCGGCTCCTCTAAGTCATCTTGGCTTTGTCTTTGGCAGCGCAGAGTTCGCGAAAGCGTTAGATGGGCTCAACCCTATGCCCTCTCAGATGCTCTTTATATGGCAGACATATGTCGAAAATGTTGACCCTTTCATCAAGGTCCTTCATACTCCAGCGATTGAGAATATTGTCAAACAATTAAAAGGCAACTTTAGCTCCTGTGGCCACAATGTAGAAGCCCTGTTGTTTGCGATATGCTTAGCGGCCATTGCGTCCATGGACGAAAAGACAGTCTCGTTCAACTTCAACACACCCAGAGAACAACTGCTGCAGCGGTATCAATTCGGTACTGAACAAGCACTCTCTCGTGCCAACTTTCTTACTACAAAAGACATCACTGTCCTTCAAGCCCTGGTCATATACCTATCGCTGCTACCAAACATTGGGGCTCAAGATAAAGTATGGCCACTGACAGGTTTGCTCCTCAGGCTAGCAAAGTCAGTATGCCTTCATCGCGAGGGCGACCCACATCAGTACAATCAGCTTGAGAGGGAGATCAGACGTCGGCTCTGGTGGCACATCTGCTTCATCGATTCCAGTAGTCGACGGGCTGACGCTCAAGACCTGTCAATCACCCCAGCGTCCTTCAGCACAGGTCTCCCTACAAACTCAAACGATGTCGATCTGGACAGCTCAACCACTCAGATCCCAAATCCTAATCAAGGATCAACTGGTGTGACACTCTGTCTCATCCGCTGCGAGCTGTGGTATCTCACACAAGCCATCCGCGCCGATACAACCGATTCTCTAGAGACCCGCCTCGGCCTCTTAAACGCCCTGAGGCAAAAAGTCGAGAAGACTTACTTCCAGCATCTACAGCCCAACCAACCATGGGACTCCTTCATCAGGACGATGACAACCCTGTTCTTTGCCAAAGTTGAACTGGTTATTCGACGACGATCCAAAACTCTCCCTGCAGCGGATGAGCTATTGACCCCATCTATCACAGTCACCAAAGCAGTGCAGTCTCTCAAATCAGAACCCGCGTGGGTAAAGTGGCGCTGGCAGTTACAAGGACAAATGCCATGGCATGCAATGGGTGTCTACCTCCGTCAAGCATCTCGACTCCCTTGGACACGAGAACTAGAAGAAGCATGGGGCGCAACTACAGCTTTGAAAGAAGGAGTCACAGAAGAAATGAAGACGGGATCACTGTGGAGGTCTCTCATGCAGCTGTTCTCGGAAGCTGAACAGCATCGTGAAATGGAGCTTAAGCGTCAAGGAGCAAATGCCAAACATACCCGAGAGAAGGGAGACCGTGTGAACTCGGATGTCCAGCAAATGCTCAACAACGCTGAGAACATGTCAAACGAGATCCCTGTTAATCATCCTCTAATTGATACATCGACATTTGACTCGTCTCTACATATATCTCCGCCAGCAGACAATGGGGCTCTCTCCGTGGAACGTCTGTCAACGAGTCTAGGTACAGCGGCTGATGATCTTCCTTCATGGGTTGAAGCAGGAGGTGACATGAACTTTGGTCAAGGCCAAAATTTCGGAAACTCGTCATCTGATGGAACCGCTGATGGAGTGGATTGGGAGGCCTTGATGGATCTAGATGAAACGTGGAATTGGGACTTCCTGTAGACCACAGTAGATTCCTTTGGCGGGCAACGGTGAACAAACTTGTTCATTCAGACTTTAGACACTTTCAAGTATACGAGAATAATGATTCCCTGTTTTCTCTTTGCATTCCTTGCATACGCTCATGAAGAAGACGAGCTCACTCAACCTGCTGAGTTCCGGCCTTTCGTTGCGATGCATTCCCATCTTCGATAGAAGGTCACAAAAGTTGCCTTTCGCAAAGAGTTTAGAGATTGTTGAGCTGAGTTATCAAAAACAAATACTACAGTGCTATGACTCCTTAAAATCCCTGGTTAGTTGCTTTTACGAGCCGTACAATGAACCGTTGCTGGTGACATTCCGCGATTCACATACCCAGCTCCCATCACACGCACTATTGAATGAGAGGGTATGTCTCTATTCGGAATAGAAACATTTCTTTTGTTAATAAGCGGCAAATTGGCACTCGACAGTGGACTTTGTAAGATTCTATGTAGGACAGCCTGCAGCTTTACATCCCTTGGCTTAACGACCAGTGGCATCTGTCACACATCATTCTCAACATTCAAACGTACAAAGAGGATGCGACGTAAAATACAAGCAATTAAGAACATATCAAGTGCATGATCTACTACCAGGAACAAAGCGTTCCTGGATCCTTTAGTTAGATCTCAACAGCCTCAACTCCATCAAAGTTACAACGTCGATATTCACATATCCAGGAACGATTCTCCACGCCCTATGGAACACCGGCACATTCGTCTATTACGTTTCGCAAGGTCCCAGAGCTATTCAGGGTCTCGAACAAATAGTGCAAGTGTAGTGCAAAAGTGACACTCCTATTCACAGCGTTGCTAATACCCCAGCTTCGTATTACGGCAACCGGAACGTCTAGCTCTGCAAGGGTTCGACCTTCTGGACCTCGAGTATCGTGACGAGCCAGGGGGTCCCCGGCTAACGGCAACGACCTCATCGTTTGTCAAGGGAGTGTAGCTGATCGTATAGTTAATTGCGTCGAGTCAAACGAAGACTGGTAGCTGAGTTCCCAGCTGCTGAGCCTCATCAGGGCGACGACCCGCTGTCGCAGGGCCGAGAACCCTTGGCACCATGTGGTTTTGACGCTTGACACAATATCCGCCTATACGGATCAGTTTGCCGCCTTATCCCCGGGGTATGGCAATGAAGTCTATAGCATTCCATAAGAGGAGACTCAGAATAGTATCCAACTTCGTAATGATGGATACGGGCCATATTTCGACAGCCGGCAGTGACGGCGGGATAGTCTCAATAGTTTACGATAGCTTATGACTGAACGGCAGTAGCAGTGGGACTAGTGGGCAAAGTGTCGTATAGCAAACATGATGTGATTCCAAGACTCGGCCGAAAGTTAATACGAGGAATTGAAGGGTCGGTTTGTCTCGGCGGTTATAATTATCCTGTCAAGCAGTCATGTCTCGTCTCATCTCGGAATGTCTTGTCATGATGAATAATGACGAATCTGAGACTAATTACCACGTGTACAGGCTACATATCCATACAATCGGTTCAGCGTTTGCTGTCCCTTGGAATGATTCAGAGCGCCTCTGCCGGTTTCCCAGAGAACAAAGCAAACAATGACGCGAGTGTCTAGTGGTTGAACCAGATCTGTCAAGATATTCCCATGGAAACGATTGATCGAAAAGTCTGATTCTTTCGCTCCCCACTGTTGGTGGTCACACCAGATCTGCTCATCCTCCAATAGAAAGGCCAGGATATTTCTAGATGCTGCAAACAGTGGCGTTTCGAGATAAATAAAGACACGAACCAACTGATAGAGGGTCAGGCATGAAGGTTACTGGACAGGCCAGACAGGCTATATATGCAAGCCACGCGAAGTTGCCAGGGCAGAATGCCACCCGAGTTTAAAAATCCCTATCCGCGCAAATGCAATACAACAGAGTGTCATTATCAAGAGGGCATAACTGCATATGCATATATCACTGTACACCGCTTTGGACATAGCGCAATCGGGCATTTGCACGTCCCCCCGTGCCAAGTCGCAGATGCCAAGAGGCCATTACAGATTAGGTGCTCAGTCGACAAGTTTCACAATAACGGCTGCCAATTTGAGACCCTGCTAGCATCTTTGAACAATCGCAACAATCACACCGAGATTTCAACTCTGATCGTCCTCGATAGGAATTTCCAACGCTAATATCTAAGCGTAAAGCACGATCAGACGATAAGGCTGCTGGATTGGACTAGATGGCTCATGAACCAACTGCAGGGAAAAGGGGGCGACGGGTAAATTGGGGGCGGACCGTTGTTTAATGAAAAGAGGCACGGAAACGAATTAGTGGAACTTGTTCAGTGGACGGGACAGTAAGTTTCACGGTAAGAAGATATTCAGTGCGCGTCTCAGCTTTGAAGAGCCGGGCTCTGTGTCACTTTTGGTGCCGAGATAAGACAAAGACAAGACAAGGGCAGTATGAGACGAAGGGTGATCGCCGAGGCTCAAACATAGGCAGTCATACCGCAATTACTCGAGCTCAAGGGAAGCCTTGTTTTTTCTCTCTGGATCGCATCAAGTCATCCTTGCAGGATATGACCATGCTGGGTATGTCTCCTGAATATCGCGGGAAGGAATGGAGTTGAAGTGACATGGAAGGATTGGGGATTGTCATCTTGTGCGAAACGCCCTAGATCTGCAGGTTTCCAGATTACTCCGCAGTAAGCAATTGGATAAGATGAAGGAATTGGCGCTTCTCGAGCCGTTATTTGGTTCGGTATGGCTTTAGGTAGTCTTGCATAGTGTCCTTTTTCTTTCCGACGCTTGTTGAGGGATTTGAGTATATTGATCATCGATTCCTGAGCCCTGACTTCGATGCTTCGAGAAAGAACCGCAGCCTGGACTACCCAATCCAATGCAACCTTATTCTGACGAACAATTCAGTATTGTCGAACTCAATCACAGTTGCGCATACCATGGAATGGCTCTGCTTGAAGTTATATACGGCTTTGGGTAGTGAGACTCTATTGAGTTTTGATGTTAATTGAACTCGATTGAAGTATCGATTCACATGGCGTCAAATACGAGTTCTTACTGGCCTAGCGAGGTCTCTAATCTTGAAGATCCAATGTGGCTTGCCGACTCTGAAGCCACGTTCTATTTGGGGTTCTGTTTCAAGCCTCCGACGCGATGTGTGTCACTGTGGGGAGATGAATTGAAGAACAATTGAGGCGATGCAAAAAATGAGGCAATTGCGAGGAATAGGTCGCATTATATTCCGAGTAACCGTCTGTGTTGAACATGTTCGCCTGGCATTTGTCTCGTCTTGACTTGTCTTGCTTGCACTGTAGTCTTCTCCGTTGCAGGGAAACCCTTGAGTTTGAAGCAAAAGTTTGATGCAGGCTAATACCAAGCTTTTTTCTGTGGTAGGTCGCGGGCGCCTCCTCCGCCTGCCGAGCCCCTGACGAGTTTGGACGGCCCCCTCGTAGAAACGCCCCTGAGCATCTCATCAATTGGATGGTAGCCAAGAGATCCTTCAGCGTGGAAAAGGCGAAAAAGCCCAGCCTTTTAATCGCTGGGGCTCCTGTCGCTTTTGAGTTCAGTTGGGGCCAACTAGGTACTGAAGCCACATGCGTTTTTAAAAGGGGCGGGAAGCGTCGAGATAACCGCTCGAGAGTAAGCACAAGGATGGATTGAGGCGTAAATTCAGCTACAATCATTTCCTTTCTTACACTGTCCTGACGAAGACGAGAGTTTTTGGTAACCAGGCCCCCGCTTGCGCGTCACGTTAAGCCCCTATCTCTCCAAGTCGAAGTCCAGGTCCAAGCAGGTCCGTCCAACCAACCAACCTCCACTAAGACTAAACTTAACTTATCTTTTGGCCTTCCTTTCTTCTGCCTTAAGGCTTATCCCCCCCAGGAACCCCCCTCCTGTCCAACCTTTTCCTTGCTTGTCCCTCCTCGTCCCCTCGTAGCAAAAAAATCTCTTGGCCCATTCAAGACTTTCTACCTGCATCGCCGGACTCGTTCTTTTTTTTTTCCCACCGGTCGAGGGTTGTGATGATTTGATATTTCTCTCCTTCAACATCCATCCACTCGTTGCAATTTTACATCCGACCGAGACTGTACAGGTACAGACAAAGGCTCAAATCTCACATAATGGCTGTCGCTCTTCCGAGGCGATTTTACTCGCTACTCTGGGTCGCAATCCTCCTTGCGCTCGTTGTCTTCTTCATCTTCCTCCGCGAAGACACCTGGTCTTCAATTCCTCGACCTCCCAGCGGCTGGAAGATTCCGTTCACCACAGACGACGGCGTTCTTTCATCATGGATGGGCGGTAGCAAGAGGAAGGGTAAGGACCCTAAGGAGCCCCTGCGCATCATGCTCGTAGAGTCCTCGGGCACACACGACGAGGTCGCCGCTGCTCTCATGCACGCTTTCGGTAACCAGGAGGGCTCCTCGCTCGACGTCTACTTCGCCAACCAGCGCTTCAACATGCAGGGCATCATGGCCAACTTCACCCTCGCTGCCAACGTCACCGTCCACAAGTGGGACAAGTTCGCCAACGATGTCACCGAGAACCCCCCGCACATCCTCGTCTCTACCACCTGCGAGTTCGATCTCGACCGTGGCACCGATCCTATCGTCAACCTCCTCAAGACCGCAAACACTCATCTCTTCTGCACAATCCACCACGCTGATCGATGGGCCCAGGGCAAGTACGTCCAGGCCGTCCGCAGCTGGGCAGAGCACGAGCGCGTCGATTTTGTTGGTCTGAGTCAGCACACCATTGACTTCTTCCTCAACGACACTATTCCCAAGTGGCACACGGCTGCTAACCTTACCACTCGCGTCATTCCCCCGGTGTTCCCTGTCCACATTCCTGACCCTGATCTCGAGCCCGGCATTTCTCTGTCTCTTCAGGGCGACTACTCTGACGGCCGACGTGACTACAACGGTGTCTTCAACCATCTCGGCAGCGTCATTCGAAAAGCCAACGAGGAGTCCGAGGGTCACACACCTCAGAATGTCAGCCTTCACCTTATCGGACACGGCACTCATCCCTCCGTTCCCGATCACGTTAAGGACCACGTCTTCTTCGACGAGGGTCTTTCTTACCCCGATTTCTACACATTAATGTCCAAGTCTTTCGCTGTTCTTCCGGCGTTTGCCTCTGAGACATACTTCGACCGCAAGGCTTCTTCAACCATTCCCGCAGCTTTGATCGCAGGAGCCCCCATCGTTGCGACAGAGGAGCTGCTCAAGGCTTACTCTTACATGCCCCGGGAGGCTACCTGGGTTGCCCGACCTGGTGAGGGCGAGATGGACGTTATTGAGCGAGTGATTGATGACCGAGACGGTTTCCTTAAGCGAAGGCAGGCAGTGAGGGATTTTACCAAGTCCCTATTGGAACAGAACCAGGCCAACACCAAGGCCTGGATCAACGAGGCTTTCGAAAAGTATAACCGCAACTAAAGACACTTAGATATGATTTACTGGGATTTTTGCACTTTTTTTTTTTATTTGTACAATACGAGGCACCATTTCACATGATCGGGAATCAGGATGAGCGACTCTATGTTTCCAGAGTTTTTTGAACCATGCATGAACAAACATTCTTAATATACGGTTTCTTAGTACATTGAAAATACAATCACGAAATACCACTTACATAAAGTTTTGCTCCAACATTCCAGTGATGTCAGTTTTCAACATGTCTCCATTTAATTTACAACGGGTGGCTGGCGGGAGTCTCATAGCGAGCCGCGATTCTCCGGCTCCCTTGCGTAAAGCCATGGAATCGAACCCGGCATTTGGAACATGAGAAAAGAAAATAGTGAATCATTATTCCAGAAAACCGGTTGGCAGAGCGCCACCAATAGAAGACGTGAGATATTTCCAAGGAATGGGTAAGCTTAAAAAGCTGCCCCGTCTTGGCTCTACAAGATCAGATGAACAATGTCTTTCTTCAGTTTCTCTTACGTGTACACTTTTCACTGCGGAGCTCAGACAAGTTTGATATAAACGTGTATTTTTGATCTTGAAGCTTCTCTCCCTCGTTGCGCACTGCTGAGGGAGATAAGGGCTAAACTGGATACCCCAGATTACATAGTAAATCGTCTCTATGTCTAAGGTATATAGAATCTGAAAAAAGTATGCCGAAAACCTGATCATCCAAACACCTGTCGTCATGATGAAGCCCGCCATACCCAAGAATAATAAAAGAAAAAGGAAATGGTATATGTTATTTCATCTCATGACCAGCAAGAGGAAGTGAAGATCTTATAGCTTGAGATCTTTGGCTTCCTTGCTGTCCACCATTTCAGCTCGGCCCTCCTCTTCGCGAGGCAGAAGCTGGTAGCTGCCAGCGGCCTTCTTGGCCTGCTGGTATCGGTCTCGGGCCCAGCCGTAGAGGGCACTTCCGGCAAGAATAAGAGCCATGCTGCCGGCGCGGTCGGCAGTCAAAACCTCGCCGAGCAGAACAACGGCGAGAGAGCTCTGGGCGACACCTCGAGCGGCAGTGACAATCATATGTGTGGTCGGGCTAGTGACCTCGATTTGCATAAAGGTAGCGATGGTGAGGAGGAAGGCTGAGACACCGGTCAAACAGGCGGAGCTGAGGAACTGGCGGGCGACATCCATGGACTCGACGGTGAAAAGGCTGCTCATAGTGCTCATCTCTCCAGAAAGAGGGAAGAGAGGAATATAGAAAAGGATGGCCATACAGTTGGACATCCAGACCATCTGCCACATACCCTCCTGGCTCTTACCGAGGAATCGCTTGACGACAACGGACTCGACGGCAGTGGTGAAACTGGATCCGACACCGAGGAGAACACCCTTGCCGGAGGTGAGCATCTGGCTGTAGTCGGCCATCATTCCAGTTCCGAAACCAGCCATGACCATAGCGCAGCCGACGAGAGAGATAGGAGGGTAGTAAGGACGAGGTCGGAGAACCAGCAGAGACAGGAAGAGAGTAAATGGTAGTAGAAGACCACGGGCGATCTGGTAGACGGAGGCGTTGACCGAGGCGAGGCAGTATGTCTTGGCCAAGATTCCAATAAGACGCGCGACCGTGAGGGGTAGAAGAGCAATCCAAGCCTGAGATTATATGTTAATTGACGGTCTTTAACCAAAGAGACATTCAGTTGTGTCACTTACATTGAGTGGTCTGTACAGCTTGACCCATCCTGTAGCAACTCCAATAATTGTGAGTAGTACTACTTGTATCGTTGTCTGAAGAGCAAGCAATGTGACGGGGGCCTCAACGCCATTGAGGGCCGACTTGGATAGAATAGTGCTCCAGATAGCACATGATGAATGGAAGAGCACCACCAGGGCGACTCTCATCCGTGAAGGCGGGGGACGGTTCTCGACCTGAGGTTGTTCGGCGGCAGCCATTGTGACAAGAGATATTAAGGTTTATGTCGACTTATATGTGTAGAACCAACAACAACCAAAATAGTGTGAATGTAATGCAATGTAAGGGAAGATAAGGCAATGAAACGAAAATGGATATGAAAGAGTAGGAAGAATACGAGAGAAGAGAGTAGAGTAGAGTAGAGTAGAGTAGAGTAGTAATAGAAGAAAACAACAACCAAGTCAGTCAACGTGATGTGGGTAAACGAATGTCTGAAGCGAGTTTCCGAGTGAACAAGCTTCCAAGGGTCTTCTCTCTCTCAACTCGGACTAGGAACCAAAAAAACACGAAGATGTATGAAAAAGTCAAGACTCTCTGAGGGGAGAGGCTGGCAAATACGGGCTGTCCGGAGGTTTTGTTGATTGATTGATCAAGTCTATTTCCGCACTAGGGCCCAAATACGCAGGCACAGAGAACCACCCAAGACTAAAGACTAGGGTGTCGTCAGTGAGAAGTAGTGCGTGTATCTAGTGCCACAGGCGGAATAGGGGGATTCCGTTTGCCTGCTTGCGTTGCTTAAATGGATCGAACGCGTTATCCCAGTGGAGAGCAGGGTAATCTGGCGCCACACCTTGGCCTTGGTTTTAAACTTGGACACTGGATATTGCTTTAGCCTCACTAACGAATGAGAGGACTCGAGAACCATCGCTATACTCCATCTTGACTATGTTCCTTGACCTTCTGGGTCATGGGCCTTGTTCCCTGGAAGCTCTACCGAAGTACCGCCATCGAGGGGTTATTGTGCTGGAGCCCATGCCAGGCCAGGGGACGGAGGTTCGTTGATGAGATTTGACATTGGCCTTAGCTTGGCTTTAACTTAACTAACAGGACGTGGGGTGTTGGCGAAGAATCGGCGGCTGTGACAAGGCGGAGAGTGGCACTGCATCTGCTGCAATGATGGGAAGTGGGAGGAAATACTCGGTGGGAACTCTGCAGGATAGCGCTTATGCCAGTTGTGGGGGGTCCCTCTAGCCACTGGGGATATGCAGCTACAGAGGCTCTTGCGAGTGACGTAGAGATTCTGGGAAATGCAGGTGTTGATCAAACCTCCGCCATTGGTCCCCTGTCGGGCGAATAAGGTAGGATGACCCCTTACTAAAACTCAAACAAATAAGCCAATTTTTAAGTCTATGTGCTAAGGGTTGCAGTCAGTTTGAATGAATGGATGGATGGATTCGATGTTTTGTTTTACAGTATTACCCGCTGTAAGCTTCGGAAGGATGATCAGTGCCATGCCGACTCAGTCAGCCGTTGATTGTTTGCACAAACGCACTCGAGGCGCGAGTAATGCATGAGACTCCACCGGAATACCTCCCCATACCTTACTGCAGATGCAAGAAAACGCCCGAGGATACCTTATTGTAATGTACCGAACCGTAGCCAAGAGTAAATGGGAAGCGAGACAAGAGCCAAGATATCAATAATCAGGTTTTGCTGTAGACACGCATAGCCCATCACCTTGTCCTCCCCCGTCCATGATCTTCCATTATCTCCTCGGCCGAATACTACCTTCATTTCTCTCCTCTTCCCTTCATTACTCCGATGTAGGGATATTCTCCGCGTGATAATCACACAAACTCGCCTCAGTGGCCAGGGACCGACTGGAGGAATCCATGGAGCGTTTCAGCTTAGAGAGACGATCCCCAAGGTCTTAGTTCTCACTTCCTCCGTGCTCGTCATTTTCTTGATTAAGATAGGGCAGGTTTCGGTGAGTTGCATTATAAGGAATCTTGGCCCCGAAAAAAATAATCGAGGGAAAGAAAAAGTGGACGGCCCTTTGATGAAGATGGACAAGCTGCTCCGCCCGGATGATGATTATGTGAAACCTGAGTAAGGCATTGAATGCTTGGCGATGCGTGTATCAATCACGTTTGCGAATAATGGGCCCTGAACTGGCCACTCTGTGAACAACGTGAGACTTGGGTGAGGTGATGATTGTTTTATTCTTGGTTTCGTTATTGTACAGCTCGCAACGAAACGCGAGGCGCAGTGTATGCGATTTTCTTTTTTCGCTCTGTCTCAATTCTTGTTCAGACAGGCAAGGACATAACTGTAAAGAGACGAGTAAAAAATCTAAGATGCGGTGACGAAATTAAACACAATATGGTAGCGCCATGCATGGTATCCCCTGTTCCGTTCCCCATTCAGTGCCCCAGACAAGATAGGCCTGCTCCATCATGATGAGATGGGTGACATGTTGGTATGTGTATGTTAAGTGTCTCCCATCAAAATAGCAGAATATCCCCCAGCCGGCTCGGGGCAACCATCCAACTCTAAGCAGAAAAATACCATTGGCAATAATAAAGAGCTCCAATGCTGGGTATGGGTAGTAAGGAAAACATTATATCTGGCTGCTAGCCAGTTCATCATGATGAGCCAGCCTCAGCCTGGGGAGTAGGTGTAGGTACAGACTTGGGCTTGGGCGGGTCAACAGCCCTGAGGCCATCCTTGACCTCCTGCTCAAAGTACATGCGCGCCACATCAAACGCAGAGTCGATGCTCTTTGTAATCTTGGTGCAGCCGCAATCGCGCGTCCATGTGTTGTGGAAGTTGAGGTTCTTACCCAACTTGCTGTCCATCAGCACGTGTGGTACGCCGATAACTGTCGATAGAATGTGACCGTGGAGACGGTCGGTGATGACAAAGTGAGCAGAGCCCAAGAGCTCAAAGCCCGCCATCGACTTGGCCCACGCTCGCTGGTTCTTACCCTCCTCGCGTTCGGCGTCGTCGTCGATCGAAGGGGTCTTGGTGAACTTCCAGTCGACCTTGTTGTATGTTACGTTGCCGATGCTGCCACCTAGGTCGACCTTGCCCTCGCCAAACTCAATGCCAGCAGAGTCACCGTCAGAAATCTCGGCATCCTTTCGGGCGAGAATCAGAATATCGTGGCTAGATATAAAGTTAGCTTTAGTTCAACGGTTAGGCCGGCAATACTAACGTCTTCTTTGTGTTGTGTCGAAAGTCAGATCGGTTGCCCCACATGAAAGCAATATCAGGAACAAGATCACTCTGAATACCCTCAGTCTGTCCAAAGTTGTCCATGAGCCAGTCGTAGCTGGGCTTGTCACGAGCAGCCAACTGCAAATCGTGGTGCTTGGTGAAAGCCTTTCTGGTCTTGTCAATCCTCTCGGGGTTGGTCATGTAGATACTCTGGGGGAAAGCTCGGATGGAGACGTTGAGGAAGTTCTCAATCATGTTCATGCGCGAAGGTTGGTCCTCCCAGTAGTAATCGTTGAAGTTGCCACCACCAGCCATGATGATACCAGAGTGTGGGCGGTGCTCCTCCAACTTTCTGCGGAACTTTGCAATGTCGCAGTCCTTGTACATGAAGCTGCAACACATTACGTTAGTATTGATGCTGTCCAACGTGGTACAGGCGAGATCCTTACCGGCAGGCTTCCATAGTCTCGATTCCAAGGATACTCAGCAGAATCTGCTGTGCGGACCAAATCGCAGCATCACCCTTGTTCTCCGTCTCGAGATAACCCCAGATGTTGGCATAGCGAATTCCTTCGAACCTCTTCTGGTAGGCATGGATGAGACGCTGCTGTAAATCGTTGACGATGTTCTCGCAACCCGGTGTAGGAGCTCGAGTCAAATCGTAGGAGATGTCTGTGTTGGGGTCCTTGTCCAATTCTGTGTCCTCCTCTCCAGCGCCCACGGCGCCAGCGGCGTCGGTAGGCTTTGGGGGCTCGTCGATAGTGACATTGTCGCCTTTCGAAGGCCAATGCCAGTCTGCGCTTGGTAAATGATCCTTAAAGCTCTCGGGCGCCTGGTAAGACACCAATATAGCGAAGACAAAGAGCACAGCAATCACGGCTAGCGCGATGCGTGTGAAGCGGTTCATCGCAGGTAACATGATGAACTCATGGAAGTAGATGTTTTAGGTTAGAGTTATGGTTGTGGAAAAGGAGTGGAACACCCGGATATTTCTATCACGGGCTGGGCTTAACGAAGCAAGCAAAAGCGGCGAAAAGACAAGATGGAAAATGCAATGGAAGGGAAAGAGAAAAAGAAAGTCTATTGAAACGTCTTTTGAACTTGGGAATGAAAAGATGCGACCCCCCATCCCCATAGCATAGCATCCTAGCCCTTCTCAGTCGGTACCTCTAGGCTCTAACTTAGTGTCTCCCATCCCATCCATACCTAATCCACATTCACCCACCTCCATCTCCTGGGCTTGAACTTGGTCTTGGCTGGTTCCTCCACTCGGGCGATTCGATGATGGATGCGTTCAAAGTGCGCCACGACCACGCGCCTGCACCGCACCCATGACCCATCCACAGATTGTCTCGGCAGGGATGCAGAGTCTCTGATTTTGATGATAATCGTTGCAGCCCCCTATTCCTCTGTGGCATATGTATATATCCAAGCAGACTCTGTCTGCAGCCAGTTTGGAGTGCCAGGGACCCTCGGCCGGGATGTGGGTTCCTGACGTCGACAGCCGGCCTCATCAACTTCGTATCCCAGTAAGGTTCACACAGCGGGGTTATTCACTTATACCGTATATGAAGATAGACAGAAGATGCAATTATTGACTCTTACGCGGCGCAAGAAAAAAAAGAGTGGAAAAGGTTTTACCGGGATCCTTATCGCCTTAGTTGAATGTAGCCAAGTTGGCCAAGAATGGACGCAAGCCCCCTTTTCCTCACTTCCCTCAATTGTACCGTGCAGCAGAAGTTACAGTGATACACCCTTTTTTCTTATTCCCTATCCCTCCCTATCCCTATCCACTCACTTGACTTGGCATCTCCACGGTGGCCTTTGGTTGATTGACTGGATCGATTTTTTATCTGGAGCCCTTCGCTTTTCTCGTCTTGTCTTGTCCTGTCCCGCATATCGTATCGTATCGCTTCGTGTTCTTTTCGAGATTCGTCATTCTCTGCTACGCATTGAATCACTGTTGAACGACATTTCGGCCGTTCGTCCACTCTTTTTTTAGAAGCCGTTTAATCGCTTGCGACCGACCGACCGACTCGACGCCGCAGCCATGGCTGACCAGAACAAGAAGAACGACGACTTCGTGGCCAAGATGCCCGAGTCTGCCAACGAGAACAACATTGGTGATGGTGACAAGGAGAACGACTCCCTTGTTGGCCGCGGTCCAGGCACTGATGCCCTCCCCGCGCAGCCTTCAGGCTTCATGAACAAGATCGAGAACAGCGGGCCATTCTCTATTCTTGCTTACTGTCTGTCTTCTATTTCCATGACCGTCGTCAACAAGTATGTTGTGTCTGGTACATCATGGAACCTTACTTTCTTCTACCTCGCTGTTCAGGTATGTTTTTCGCTATTCCCTGAGTTTAAGGAATGCCAATTAACTCGGTGTCTCTGTAGTCCATTGTCTGTATTGTTGCCATCACAGCATGCAAGCAATTCGGCATGATCAAGTCCCTTGCTCCCCTTGAGATGGACCGCATCAAGAAGTGTACGTTATAATTGCTTTTCACGAATGAGGGGCAATGGCTAATGCGATCCGAACAGGGTACCCAATTTCGCTCGTCCTTGTTGGTATGATCTACACAAGCACCAAGGCTCTGCAGTACCTCTCCGTGCCTGTCTACACCATCTTCAAGAACTTGACCATCATCGCCATTGCTTATGGTGAGGTCCTCTGGTTTGGTGGTTCCGTCACACCCATCGCTCTCTCTTCTTTCGGTCTCATGGTTCTGAGCTCTGTGGTTGCTGCCTGGGCTGATATCAAGAGCGCTATCTCTGGTGACTACAGCGCTACTACTGGTGATGCTGATGCGCTTGCAACTCTGAATGCCGGTTACTTCTGGATGGCCATGAACGTCTTCTGCTCTGCTTCTTATGTTTTGGGCATGCGCAAGGTTATCCACAAGATGAACTTCAAGGATTGGGACAGTACGTTTATCCTCTGGGCGCAACCTCAGGGTCGCGCTCAAAAACACTGCATGAGAGAACAACTGCTAACAAATCGATAGCCATGTACTACAACAACCTTCTCACCATTCCCGTCCTTGTCTTCTTCTCTCTCGTCACTGAGGACTGGTCCAGCGCCAACTTCGCCAAGAACTTCCCCGAGGACTCGCGCAACCGTATCTTCATCGGCATCATCTACTCTGGTCTGGCCGCTATCTTCATTTCTTACTGCTCCGCCTGGTGCATCCGAGTCACCTCTTCCACCACCTACTCCATGGTTGGTGCTCTCAACAAGCTGCCCATCGCCGTCTCTGGTCTCGTCTTCTTCGCTGCTCCCGTTACCGTTGGAAGTGTTTCAGCCATCTTCATCGGTTTCGTCTCGGGTATCGTGTATGCTTGGGCCAAGGTCAAGGAGAATGAGGCCAAGAAGAACGCTCTTCCTACAGCTGAGAGCCGAGAGCCATCAAAGTAAATTTGACATGGCACGGCGGTGGCTTGTTAGGGCTGCTGTCACCATTCTGCAAGGCTCATTAGCTAATTAGCCATTTTTGGTCAATATTTCCATTTAGTCTGGTTAGACCTGAACGACAATAATGTACCGTTCCACGGTATTTGAACGACACAAGTAATGTAGACATTTTTTTGTATAACGTCGGGGGCAAGAGCTCGCTATCTCGATGGGGTTTTAGGGTGTCATTTAAAAGCGTTTATAGACCTGCTTCAATACACTGTCTTTTTGCTACTGCAAACATTATGTCAACAACAATGGCGCAGGGCTACCTAGTAGTGAAGACGAAACCGACAGACAACGCTCGAGCCTTCATGACGTCCAGCATAAAGGGAACACGGCTCAGCCCTGCCCGTTGACATGGGAGACTGGTTAACGTTTAACGGCGTGGCCTTGGCACAGATCTCGCATGGCATGTCATGTTGCACAGCACTACACTACAGTAACGTACACAAGAGGCTACATAAGCCCAACGTTACATCAGTGCATCGTGTGAGTCTTCACTAACGACGCCATGTCTTGTACAGTAAAAGACCGAAAGTATCTTCAACAAATCACCTGCCAATAATTAAACTTATCCATAATTTCATCTCGACTTAGAGTCATGCATTAATCTCCATGCTCCTCCTTCATCTTCCAGAAATCTCATCTCACCCCTATCTTCTGCAGAACAGGGCTGAGCCATGTCAGATTAACCCAATTTTCGCTCTCAACCCCGTTTTAAGCATATTGAGTGACATTCCACCCCCTTTTCCATAGAAGCATTTTGTGGCGTAAGGCATTTCATTCATTCGCTCAAGAAAAGGAAAAAAAGACCGTTCTGGAACGGCGGGCTCCGTTGGTTTGACATGTTTCTAGGCGCGGGGGAGGATCGCTACCGCTGGGCTGGGACGCGCTGGTTCGAGTCGAAGTCTCTAGCGGGAGGACCGTTAGAATCAATAGTCTAGCCCTACGAAAAGATGCAGTCGTCATTGTGTTTGAGATATGATGGGGATTACATGGTATATTGTGGTTTTAGCGATATGGTGTAGTTTCGGCTCCAGGGTAGACGGAGGAAGAGATGTAATCTTAGTTTATAGACTGGCGTTTTGCTAGTTATTCAGCTCCGTGATCCTACGGTAGTGTGTATGGAGAACAGTAAAATGTTAATTGGGACTTCAGTTGAATCCTTGACCTGGTTTAAAAACTAAGAAGTGTTTCATGAAGAGTGCCGATGAGAATTTAGAGTAGGATTATAAGATTAAAGATTAGCTTGTTTTACGTGCACTGGAGCCTCAGCTTACTTATGCAAGGATGAGAAACATCGAAGCATTTCACAGATTCTTAACACCAAACAGAGTAAAGTCCAAAGGAAAACATAGTCATTCATCTATCAAATTCGACAAAGGAGATCTCATTATACGCCGTGCCATGCCGTTCAATCAATAACAGATCCACTGTGAATCTGTCTGTAAACTTTTCCGTCCCAGTCATTTCGTCCCACAGATAGACACCTTATACGCTGATGGTCCTGAAGACGCTGAACTCCTCTCCTGTGGCGACCAAACTACCCGTGATCTGAGGGTGCCAGTGCACCTCCTTCACATCCTTGAGGTAGTGCACGAACAACAGCTGGGGCGGCACGTCCTTGACACCCGCTGTGTCCTTGCTCTCCTCGTCGTCAAGCTCGACAGCAAGATCCCACAGTGTGACGGTGTTATCACCAGCGGCCACGGCGACGATGGAGTCGTCGGTGGGGTGCCACTCAATGCTTGTGATCTGCTCCTTGTTGAAGTTGAAGCTGGCGATGGGCTGGGGCTTATCGGAGCTGGCCTTCCATTGTCGGAGATCCCAAACGCCCCATGCACCGTTGTCGTCTCCGGAGGCGAGCAGATGAGTTGTCTGGCGCGACCAAGACATGACGTTGACGTCGACATTTGAAACCTGCATGGTGATAGCGGGCTTACGGGACTTGGATCGCACGTCCCAGATGCGAATGGTGCCGTCGCTTGAAGCAGAGGCAAAGACAGATTGCTCGGAGGGTGACCACTGGAGCTCCTCGACACTGCTGGTGTGGCCCTGGAAAGGTCGGTTGTCGGTGACCCAGCCGCCTCCATCGGTGCGTGTTGTCACGTAAATGAGACCGTCGTTGTCACCCGTGAGGAGCTTACCACCGGGAACCGTGGGAGACCAGTCAACGGCGTAACCTTCGGTCTTGTGGGCGCGGACAGTAGAGATAGGCTTGTTCTGCTGAGCGGAGATAGTAGTTCCGGGGCTGTCGAAGGAGGCGAGGTGGGGAGTAATGTCGTGGATAAAGACGTTGCTTGACTCGGTCATCGTAGCAGTGAGGGTAGTTCCAGGTCGTCCAGCCTCTTGGCTAGGAATCTGGTGGGCGCGGATACGGTTGGTCGTAGAGTTGAGAGGGATAGACTTGCTCTCCAGGATAGGGTCAGAGTCCTCGTCATCGTCGTCCTCCGAATCAGAACCCTCGTCACCACGGTCCATCTTGCTGAGACCGCTGAACTTCATAACCATGATCTGGTTGTCAGAGGCCTTTCCAGTCTCGGCTTGTGTTCCAGAGACAGTGTACATGGTAGCAGGGTAGGCCTTGCGGTTGTCGCCAAGGTCATCGCGGATGATATCGAAAGAAAGGCATGGCCAGGGTGTGCTGAGGTTGTGCAGCATCTCGTAGGTTGTCAGATCGGGGGCGAGGGTCTGGCCGGGTTCGAGTTTGCTTCGTCCGACGATGAAGGTTCCTTGGTCGACTTCCATGGCATCTGTTCACAGCATTAGACTGAATTCTGAGCAGTTCAGGGATGATGACTTACCCTTCTCTTCGGCCTCGCGCTCAGCATCAGGTCGTCCATCAACGCCAGCCTCAAGAATCTCATCCTCGCTCTCGAACTCATCCTCGAACTCATCTTCAAACTCTCCCATCTCCTTGGTGTTGTCGTCAATGTCCATCTTCTCAGGGCGTTCGCCGCCCTTGAGGGCATCGCCGTGATCGGCCTCAGCAGTTCTCTTTGCCATGATTGGAATATGCGGTGTTCTTTGGTTCGATCTACAAATTGAAACCACAAAAAGAATGAATTTTTAGTTATCGCCGTCTTTTTGGTGCCCCTCCAAATCGACTGCAGGAAAAAAATAAATTGGAGACTACCGAACCCCGCCATGACGCGGGGCTTTCCGAGAATTTACCGGCGCAAAGCCTTTTGTGGGATGAAAGAGACCATTGCAATGGGAAGAATTAAAGTATGAGTGCGAGAGAAGTAAGTCGTATTGGACCTCTCCAGTTATTTTGTGTATTTCTATAGATTTTACGACTAGAGATGATACAAGTAAGGTAAAGAGGGAAATTCCACCAGAATGTACCTGTCTTTGATCTAAGGCCTTTGATTACAACTGCCGCACGGCATGAGCATGATGAAATCGTGGTAATTGCCAAAGCCAAAAGGTAGAGTGAGACTTGGATTATATGTCTTATAACAATCAGACCGAGGCATGAGTTGTAAGACAATCTGATTATAACGAAGCTTTGCCTTGGTTGGACCCTGTATTGCTGATAAATTCAAGCCTCCCTTCGCCCCATACAGATCCGTCGTATTCGCGGACCGTAGTTTGATTCCAAATGGCTTCCGTTACGCATGGAATACGTTACATGGACATAGCTCGGCCATTGGGCCATTAAACTCGGTTGGGCCTGTTTTGTCAGCAGTTAATTCCATTCATTCAGCGGCACTCGGCCCAAAGAACCCCACGTCAGCCTCTCCGAAATTTCACGATTGTGTCATAGTGCCTGTCATGTTCACCACCACCGACTCCCGGGTTCCTGAATAATTGAGTATCTGAGTAGACCAGGTAGAGTAATCAATCGCGAAACTGGAGCTTCTAGAAGCCTGAATAGCCAAGTATATAAACGTATCCACTCCGCTACAGTAGATCCATCTTGACCTTTTGAATTCTACCCCTCCATATCATATTTACTTAGTTATATAAACACAATCCCCCCACCAAAACCCCTCAACCCTTCGACACCAAACAAAACACACTCACAGACCAACACCTAAACCACCAAAACCACACCACACCTTTCAAAATGGCTGCCCCCTCCTCCGCTGTTGTCGAGATCAAGTCCAAGGCTCAATTCGACGAGCTCGTCAAGACTACTCCCTACGTCGCTCTCCAAGCCCACGCCTCATGGTGCGGTCCCTGCAAGGCCATCTCCCCCATCTTCAACAAGCAGGCCGCCGAGCACAAGTCCGACAAGTACGCCTTCGCCAAGTTCGACACCGACGACGTCCCCGATCTCGCCTTTGAGCTCGGCATCCGCTCCATCCCCGCCTTCTTCTTCTTCGAGAACGGCGACAAGGCCAGCGATCTGCTCGGCGCTGTCCCCCCCAAGCTGACTGCCGCTGTCAAGACCTACGCCGACAAGGCTACCGGCGGTGCTGCCGAGAAGCCCGCCGAGGAGAACACCCTCAAGACCGATGAGAACTTCTAGATGGAAAGCCTCGGGCGAAAAATAAAAACACTACAGAGCAAATGGCGTTAAGAACGCAGATTCGCAAGGATACCCCCCTATAAACAAGGCGCACATCACGGGCACCATTCACCAAGGCGAAAGCCATCATGAGCTAGGATTGCGACATATGGCTATGCGAAAGCGCAAGGCTTTGAGGAGGATGGGTTGCATTGCTTAGCTAGAAATAAACCTGATCACTTCAACGCAATTCTTGTCTCTTTGTGAAATATTTGTAATTCTTTTTTTTTGTTACCTCTAGAGGTAAATTGTATATACGTACGGTGACATCAAGTAAATGTTCGCTGTGGCTCATTGTTGGCCGTGTAATCCGAGACTTCATATCTCGCAATGCTAAGGATTCCAGAACTCATGCCATCGTCAAACTCCTCTTACTTCTCTGGAATCTTCTCTTGAGCCCCCTTTTCGAACCTCCCCCTGGAAGATTCCCTATCCTCTTTGACACAAGAAAAAGTCAAGTAAGTTATTGTACAGGGTTCGATGTGTAAACACCCTATCAGACGCCTTTCCAAGTGGTATACGATCAAGCCCCTATAAGCAAAACAAACGCCAACTCCAACAAATGCTGCTGAGATATATCATTCCCATGTCGTATCTCAGTAAGATTGAACAACTGAATCCGCCGACTCATCACTAATGCGGCCGACGCCAGAATCCACTCGTTTCTTACTTGGTGTGATTTCCTCATGTGTTTCGATTTGATCCTCGAAACCATTCTTCTGATCACCTTGAACCGAAAGCCTCGATGTCAACCTTGGTCCTGCTGATCTGCGCCGGTTTGCAACATCTTGGCGAGGTGGCTTCAGCTCGTCAACACCCAGACTCATTCTTGGCGAGGATCTCTCTCTAACGCTGAGAAACTGGCTTCCAGAGCGACTATGACCGGGGTTTGGCGATCCGTTGGGGCTTGTAGGTGAGTTCAACGCCGACGAGTAGCGGAGGCTTTGACGTGAACTTCTCCATCTGCTCAAATTCCAGAAACTGCCCTCCTTGTCGTTAACACCCTCAGAATCAGAGGCACTGATCAGGCTGAAACTTGGGGTTGGTGGGCTTGTGATGCCGTTTCTCTCCCGGTCATGTGAAGCTCTGACTGTGGTGCGGTTAGATAGACCACTGCCGGTAGGACTTGTAGGAGTTGGGCGGCTGATCGGACTCGTCGGTAAGGGCTTCCTTCGAGATTCTGGTGCCAGGTTGGCCGCTGAGTTGGTCGGTGACTGTCCCGGTTTGGTAGGAGACATAGATCGCTCGCTTCGAGCTGGTGTATTGTTCATGCTGGGTCTTCCTCCATCGATATCCTGACGCCAGCTGTTAATTCTGTCAGAAGCATGCTGGAGTTGGATCGGATTGGGACCAGGAATGTTAAGTGATCCACGTCTCGATTGCACACGACTGCTCGCACTCGTTCTCGTCATGACACTGCCACTCCTACCGACACCAGAGAGACGGTTGCCCAATCGAGAACCTGACTCCCAGAGTCCTTGCTGGCGCTTCTTATGGGCACAGTCCTGTCTGAAAACCTTGATCTTTCCAGTTCTATCAGTGGTGATGATGATATTTCCGTCCAGATGCCTTGAGCGCTCGATGTATGCTGGTGTTTCTTCGGGCTTTTTGTTGCTGTGAAGCGAGTCGCCGTGGTCTTCGTCTGACAAAGCCGAATGGCTTGGCGTGCTTTCTTCGAGGCTTCGCAGCATCACGGGTGGCGGGTTGCACAAGTCATAGATAGGATCCCCAGAAGCACTCAATAGCTGCCGACTCTTTGACGGAGCCATCAAAGCCGTGGTGACGACCTCGGGGTGAGCATCGAATGTTTCGTATGGCTGCTTGTCCTTGATCTCGTCTTGGCCACCGAGCTTCCAGATGTAGGCCTTCCGATCCTCGCTGCCGCAGATAATATAGCTGCCATCGTCGCTGAAGCGTGCATTAATTTGGCTTGACTGGTTTTCTAGTCCCTTGTACTTAACCTGGATCACTTTATCGTTTAGGTTATACACTCGAACTCGAGAGTCGTTTGAAGTAACCAGGACCTTGACCGTCCCAGCTTCGGGTCCTGACGGTATCGTCATAGTTCGAATGCCAGTGATTTTGCTTCCTTTGGCATTTTTGCCCCTTGATGAGCGGACATGAATTTGGTACTTGAGCTTCAAGCCCTCGGTAGCGTAGAAAGTACATAGACCACTCAGCACACCACATATAGCAATATTTCCGTCGGGGGAAAATGCTACCGCAGTAATGAATTCACCCACAGGTGCTTGGAAAGCGACGTTCTTGTCCGGAATGCTCCATAATCGTAGTTGCGCATCCAGTGATCCTGCGAGAAAGAATCGATCGTCTGTAGGGTGGAAGGCGATCGATGTGACCAGATCCTTGTGCACAAAAGTACACAAGCAATCACTCCTGCTCATATGCCATAACTTTACGGTCTTGTCCATGGAAGAGGATAGCAAAAAGTTGTTCTTGCTCCAGCTTAAGGCAAGCACCTCGCCAGTGTGTTCCTTGAATTCTCGCACAGGCTTTGTGCGGAAGACAGGAGCACTAAGCTTCTCGCCATGAGTACCATTTTGTGCCTCCTCTTCCTCGTGTGCTTTGCGTTCCTCCGGCGTAGATATCACAGCAAACACTCGTACGATCTGATCCTTTCCTGCGACGGCCAAGTATCGTCCATCCAAGCTGAATTCGGCTGCCCAGATAGCATCACCACCCCTAAGGATCTTGCTTCCAACTGCCGTTGCTACCGCTCGGCCGTGTGTATGTTTGTGTTCTGAGGCGGTAAGTTCTTGTGCGAGGAATAGGTGGTTATAGTCTCTATCCTTCTTGTTATGCGCCTTGACTCGGATATATCGTGGAGGTTCTTTATGAAGAGGTATGTATCCTCCACCTGCACCGATGACGGATGTGAGAGCTCGTGCGTAGGTGCCATCGGTTCGCAGTTCACCCAGTTCGGAGTCGGATTCCTGCATGTCATCATCTTTCCTCCAACTTCCGCGCATTCCCAGTCGACTCAGGAAAGAAACTCCTTTCCTCCGATCCTTGCTAGAATCCTGGGTAGTGTTTGGCGACTTGCTAAGTTCGGAGCTTTGTCTTTGTAGGTTGTCTGCAGCAGGGCTGTCGGAACGACCCTGGTTTAGAATTCGTTGTGCAATGGTAGGCTCCGCGGTGTTACTGTTGGTACGCAAGTAGATTTGCTAAACATCACATGTTAGTTGCGGTCCAAGTATACCTCGTTGCCCTTGAGTCAACTAGTCGCAAATACTTACCGTACTCAAAGGGTCAAGCCCAGCGTTTGGGGGAGGACTGGGAGAACTCGACTTGAAGGGAGGTTTCCAGTCCTTTGTTTCTTTTGCATTCTGAGAGCCTGACACAGATGGTTGTGTAGTCGAGAGCCTGCTCGATGGGAGGTCCAGGGAAGCACCAGCACCTATTGACAAATTGTCAGCTTACATAGTATTATAGTGAGCATTGTGTATAGCTAGTATAATAGTGGCCAGTGAAAAGGGCCTTGGGCGCATAGGAAGCTCCAGTCGCAACAAGTCCCTGCATAAGCGGACATGCGCCCAGGCGTTCACTTAGTAGGTAGGGCATTGTGACTTGGCCATAGGACCGAGTGGAGGGGCAAGAGTAAAGAAGCATATACAGTACATACCCTGAGAATCAGAACGAGCAGCGAGGCTCTGGCGGCGTTGAGGCTCAGACTCGGGAAGGCTGGAAAGGGCAGAATCGCGTCGTCTATACAAACCACGTTCGCCCCGGACAGCAGGCGAAGAATTGGAGGCGGACATCTTCCATACTTGATGGGCAACCAGTCCCTAAAGAATTTTGAACGAGATAGACCGGATTGCGCGGGCGGTCGGCCTCGCGCAACTTGTGGGAGTCCAGTCCCCGACCCGATCAAAACGAGAGAGTGTGGCCTTGGCTGACGGACTCGGAGACTCGTGGGGGGGTGAGCACTGAGAAGTGGGCGGGCGTGGCGGAGACCGGGGGTAACGAGCTTCTGAAGTCCAATCCGAAGGGTCCGAGAGCGAGCGAGCGAGAGGGAACGAGACGTGAGGCTGGGAGGCTTGGCTCAAGGCAGATCCTTTCGTACGGGCTCGATGTACTGTAGCTGTGTACCTCTGACAGTGAAATGAATGCCGACTGGCTGGTGTTTAGTCAATAGACCGTCGGTGAATGCTGTCTCCTTATTTCATATTCCGCTCCGACTGGACTAATATGCAAGTGATGTTGGTTAGTCTCCAGCTGAGTGAGGGTCTAATTCCAGGCGTGTCAGACAGGTATTGGTAGGGTGAATAATGGATGATGACAGGAGGGATGTTGCTCAAGGGAGAGATAGAAAGGAGGTAAGGCTGTTCAGATGCAAGCAACCAAGCAAGAATGCATGTATTGTATTTTGTAATACAGAGCTCAACAGAATCAGAATCAGGTGCTCAAAGTGTAGCAGGGCAACCAGCGATTTTTGCAATGGTTATATGAGACGGACAGCCATGACATGAAGGACTTAAGCGAAAACGACCCATCGGGCGAATGCGACAGCCAGGCAGGCGCTGTAGTGCGCTGGGGACAGCGCTGCACAGCAACCAGACAGCGGCCACTAGGTGCTTCCAGCTACTTACAGTACAGTGTAGTGGGGTCGAAAGCCAAACGGTGTTAGTGTGTAAGAGAAGCTCGATGGGCTTCTTTTTTTGGCGCGTGATATAATAGTGAAAGAAAAAGGAGTAAAAGGGGTGTCGAAATGTGCTGGTAGGAAGCTACGAATGAGATGTTGGAAAAGGGAGAGCTGATGCCCACGCGCGCAGAGCTGCGACTCTGGATGACAAAAAGGTTGACAATTGTATGAGCAGCTGATGTGTAGCTGCAGCTCGTTACCGTGCTGGACACTCAGGTCAGGCCCCCGGCTCTGTGAGAAATAGGTAAGCACCGAATTTAGTATGGGCGGGCTGTGCTGTGGCTCTTCAGTGAATTTACAGGAAATAAGGGGGAAAGAGGTGCAACTTGTAGGATTGTATCACACCTTTACCGGATATCGGCTGGATCTTCTGGGGTTAGAATGGATGAGATGGAGTCTAAATGAGGTAAGACAAGACTTAAGTGCGATGATCTTGGTTGAGAGTGCATCAATCAGGCTGAGTTTCATAGGGCAGAGCCAATTTGGCAGTTTGATGGCTCACCATGGCAACTGTTGATTGGTCTCATTGTTAGTGACGGTTATTAGTGAACATTCCATGCTGGCTATGTTGATAATGGCATCGCCTTGTTGATGGCTGTTCTCTTTCTACGTACTCCGTAGCTAGTTGGCAATTAATCGCATAAGGCTGGATGATCGACCGTCATCTCAACGGGCTGTTCTCCAGATTGTCTGTGCCACGGCCAAATGCGAACCCACGGCTCAGCACTCACCGCATGTACTCCGTACAGTACATGTGAATGAGAGAATAAGACGATGAAATCTTGACCGCAACAGCGAAAATACGGTAATTGACCCATCATGTCATGTTTCGGAAGGGCATCGTATCAAGTATACGAGTAAACGAGTATACGAGCTTGCTGATATCTCAACCATAATTAGAAGCTCATCAACAAGTCTAATGTCTCGTGCTCTGTATTCAATACTCGTTTTAGTTGCTTCCGCGTATTCGGGACGCTTTGCATTTGGAGCCAAGCCTCCAGGAACTGCACTAACACAACCACATTCGCACATCTGCACATATAACGTCGGGTCTGGCCCATGAACGAGGGGTAAAAATGATGAGAGAGTTGCATCGAATGCATCTCAAGTGAGACAAGTATGCGAGAACCACCAGCTAAACGACGCAGACTCACTCGTGCATTTCACATGCTGGGCTTACGTCGTTGACTTTCCGAGACTGACCGGGATTAGCAGCTTCTTAACCAGGCATGGTTTTTGGAGAGGAAACTCGGTGCCTTGCACTATCGAGATGCACGACGTCAGATCAGCAGGTATCAAGTATCAAGTGCGTATGTAAGTCTGTGTTGTTCTGTCAATAGCGATACTTTTGATCTGCTGTATCATGATGACGCGTTGTTCAGACAAAGAACTAACATTATGATTTTCAGCGTCAAATGCTGACAAGATTTGAAGATGCTACCTAATTAGAGCTTACGAACTACTAATTATCAGAATATGGTTTATCGGCAACGTTTTGCATTAATGCCTTTATTCCCTCAGCCACATGCTTGCTTAAACGACGACAGTCTGTCTGGTTGTCACACGATGCGAAGTGCAGCACTTAGCATATCGCCAAGAATGCAATGCAGTTCCGTGGATCACCTCGTGCCGTTCTTCCAGAGAGTTTTTTTTTCCATGTCTCAGTCGCCAAGATCGCCAAGGCCTGTCATGGGTCTCTATGGCGTTCGGCGTAGAGCGAACAAATCGATCCATTTTCGTTCCATCTGTAAATCCCCTCAAACTCCGCCAGACGAAAGGAAAAAAGCGCAAAAGAAAAGTTAGTTTAGCGCTCTGTCACTGTGATAGCTTCAAGCAACCGGGGTTGTGTTGAACTCCGTTCATCTCGTCCTCCGCAATCCGCGGAGCTTCTAAGACTCCGCATCCATGCACCAGAAACAAATCTTGTGTTCGAGAACTTTGAGCTTGTGGAGTCACGTCACTCAAATCGTCGTCTAATTATCCACTTTTGGGCATCTAAACTCCAATCCCGTGCTTCTAACTCTCAGAACTTGGCCTGATAGTTTCAAGAGTGGTCACTCACGAGTCACTTGCAGGTCCACGGACAAGATCAAAACCCCGTCGGGCCCGGCCACTCTCCACCACCGACTCCGACGTCAACATCCTCAACTTATCCTTGTCTGTACCTGACAGCGGCACCGAGAGATCTATTCTGAGCCGTCCAACTGCCGTATCGCCGAACTACCGTGGTCCATCTATCCACTTGGCCCTTCACATTCACGATTCATACTCGATTTTGATGGCCACTCCCTCCGGAAGAGTTAGCCTCCACTGTCCAACAGCCGTTGAGCCTCAAAATCTGCCCGTCTTGGCTTTTTCGTCTTGGACTCTTGGTCAGCCAGCCTAGTCTAGCCCAGCCTTACTAGTCTTAGCCGCATTGCACCACCCACCTTGGGCCAACAATCTATTGGGTATCACTATCAATATCATCATCCAACATCAGTTTGTCATCGGCGAGTTCTCTGGTGAGACAACTACCCAATAATTATCTGGGTCTTTGTCAGACACGGGCCAACTCTTGTTTCTGTCGCTGTCACAAACCCGCCGAGGTCCGAGGCTTTGATATCCAGCCTCCAGCTTGACATCTTCACGCTTCACACTTCAGCTTTCATCAGCCACAGCTCGCACACCTAGCCAAAGATGAAGTTAGTATCACGCAAGGTCCCCAATTCCCTCGCGGACGAGACCGTTTCTCTCCTGCCCGAGGATCCCGAAGATATGGTCAGTAGCCCCTGTTGCTTGGTCCCTTCTAAGTTTATACCCCTGGTCTGCCATATCGTTTTCCCTCTATTGTCCCTTAGACCCTGCCTCTATTCCTATCGTTACCCCTCCCCCTCCACCGGTTGTCACACCCTCCGCGGTCTCTGGCCTCGACATTCTGCTGTCCAGCATTTACCTTATACCGCATGTCTCGCACTTCAAGCCACTATCTGTTCCGAATCCCACCGATGTCAATGCTTGTTCTTATGAGGCAGCACGCTAACAATGTTGATAGTGGCATGCATACAACCTAATCCTATCTGGAGACATCATCCATGCTCACACTGTCCGTAAAGTAGTCTTGTATTCAGACACTGGGAGCTCGAAATCTGAGCGTTTTCACACTGAACTGGCTATCAAGGTCAAATCCACTTCCTTTGATCCTATCATCTCATCACTCCGCGTTTCTGGAACCATCATTTTAGAGAACCAACATGCCGCCTTAGGCTCTCATCATACCCTCGATCTCGAGGTGAACCGCCCGTTTACTATCATCAAGCCAGAAGGATGGGACTCTGTCGCAAGAGCCACTCTTCAAGAGGCATTATCAGATGACAAGGATGGTGCCGTAGCAGCCGTTGTCATGCAAGAAGGACTTGCCAACATCTGTCTCATCACACCGTTCCGAACCGTCCTCAAAGTCCGTGTTGAGAGCGTGATTCCCAAGAAACGCGATCTTGCATCAGACCAAGATGCAGGTATGCGCCGCTTCTTTGAGAAGACATTGTCGACTCTTTTACGAACTATGGACTTCACACAGTCACGGCCGCTGTTACTGGCGAGCCCAGGCTTTGTGGCTGGAGACTTCAAGCAGTATATCGCCAACCAAGGACGGGATAAAGCAGACAAGGTGCTTACAGCGGTGGCGAAGCAGGCTACGGTGGTTCACTCCAATTCTGGTCACGTCCACAGTCTTAACGAGATCCTTAAAAGCCCTGAAGTCTTGGCCAAGATGAAGGATATGAAGTTCGCCCGTGAAACGCAGTATGTTGATCAATTCTTCGACATGCTAAAGCTGGACGATGGGCGTGCATGGTATGGTACTTCAGCTGTCGAAAAGGCCGTCAAAGACGGAGCCGTGGGGCCAGGTGGTGGTGTTCTCCTGGTCAACAATTCTCTGTTCCGAAGTGAAGACCTTACTCTTCGCAAAAAGTACGTCGCTCTGGTTGACAAGGTACGGGGTGATGGCGGTGAGGCGAGGATTCTCAGCAGTGATCATGAGAGTGGTCAGCGATTGACTATGTTGGGCGATATCGCTGCCATACTCAACTACCCAATGCTGGACCTTGATGAAGACGATGCCGATGAAGATAACGAGGCAACTGGAGAGCCTACTATGGAAAATAGTGTCATCTAGTTCAACGAATAGACAAAAGAAATGAGATATGAATTCATGAGGCTCTACAGCTGCGGTGTTACCCTATACCGTTTCGTGAAACCTGCTCAAAGGACATCGCTCAGTTTGCCATAGCTGCACATCCCTCAATCTTCACCTAACAACGTGTGTAGCTGACCTCCCATCTGTTTTGATTCATTGCGTATCTCCTAAAGAACGCTCAGATCTTGAGATCGTCGGTTTTCTCGGCGTTAAGTAAACAAGATTGACAACAAGGTGCACGTAACTATCCCCGCACTTTCACCCGACCGTGAATGTCGAATCAACGCCACGATGATCATCACGACAAGTTACTCGCGCTTATCTGATCCATAAACGCGAGAGTACAAAATCATGTCGTAACTCCGAGCTCCGAAAATATGTATAGATATCCAAACAATTTCGTCGTTGACAAAGTGTTGACCTTGTTGAACCTGAAACTATTTAAATGATCCATCGTCCTTGCCCCTACCCCTCATCCACAAACATCAATCCAACATCATAAAGAAAGTGTTCATGAATTTCAGAATGGCCTCTAAACTCGCTCTCGATTCTACCAGGAAGCTCAATTCAGGCTACCAGATCCCTCTTCTTGGCTATGGAGTAAGTGATCCTTCAATCCTTCGTTTTACACCCTGCTAATGTAACTGCCTAGGTCTACAAGGTGTAAGTCCACGTCATGTTCCGGAGGCCCTGTGTACTCTAACCACGTCATTCAGTCCCGCTGAACAAGCCCCCGACCTCTGCAAGAAGGCTATCGAGATAGGATACCGCCATGTGAGTTTATCCAAAGCCTTTGGCGTTCAATGCACAACTAACATACTCAGATCGACTCTGCTTCAGGGTACTACAACCAGGGCCCTAGCGCAGCTGGACTCCTAGCGTCTGGCGTACCTCGCTCAGAGCTCTTCTTCACTACCAAGATCTTCACCAGGCAGTTTCCCTTGAACTACGAGAATGCACACAAGCAGGTAGACATTGCTCTCGATGAGACGAAGCTCGATTATCTTGACCTTGTTCTCATTCATGCCCCGTATGGTGGACCTGATGCCCGAAAGGGTGCTTGGAGAGCTCTTGCTGAGTGCGTCGAAGCTGGCAAGGTGCGATCACTCGGTGTTTCCAACTACGGTGTTCATCATCTAGATGAACTAGAGGCATACATCAAAGAACTTGATGCCGAGCTTGGACCGGGCAAGGGAGGCGTCATCTCGGTCGGGCAGTGGGAGGTGCACCCGTGGCTTACACGACCTGACATCGTCAAGTGGTGCCAGGACCGAAACATTGCAGTTGAGGCTTACTGCCCCATTGTGCGTGGTGAACGATTTGATGACCCCAAGGTCAAGACCCTCGCGGACAAGTATGGCAAGAGTCCAGCACAGGTTCTTCTTCGGTGGAGCTTGCAGAGGGGTTATGTTCCTCTGGTGAAGAGTGTAACGCCTTCAAGGATTCTAGAGAATGCTCAATTGTTCGACTTTGAGTTGACGGAGGAGGAAGTGAAGGATTTGGCAACTGATGAGTATAGCCCTTGTGCTTGGGATCCTACTCGTGAGCCTCTTGAGAAGTAGATACCGCGAGACGGAATATAAAAGGGACTTCAATAGAATCGCTAAAGTTCAAGAGTCTGAGAAGTCCATTATCCATAATCAAACGGATCTTGCTGTCTTACAAGAATTGGTGTTTGTCATACTGTTATTGTTCATGGACCCACGTGATCTCGTTTCCACCTCGCGTCAGTCCCACGCGTTCCATGCCACTCCAAACTCAATCATCACCACCAACCTCATCACACCACATCCGCCTGTCGTGCAAGCTGGCCAAATGTCGTCTTCAAGTTCAACATGGGCCAGCGAACGTTCACGGTCATCCCGAAATTCCCGGGTCGTGCTGATTCTCCCGACAAACCGCCCTTACGGCCCATGACCTCGAAACAAGTCCGGAACGCCTACAAAGCAGCCAACAAGGGTCCTAAACTCACACGGGAGGAGTCACGGAGACAAGAGAGGGCCGAACAGGAAAGAATCAGAAAGGAGTTCGAACGGGAGAAGGCTGCTGCCAAGGCGAAGGTTGCGAGGGACAAGAAGAAAGAGAAAGAGTTGGCGGAGAAAGAAGCGAAACGAAAGAAAGGATTGCCTTTGGTGAATGTTCGACCCAGTCAGGAAACAATTTCATGGTTTGTGAGAGGGAATGGTACTTCAAAGAAGAGAGATGCCCAAGGCAACGACATTCAAGACGACAATGCGACGTCGAATGAGAGTAATACGGACACGAATGAAGCGATAACAAGCGAAGAACAACCACAACAACCGGCGACCAAGGCGCAGAAGCTTGATGACATACAGGAAGACGATGAAGAAATTTCTGATGCTGCTGTGGAAGCCATTGTCGAGGACCTACCAAAACCGCTACGGGAATCATCAAAGCCTCAATCACCTGAGGCGGAAAAAGAGACAATCGCAGAACCTACAGAACAAACAACAGCCCTTGTTGCATCGGAAACGGCACTAGAAAAACCACCAATGCCCGAAATAGAGCTAGAAGGATTAGAGGACGAATTAGATGCGGATTTCGAGGAAGATCTGGCCCTGGGAATTCTTGAGGATATTGAAGCAGCTATGGGCAATCCAAAATCCAATATGAATCACGGAGTCCAAAAGATCTGCAACCAAATACCAGAAGAAGCACTTGTCACGACGAAGAAACCACTGGAAGTCACTAGGAATGACATCTCAAATCGCTATGCAGAAGATTTGGGCTTAAAGCGACCTGCTTCTCCAGTCTCTTCTGCCAAACCGCCTCTTCCACAACGCAATCTGGAATCACGATCCCCAAGTCCACCACACCAAGAACCACCCATGAGCACGCAAGCGATTCTCTACAACCTGGATGATTTCTTCCCTTCATCATCTCAACAAGTCCGAGAACTTGAGGAAGAGCTGGATGAGGGCATAATGCCATCTGCTCCCTTACACTTGACCCCTATTGCAGAAGAAGAGGAAGAGGAATCTTTCGATGAAGGACTGGAGAAATCCTCAGAACAGCCCCCCTTACCAGCACTTGAACCTGCCTCGGACTCGCCACCTCCACCACCAAGACGTTTTTTCACTTCTTCCGGCTCACACGAAAGAATGTGTCTAGCTATTCAGAGAAGTCGTCGTACAGCTGCGCTTGAGAAGATCCAGCAACGCGAGCTCGCTCGCATGCAGGCTGGTATGATAGAGCAAGCTCAAGCAGAGTCTCGCAGAATTTGCAAACCGCGTGAACCTATGAGAAAACCACCAGTGTTTTCCAACCCTCCTCCACATGCAGCTCAATGCAATCAGCCACGAAAACCTCCGTTTAAGACATCACCAACACTACAGAAAACACCACACACTAGTACGACAACTTCCGCAAAGCGAACTGAGCCTCAACAATCTAAACAACCTCTTGAGAAACCCTTACCTAGACTATCCAACAACCCCAACATTATGAACCCTCGGATTCCACCAAAACGAGTAGAGACTCCAAAACAACACCTACCACCACTTCAGCAAGAAAGCAAAGAGAACCAGAAGCCGCCACAACAGCCTTTTGCACCTAGTGCTTCGCAAGAGTCATATGGCGGCGAATGGGTCGACGATTTGGACCTAGACCTCATGATATAACGATAAACATGTACATTGGATGACGACTACCGAAATGGCCGAATTACACAACACTGAGAGGAATTACAGCATGGCATGGGATCGCACGATGGCTCGGAGTTAAGGGCATCATATCACCCTTTTGTATGGGTGCTGGGTGGCAAATTATGCATATTTCTCACGACATAGCGACGGCGTTTAGAATATTATCCTGTTTTATTTGAGAAGTTTACCTTAGTCTAAGGATTAGTGATGCTCTTGGACCAAGCTATCCTTACTTTCAACCCCTGATCCTCCCCATGAAATCACATATATCACCGCTATACTGTAAAAAAAAGCCCTGCAGACTTCAGGGGGAAAAGTGTCTGATAAGATACAATCCTTAACGCCAATGCTATGCTCGCAGTATCCTTATCGTCATTCGTGACTTCGTTGCCCCTAACTCCCACGACCGACCACAAGTGAGGTTCTTGGGCCAGCAAATCAAAGGAAGATTCCAACCCACTCCGACTTTTGTGATACCTTGGTATCACAACCGTCCACTGCGCATCGGAGATCATTTGGAGTCGCGGACGAAGGTCGCCCATCAGGGGATCGGAAGCCTACGCCATCGCGGTTCGCCTTCGTAGGCTTTCTGTTTTCATAACAATCGGCACAGTAGACCTGTATATGTTAGTTTCTGGTGGCAATCCACATGTACAACTGTAAAACTTACGTGTCCGCACTTCTTGACGGCCCAGAAGTGGTGTTCTCCCGGTGCTCGCTTTCGCTTTCCCTTCTGCGTACCCACAGAGCTCTGTGTCACTGTGCCGCTTGGGTCATAAGCCAGCTCCTCATTACAGGCTGGGCAGATAACCACGCTTTCAGACTCCTTCTCCGGGTCGGTGCAGGTATTGCGAGTGAACCCTTCTCGCGTTGGGGGCGGCGGGGACATCTGTGGCTTTGGGGTCGGCTGTCTTGCGAATGCGTTGCGTGAAATGTCAAGGTTTGGTGGGTTGAAAGCTATGTCTGCTGCACCAAAGATACCAGCCAATCTCCTGAAGGGGCCAAAGGCAGCAAAGTTTGGTAGAGATCCCAGAGCTGGTCGCTGGCTTATTATTTCCAGCTCGATCAGCTCGTCCGGCCTAGGCACTTCGCGTCTCCCTCTGAAATGTGATCGATCTTCTTCAGGTGAATCCGCAGTCAAGTCAATAACATTCTCTGCACGTCCCACGAAAGTACCATCGGTGCGTGCTAGCTGAGGCGGTGATATGCGCTGAGAATTCGTTCTACGCGGGTTCCTTGCAGGTGGTCTCGCGGGCTGAAGGATGTCGAGTCTAGCTCGCGATTGTACAGGAGAATCAGGCTCTTCCGTGAGGTCGATCACAGGGGTAGCTTCTTGCGGCGGCTGTTGGTGTAGTGCTGAATTTCGAACAGCTCGTGAGCGGCGAGTGTGGCGTGTATTGTGATATGCAGCAGGTGCATTGGGATGTGGAAGAAATAGTTGATCTCCAGAATTTGGCCGTGGTCTGTAAGCGCTTTCGAAAAAATGTTCAAAATCTTCATCCCCTCCCGCCTCAAACATCTCGAGAGGGTCACTGTTTTCAGCCATGTTGGGTAGGTGGTGTAAGACTTAGAATGCGAGGTATAGTGTGTTCTCTCTTATCGTATTCACGGCATAAAGCCTCCTGAATATCACCCGAGGCAGTGAACACTTATACAGTGAATGGCCGCCCAGGGCGAAGCAGATAAAAAGTGTGGCGATTAGCAAGTAGAGAAAGCTAAGCAAATGCGCTATGGCAGCAAGACTGAATTAGATGATGAGACATAGAATTATGCTCAGAGGAGTCGTAAGCGTCTGTATCGTGTCGTATCGGTTCGTTGGGAGGTGTAGACGTGGAGTCGTGGGGAGGTGAAGGTTGTTGGTAAGCATCAAAGTTAGTTGTATGAAAGGAAGTTGAAATTGAATGTCGCTACTGTGACGATCGATGCAAGGCTGCTCCCCATGTGACGACAGGACTCTAGCGCGTAGAGACCCTGCACTGGCGAACACTGTTTACCCCGCTAAGTGGCACCAAGAATAGGCTTCAAGGCTTCACTACAAGGGGTTAATACAGCCCGGCTCCACTGTCAATAGGTACCTTGTTATATTGAAGCCCGTGATGGTTTTTCGTGATGGTTGTTTTGTTGTTGTTTTGAAGTATCAATAGGTAAACAATACACCAGCCTCTGGGAGCAAGAAGACTTCTGACATTTAGTAAAGGTGTCAAAAATAACCACTTAGTCTAAAAACTTACCAAGGTAAGTTATGTTAAGTTTACCCGGTAATTTTTTTGTCACTTAGAATAGAGGTGCTAAGTTCTGCCTCCCATTTCAATATGCAAAAACCAGAACCATAATTATCAATTTTCAAACACCAACCTCTGTGCTTTGCTTTGACCCTTTATTCGGGCGTATAATACAAATTATCAAGGGAATCATCCAGGCGTCTCCTTCTCAGCGAAATTCCATCTAAACCCCAGTCTATTCCTTTGTTGCAAGTACGCTGACCACACCCTCACCATTGACTGTTACGAGCTGCTTTGCAGACTCTCCCCACCGAACAGCAACGGAGGGTGTAGAACTCTTCAAAGGCTCGGTCCACTTCTTGCTGGACTTGGTGAACTGTTGCACTGTAACTCCAGCCGCACCGCCAGTGGCGAGGAACTGGCCACTGTAGTCCCACGCCAGGGACTGGACCGGCCCGCCAGTCTCAAGAACCTTGGCCACCGCCGCGTCTCCCTCTTTACGCAGATCAAAAATAGTGACCATGGTCTGGCCCTTGGCTGTAGCTGCGAACCAGTAGCCGTTCTCGGAGAAGCTGAGAGCCTGGATAGGGGCGCCCAGGCTGAAAGAAGCTGCCTGCTCAAGAGTGTTGGTCATGAAGAGCTTGATTTCGCCTGATGTGGTACCGGCGGCAAAGAGGTGACCATCAGGGTGGAAGGCACAAGATGTAAGTGCTGGGAACACGTTAGCACAGAATTATCTTTGGGTGTACCAGGAGAAGCTTACCAGCATCGGTGTAAGCGCGGGCAACACGTTTCTGTGCGACCAAGTCGTAGAACACGATGCTCTTATCTGTACCAACAGAGGCCAGAATTTCACCGCTGGGGTGCAGGCTCAATGCCGTAGCAGCACCAGCATGTTCACTCAGTGATGCAACCTGGTTACCCTCCTGGAAGACCTTGACACTGCCTTGGCCAGTCGCAAAAGCGACACCGGCCTCAGCCCAAACAGCGTCTGTAACAGGCTCACCCACTGAGAGAGACTGCTCGACCTTATCCTCGGTGGTAGAGTAGACAACTGCCTGTCCCTTCAAGCCTCCAACTGCCGCGGCATTGGTTCCTCCAACAGTAAGGGCGGTAGCCTCAGGAACAGGCAAGGAGTGTGTGGTCGCGCTCTCGAAAGCCGAAATCTCTTCGCCGGTGGCCCAACCCTCGGGGACAGGACGCTTCTTGCGACCCTTTGATAATCTGCATGCTCGTTAGTTCTGAATCGTATAGTTGAAGGACGGCAACATACGTCTGATGGGTCTCGTCCACCTTGGCAACAAGTTCCTCTGGCAACTTCTCCACGCTATCGACCTGCATAGAATCACCATCGACCGCACCTCCTGTCACAGTGACCTTGCTCAAAGCATCCCTGGCCTCGTCTCGCTCCCTTGTGAGTCGTGCAATAACTCGGACAGCAGCGTCGTGCTGATACAACGCTGTGGCAAGCTCCTCTCTGGTGCGCGCAAGCTGCTCCTTAAGGTTATATGTCTCTAAAGCCAGCGCGTCCCATTCGTTCTGGAAAGTAGCGAGGAGAGCGGGAATCGATGTGAGGGTAGGAGGACGCGGTCGGACAATACGCGACGAATGGATGGGGAGGAGGTCATCGGCGGTCAGGGCCTCGCCAGAATCGGGCTCGGTGCCATGTTCGTTGATATATTGATCGATAAGGCGCTTCTCGTAAACAACACCTTTGCTGAGTTAGCCGCGAAAGCTGCGCGTTGATGATGTTGATAGTACATACCGGACTTCTTAGAAACGACGGGCTCTTGAGGAGCCTCTCCAGAAACTGTCAGGAGGTCAGCGAACCGTTATTTATCGATGGCAAAACTGGAAAACTTACTTCCGCAAAGCATGGCGACTACAAATTTGAGCTCGTGGAGCTTTCAATTGCTTGTCGTCAGGTATAGCGCAAATCAACGTCTCGAAGCTCTGTTGCGACAACAATTGCCTAGTCGAGATTTTGCCAGTGCACTGACCAGAGCTTTGAATCACGGGATGATAAGATAAGGTGGACTGTATCTTATCGTGCATCATCTTGATGCATGACTCGAGGCGGGGGGCACCGGTAATAGCGAGTTCGCATGTCTCCGTGATCCGATAATTGATGTGACTGCTTGTCGATAACAGCTACTGAGTGAAATAGTTATTTTCTGCTGTCTTGGTGAATGTCGAGCATAGATTGAATACGTACTGTGACAATTGGCTACGAATATCACCAACATCAACCTCCATCATGGCCCTACCTCAACCTCAAGATCTTCGTGTAGCAGCTGAAGCCGAGCAAATCAAGACTTTGGATCTGCTATTCGAGCCCAGTCCAGCAATCCATTCCACTCTCCTCTCCATTGTGCGAGATGCAGAGTATACATCATACCCGGAGTTAATTGAGGCCTGCAGGACTCGCCTCGCCTCGCTCGCCTCCTCGAACTCATCAGCCAATCCAGATGAGACTCTTCTCTCAATACTCGGATCACATCCCCGTTTAGGAGCCAAGAAAGTTGACTCAGCACAGTCAGCTGCAGAGCAGGCCAACCTGCAAGGCCAAGGCGAAGAATTGGCAAAGCTGAACAAGGAGTATGAGGAAAAGTTTCCCGGATTACGATATGTCGTTTTTGTGAACGGACGGGGAAGGCCTGAGATCATGGAGAACATGAAGGCTAGAATTTCGAGAGGCGACTTTTCGAAAGAGGTTGATGAAGCGTTACAGGTATGTATAACTCGCAAGTTAACTTAGTGCTTCTGTTACTAATTCGGTGTTTAGGCAATGTGCGATATTGCAACCGACAGAGCCTCTAAACTTGGTGTAAAGCCATAAACATAATCACGTATCAATGACAATCTGTTACCTGTTGCTTGAGCTGTGGTGTATCTAAGCCTCTCTATCTGGCCGAATAATAATACAAACCAGTATAGCCTATTTTTGTTCCAGTCCTTGCGGCTGGATAATGCTTCAATATCGCCATATTGAACATGAATAAGAACATATTGCCACCCAATGCTAGAAGTATACTTTACATAATTCCTTTAAATGCTCACCGAGATGCCCAGAGACGCCACTATATATTTGCCTAACTATCTTGACATCCAGCAGATGCCGTCGAGTTCATCCAAATACTCCTCATACGATCTGTCTTCTTCGCCATTGTTGCCATCATCGCTCTGTCCAAATAAAACGCTGAAGTCAGAATATACACTATCTTGATCATCGCCCACATCATCCCAGTCGTCATCTGCAGGATGCATGTATGCAAAACTATCCTCTTCGAGATCGTCCAGCGGAGGTAAAGGCGCCGTAGGCCGTAACTCTGGCGATCGGATGGGGAAGAGTCGAGGTGATGTACGCTTCTTAGTTGCAGCGACATCACTAACGGGTAGAGGAAGGGCCACAGGATTAGATAGTCGGCATGATGGGGGTTTCGGATGTTGAAATGCCTTTTGAGGTGGGTAGCTTGGCTGAGGTCTTGCCGACGATACCATCATGCCTGAAGGTCCAATAACTCCCGTGCCAGTTGGTGAGATCCTCAGAGATTTGCCCGCTGAAGAATCCTGCAGCATCGGAGGTCGCCAATTCGTCTTGCCGGCAGCTTTCAATGTGATAGTTGCAATTTCCTGCTCATATTTCTTGTTACCTGCAGCCTGCCCGAGACTCAACCTCTTCCTCAGACAATTCATAGTCGAGAAGCGGAGAAATGAAGTTGCGTGAAGATGTGCGATCCTTCGGGTCATATCAACTGAAGTAGCCATCTTCAAGAAGCGCTTGTCGCCAGCCTCTTGACCTTCTCGATTAAGAATGTGAGTGGCAGGTTGAGAATAAGGCTGAGAAAGACGACTCGTGATAAGTTCGGCACGAAGTCGACGTTTCTTGACACACAGGTCGGCTGTGTTGAAGCCATCGACATCGGACTTGCAGCGCTTTCTCTTGATACCGCGAGATCCCGTTGATGCTGGTTCAGGCCGTATGTCTAAAGGGCTGGATTTGTTTCTTGCATCCTCTGTTGACGGAAAAGAGAATCCCTGGCCTTCGGGTCGGGACCTCGGGATTAACGTTTCTTTTGCATTTGGCTTCCGATGGCCTTCAGTACTTTCTGCTTTCCGAACAGTACGGTACTTCGAATCTCCCATCAATGCTTCGAACAAAGGGTCTGAGCCGGAACATCTTGGGACTTGAGTCAAGTCATCCGAAGCGAGATCCAGTGGAGAGATGGGGAGGTCATCGTGGCAGCCGCCTGCGGAATGGCAGCGCCAGGGCTCAAGCAGATTGATTGAGCTCTGTCCATTAGCCTCTACCTCCATTACGACAGCTTGCGCTTCGTCTGAGGGGTGCTGTCAGAGCTGCCTGGTCCGATCCATCCGTTTTAACCAGTGTGAAACAAGATGAGAGGATGTGCTGGCCAGGTATTAGAAAAGCCGAGGAAGAGAGGTCTGGCTTTTCAGTGCCGAAGAGTTTCAGCTGAGAATGATTCGACTTGGAGATATAATCACAAGTTGTATCTGGTGATGCGTGAAGAGCTCGGTATTTGAAATGTCTCCGGCTATGACTTGAACCAAATTGACGCAACTCTTTTGACCTCAATGTTGCAGCAGAGTCGAGTCAGGACAGTTCCATGCACCTAATATGCCTCTCCCAAGCCTCTCAGGCCGTCAAGAGTTGTCTACTCAAGAGTGTAGACGTTCAATGCTGGTGGATAACTGGCGTGATTGTCGACAAGCGAAAGTGGGGAACTGAGCTGAGGCCAAAGTTAGGCGGGATCGGAATAAGGGGAGCAACAATAAATGGTATATCCGACTCAGGATAGTCAGATAGAGAGATAAAGAGATAGATAGACAAGACGAGATATTGATAAGAGTAAAATAGTTGGGATGAGATTGGAAATGGCGACTGGCAACTGATGATGGAGAAAATCAAAGACTGAAGAGGGGAAAGGTCGTCTTGGACAAGGAGCACCAAGACAGACCAGGACCAAGCTACAGCAGCTAGTCTCCTGCAAGTGCAAGCAATAGGAACAAGGATCACGCCGAACCAATTCGATGGGAAATCCGGGGCCGACACGAGCGAGCGAGTTGAGATGCTGACTGTGACATTCGGATTGCTTTTTCTGGCCAAGGCGCAACAACCATGACCTGGGGTCTACAGGGGGTTTCCTAATACATCAGCATGCCTGTCTATCCTATTCGTAGACCGAAGCCAGAGACAGAGTTTTGGGACGGTCACCTCCTAGAAGTCGCAGCTAGAAAACTAGCCGAGCAACAGTATGTCCTATACTGTAGTCCCTCAAGGTAACATGCCCAAGAAAAACCCCAAGAAACAAGTCCGGGGTAAGCCAGCCGGGGCAAAAGGCATGGTCGCACAGCATCTCCCATAGGCCGGGGGCGTTGGTCAGGCGGGTGAATCAAGCGTTCTAGGATACAGGGATCAACAAGATGAACTTGCTTTTTCGTTGGCTGAGACCAGATGGTCGGGCAGAAAGGGGTGGATGGAAAATCAATCAGCAGGGATCACAAGGGAGGAAACCCGAGAGGTTTTGGTCAAACAGAATGGATGCTCATGAGAAGTGAAGAAGCATCAATGCGGCGGGCAGAGTTTGTATCCTGGTCAGATCATATTATGCTATTGACCTGCTCAAAATAATCAAGCAGGTCTACTACTCAGCTTATACAGGTAGGCATGTACTATGCTTCGAGTAAATATCTCGTGACTGTCAACTCTCCTCCAACCTCGTGACAAGACTATTCCGCTAGAGCTGTCCCAGCCACAAGCCAACTCACACAGAGGTACAGTAGCAGCATGACATGGCTCATTACCGTCAATGCCCTAGAACTGCCACCTCCTCTTTTAACTGAAACCACTCCATTGGTATACCTGCAGTGCTGCACCATGCTCTTCTTCTACTGGACCCTCGACTCTGGGGATCGCCTTTAGAGCTTGGACGGAGGCGGCCGCTGTTTCTGGGTTAAGATTGAGAAACATGAGTGATCACATCCCCTGGCACCAAATGCACACGCGTACATATGTGTATTCATGTACTGTGGTATCATTGGGATGTATTTTGGCCATTCTAAGCAGAGAACTTCTTCTTAGATGCTACCTTGCCCAAATCTCACTCCCGATTCGACGTTTGGATGCTGAGCGTTACGACATTCCTGAAGCGGATACAACGGCATTACAGCTGTCCAATGCCTTCAGCTCATTTTGTCATGGACTTTCTAGACGCTTCAGTCATCATAAAAAATTTGATTCATCATGCGCCATCCTAACATGTGCCCTTTTGCCTGTAGCCTTGTTACCTCACCACCCTAAAACAAACTCCAGCAACTCCAACATGCCTCGCAAATCAGCTAATGAGCGTACCGTAACTAATATACATGATGCATCGCAAATCAACCTTAAACTCGGCTTGTGCTAACGTCAAAGATATCATTCTTCCATCCTCCCTGCTCATACTCAAAGAGCTTCTGCTCTGCATCCCTGCCTTCATCCTCCCACAGCTTGACCAGACTGCCAGGTGCATACCGCCCTTGGAACACGCCTGACCCTGCTTTGACGCCAACGCGGGCGTCGATGTCTGGGTCGGGCGCTGGAACGAGACGTGCAGCAACTGCTCGAATGAACGTCCAGAGGTCCTTTGGATCAGCAATTCGTGTGGCACGGAGACGCTCCCGTGCATAAAGCATTTCACGGTTCAGGAAGTGAAGACCTTCAGCGATTGAAGCTGCAATCTTGACCTCAAGAGCCTTGCGCACAATGGGCCGGACCAATGGCTTCAGGATCCAAGCGAGGCAAGCAAACTTGGACTTGCTCAGCGTGTAATTAAGGTGATGGATGCGGACCTTGACATCGCGTAAGGAGACGATCTGTTCCAGGCGATCCTTTCCAATTTCGAGGTCAAGAGTGATGTCCACGCCGCGCTTATCAAGGTGGAATCCTGCGATACCTTCATCAACCATACGGAAAAGACCAGAGTGCAGGTGGAACCAGTAACCCAGGTCGTCTGCTGCGATAGAGAGGCCAGACACAGTCACTTTCATCATTGATTTCATGGTAGATTGCGTCCCATGAAGTGCCTTTCTCACTTGAACATCATTGTAGGTTGAGATGTTAAGCTGGAAGGGCAGGAAGGAGCTTGCATTGATGGTGCGACCGGGCTCAAGGATGAGATTCTCTAGCAGAAGATCGATAGCGGGTGCTGATACTTCAACACGTGGAATGGGGATGTACTGAATAGCCTGGATGAGGAGAGGGACAAAGATGTTGATAGTGTCGGTGACCAGGTCGCTGTTAGCGTATTCGCCGGCCGGTGACAAGAGGAGAGCAATTCTTTCAGTTGTGTGGATGAGCTTCTTGATATCCTGGTCATCCAGGATTGAGCGGAAAGCGGCATACAGACTCGAAAGCAGGGCGTCGAGATCATCTCGAATTGATGATTTGGCAGTCAGATCATTGGACTTCTTGCGCAGTTCCTGGAATCGTTCTTCGATGTTGTCAAAGAAATCAGGGTCGCTCAGCATATCCTGCACCAGATTGCCAATCTGTCGCACAAGCTCATCAAAGTTGGGGTCGGTTTTTCCATCATCGACAACGGCTTCGAAGGATTTCTTGACCTCATCCCAATGCTCACGCTTGCCGAGAGAAGTGACGAACAACCAGAAGTTGTGGACTGCTTTGTCGGCCTCTGGGTTGGGCTGGGTGTCCTCCTCAACTGCTTCAACGGTTGCAGCGGCTGCGTGGGAGTAGGCGAGAAGATAACGTTGGATGAGCAGCGAGATTGTTGAAACCGACTCCTTGTAGTCCGTTCGTTTCCGGAGGTTCATCACGGTTTGCTTGAGGCGCTTCACAAGTGCATCACCTTCGTCCCCCTTCACATGTTCCTTGATGCTCTGCACCGCTCCGTCGGCCACTTCAATCGCACCATCTTTGACAGTTTCACCGACATCTACCACCTCATTCTTAAGATCTTCGTCCGAGGGTGGAGCAGGTGATTTGCCATTGCCATTTGCATGTTTAAGAGCCTCTTCCTCCTCCTTGGAGGGCTTGATGGCCTCACCAGCTTGTTTAGAGACGTCGGACAAGGTGAAAGCAGTATCTCGAAGCACCTCTCTTCCAACAGTGCTAAGGTCGGAAAGGAAGATGCGGAAATCGGAGTTGGTCAAGAGAAGCGATCCAACGGTCTGCAAGCTCTTGTAGGTTGCGACAGCATCGGCTCGGACCTTTGCCCTGGCAGCTCGTTGCTCAATATGTGCGACGTCGACATCCAAACGAGCTTTGGTAAGATACCAGATGAAGTCCTGAATCTGGTCCTTACTATTCTTGTGTTGCAACACCTCAATGAACTGTTTGATCCAGAGCTTGATGCTTCTGACCAGGGCTCGTCCTGATGGGCTCAGCTCTTGTCGCTCAGGGTTCAAAATCTGAGCCGACAGAAGAGTTCTCAAGTGGATGATAAGTTGTTCGTTTGTTGGCATATATCCTTTAGATATTGCGCGTAGCATTTGATATGTATGGAGCTTCTCATGAAGTCGCGTCTGCAGGCCGGTGTCGTCATTGTAACGCGGCAGCAGAGGTTCGCGCTCTGCGTCCTCGCGATTTTTACCAATGCCAAAGCACGACAGCATTTTGAAAGCTGCAGGCGCAAATTGCCTGGTGATAATCTAGAAAGTCGTGCCTTTTCGTGGTTGGGATGACTCGTTAAAGAAGAGATTCATGCTTGATCATTTTTATAGTAGACACCCAAGCCAGTGATTAAAAGTGACGACGTCATGACTCTGCCGGAGCTTCAGGTCCTAGGCAGGCTAGGCTTACAGGTACAGCTGTAACACTTTGAGGCAACCACAACCCCTGTGAATCTTAGGGAGTTACAGTTGTACGAAGCTCAGTGCTTGGGTGATGCAGCTTATTTCGCAACCATGATGGCTTTCTTTAGAATTTCGACCTGTCCATGATGAGAGGGGCTTGTTAGGGAATGCATCTGCTAGTAACAAAGGCATTCAACTGGCATCATCTTGCATTTCTAGCAATCAGCAGCATAGCAATATGTGATTTGAATCACGATTGGCATTTGAGATTTCAGTTCAATGATCGGACTATACTGTCTATTTGCTTGGGAGTGAAATGCTACTGACAGTCCAACTCGCCTATTGTCCCGAGCTTCAATGCTACTAACCATAAGGCATTCCTCATGTGTTAACTTCAGTATCCCGATACATTGGAACAGAAATTGGTTTCCTGTAATTTCAGCCGCATTGGGCCATCTGATTCTCTGTCAGTTTCACTGTCTTTCACATGTGCTAATTGTCACTCTTATACACTTTATTATTAAAATGAACTTCCGGCGACCGGAGGACAATCGGCGGACCTCGGTATCATCAGCTGGTGTGGGGCCGGGTGTACTCAGCATCAACACCCGTCTTCTAACACTTCCTCAACTACAAGTCCAACACTGCGCAAAGCGAAACAACTCCAGGAGCTTAAGGGGGGGAAACACCGGAATTACCTTCAGACTTTGTCATTACCTGATGTCGCCCGCACAATCTTTTGAGACATTACCTTGAAGTTACATGTTCCGAAACTCCAAGCTCAATGAGCACGCCTAAAGAATGGAAGCGACTCTCATTCCGAGAAGCCTTGGAGCTAGCCAGACTTCCGGATGATACATCGTCAACACAACAAGCAGTTCAGAGATTCATGAGTCGGCAGCCAGCTTGGACACCGGGACAAGAACTCCCCTGGGATGCTGTTGGTATTCCTCCACCAAAGATCACAAGGGGAGCTTATGGCGCTGTCGTATATGCCCTATCAGCTCTTGCAGCGGCCCGTGTAGTCGAAGAAGAAGACCATGGCAATGTAGACGAGAACAGACGAGGGATCCATGTATGTTGGGCCTGTTTATGGACGAACACAAACTTATTCTCTTTAGTCCATCCACGCCGTGTTCACCAATCCCGGACTCTCGGATCGCCCGTTCATCCTAGATGTATCCGAAGTCCATTCAAGCCGTTCCTTTTCTACGCGGCTGGTTCACGCTCGTCAGCCAACACAACCGTCAAGTAACCCATCGGGCCCGTTTCCCGACTCGGATTCCGAAGCACCTCTCGGTAGCCCTTGTCTAACCAGTATCGTCACCTTCAAACGCCCAGTTTCCAGCTCCGATGAGGTCCAAGGGATCCCGCCACAGAAGAGATTCAAAGACGTACTCTCATCACGCAGACCTGACCAGTGGAATCCATGTCCACAAGCCGACGTCGATGCTCTGAAAGCAAAGTTCCCCAATGAAGGCCACGGAGCATTCCCTATTCTCGACATGTACAAAGTTGACATGTCGGACTTCAACAAAAATAAAGCTATACCAGACCGGAGAGAACTGATCTACTACCGATTACTAAAACCTCTCCCAAAAGAAGACACAAACGCACACATCTTGTGTCATGCGTTCGAGGCAGACCGCAACAGTCTTTTCATGCTAGGCAACCATCTAGGCTATGGTCACGACCTGGGCATCGCAGCAAGCCTAAGTTATTCGTTCTACGTTCATGTCAACGCTGATGAGGCTGTGATGGAAGGAGACGGATGGTGGATGCAAGAAGTCTCTTGGCCAAGATTCAGTGCTGGCCGAGGCGCAATGGAAAGCCTGATATGGAGTCCCCAAGGCAAGCATGTCGCGACCGGCTACCAGGATGGCATTATACTGCCTATGACGGCCAAACCTGGGAGAGAGACAAAGCTGTAGGCTTTGTGATTAATGAGGACGTGGCTAGAGTTAAACATTATTAGCGATTTCAAGAATTTGTCATGGAAACACCATAGACGATACCAAAAACTACTTCAAGATGGTCCAGTTTGTTCAATTGTAGGAACCCCGGCATAGTGCGAATTGAGTGATCCTTTGTGTCTGACATTCGATCCCCCGGCATTCACTTGTGGTGGAGACTAGAGGCTCACCATCGCATCAGCTTCGCTTCCTTCCTCTTCCTTGTTATTAAAGTCGAGACGACGATCCCTCCTGGTGCTGACATCTCATATTGGTGAGGACTAATACAATAAAACGAGTCCACGACATGCTTCTTATAACATGGAAGTTTGAGATCTCCGCAGAAAAGGCACCCTAATCAATTAATTAGATACTTATCGAGGTAGACCGAAATATCATTGTTAGGCATTCCTGTTGCTTCAGCGTATTTGCTATCTGTTACATTTAACAGTTATCTATGAAGTTTCCTCAGATGCATATCGCTTAGTATAGATCAAACCCATGGAGCGTTCTGGACTCCCGGCCAGATAGCTATACAATGCCTCAATCCTACTACATCTTTTCAATCGCGTACCTTCGTCGCTACCCGTCCTCGTTCAGGAATACTTGATCACACTCTTCAATCTGTCTTAGTCTTGATGTCTCGTCCTCATTAAACTTCATATCGCACCTGATCAAGTCTTTCATACACATTAAAGGGAAAACAACAGATAAACCCGAGTTTACCGTGGCCAACAATTCGTGTTATATAAAAATAATTACAACCTTAGATCCAATACCATATCAGTATAATATATATAAATATCATTAAGAGCTCTTGTTCAGATGCTTCTAGTCTTCGAACTAAATAGCATTGACGCGAGTTGGAGACACATAACTCCTTGCCATCGCATAGAGTATTACCTCAGTAGTTCACGCACCTCTTTACCTAGCTATTGCTCATCAAGGTCAAGCCACTTACGGTGCTTGCCCAAGATAACACAAGCATTAAATTCAGAGGATATCTTATGGTTGTCTCCTGTTTGCTGTGGCAGTGACTCGCATCGCGAGGCTCCTCCCCATAAGAACCCTCCAAGTACAAGATCATCTTGAGCACTCATCACCTCTGATCTCTCCCTTGATATCAGAAACTCTTTCATCTTCTGGTATCAACAGCATCAAGTCAGAAAAAGATTTCGGCATCTAAACAACGGAAAGGCTGAGATTATTACTATAAACCCCAACAAACCTCAGAACAACATAAACATTCACCGGCTAGCGCACTCTCTATTTGGGGGTTCACTGTCCACCACTGGGCGGCGATCTAGTCTATAAGAGAAGCATAATTCCAGCATCATAGACTCTGATTCACTGTCAGTCGCGTTTGATCTGCTTGGCCTAGGTGCAGACTATCCTGCACCTTCTTCTTGCACCACCGGGTTTTGATATTTAAAGGAGCACCGCCAAAGATTTTAATCTTCTACAACTTCTCTCCCTTGAACGCCTCGCGATTCGCACATCACCCAACGCCTCCTATCCAGAAGTAACTTCATCTACACCTTTCAAGGTAAGTCGAGGATTTGATAATCTCTTTTAGCCCTCTTGATGTTCTGGTCTTGCCGCTACTCTCGGGTCTGACGAGAAGTTTCATCTCTTAAACCAGTTCTATTCTTTCTATTATCCACTGAACTCCTCTTATCTAGCCGTGTTTACTACCTTACTTAATACTAATTCTCTCCTTCTTACAGCAACTACTATTCTCTTGCTACCCCTGACCTTAGGTTGGTATTTAGCCTTATACTAATTCTGCTAGGAGTTGCTAACTCCAGTGTTCAGGTTAGATCGCTAGTCAACTGATAAGGCAAGATGGGAGATCAAAGCCTAGCCTATAGTCATGAGACGGCTGTGTCATATGAAGCCGTGACCGAGATGCTTCGCACACCTTGGAGTGACGTCTACCGCATCAGTCCAGATGGTCAGAAGTATATTTCACCGCAATGCCTTAACGGCACTGCTGTGCAAAAGATCACCGAAGACAGCGACTACTGGGTGCTAAGATGGTTCTCCCTTGAAGCCTACCTAGCACAAGAGGACTCGGAAGAAAAGAAGAAGAGAGAGTCAAAGGAACAATACCGAATTAACCCCCATAACAAAGATCTTGCTAAGAAACACAAGCTCCATATGGATAATGTGTCTAAACAACGCAAGATCCGTGAAATTTTCGGCCACGATTCGCCATACCATCCGAATCAGCTCGTCTCCAAGCATCACCTGCCGGCAGAAGGATTATGTGAGCAGGAATTGATGTATAAGCTTGCTTGCAAGGTGTCTGACTTGCGAGTTCTGCATGATAAAGGGGAGCTTGCCATGGACCCCTGGGACTTCCTCCGATGGCGGATTGCAAAGAAGATGCAGTCGATGTTCACAATGTCTGCTCAGAGCGGGAGGGATGTGGTCAAAAGAATTGTATTCAGCATCTGTGAGGACTCAGGTTCAAAGAGCGCCTCTAAAATCTACGAGGACCCTACACTGCGCGCCGCTATCATCCGCTCAGCTGGCTATCAAGGTCGACTGGCCAGCTTCCGCAAGCCTGGGGACAAAAGCAGGATCACCAAGACCAAGACTAACACAGCCGGTATGGGACGCATCATCCAGCGGCGCTCAAAAGTCGACCCAATTCCGTCGGCACTCAGTCGACAGTCAGCTCTCAGTCGGACTGATAAGCGCCAGAAGAGGTCAACTCAGCCGTCGACATACGGAGGAGTGAATGCTTACCGGGCACAACAACAACAGAGAGATAACGCAAGGCTTTAAATTCACTTGAGTTTTATCTTCGAGCGTCGCGGGATAAAGGCATACTATCTTGATAGCTCGTTCTTATCCCAGGGGCATCCAGCCTTCTTTCTACCGCATCTATTCGAGAATCTCAAGCCTCAGTCATTGGGTCACTTTCGGAAGATGGAGGACATGTGAGGTTCGGAGGATGGAAGATGTAGATGGGGTTAATGGCAGTGATCCACTGGTCTATTCATTTGCGCGTTGCGCGTTCGGAGTTTGGGGAGGGTTTGTACAATAATTTGCTAAGGCATCCTTTTTGGAAGATGTTAAGCTGCTGCTCGCATATTTACATTAATGCTATCTATGTTTACCTGCTCCGGTGCATACATAACTTTAATATAATCTTTCGTACGACTTGGAATGACTTTTCGATGAACATCTTGTCAGTGGCACGTCAAGACGACAACTGTTACCAATGTTTGTGTTGCCAGTATGATCTTGTGTCAGTGAACAACCCACGCCAAAGTCCGGAGCTGGTGACTTGATTAAAATACACAGATTGACTCTCCTCCACTTACTAACTTGCAAGAGAGTGACAAACATTAGCCACTATCCCGTGAGGTTCTTGTACAATTCTATGACCGGGTATGTCGGGTACATCGGATTAATGAAGGGGTCTCTTTCGTAATGCGAAGTTGATCTATTCATATGATCTCGGCTTCTTACCGAAATGCAGTAAGTCGCAGATTAATTGTTCACATCTTCTCAAGCTCTTGGTTTCAACTGATTTATCATTTCCTGCGCACTCACATGATTGTGGCTTTCTTTCTCCAATCTCCAAATACTCAGTGCATCTCAATGATAAAATTCCACGTTGAACAGCGGGTAAGACCAAACCATCGATCGAAAACAAAGCTGACCGACTGAGTAGAACAAGAGCATAAGATCCCGATATGAGTACGGCTCACGCGATTGCCAAAGCCAGTAAGGCTCGCTTCTTGAGCCAGTTCCCATGGACCATTTCACCTTTCATCATCGGCGCACCAATGCGCGTCATGTCAGGGCCTCACCTAGCCCTTGCGGTCTCCAAAGCTGGAGGCCTTGGGTTCATTGGGCCAGGCGCGAAGCCTGAAGATACGTCAAAGGACCTAGATACGGTGAGGGAGTTGCTACGCAGTTCACCTCCACAGACTCTGCCGTCCGCATTTCCATCCAAGGATACCCTTCCTGTTGGTGTTGGCTTTCAGCTCTGGAATGGCGATCTCAAGTCTGCTGTCAATGCTGTGCAAGAACACAGGCCCTGTGCTGCATGGCTCTTTGCACCGCGCCGAGGACAAGAAGAGCTTGATGAGTGGACATCTCAGATACGAAAAGCCCATCCGGAGATACAGGTCTGGATACAAATTGGCACCGTTCAAGAGAGTATTGAAGCTGCCAATAGTGCGCATCGCCCAGATGCGTTGATTGTTCAAGGCGCAGAAGCGGGCGGCCATGGTCGAGCCACTGACGGTCTGGGCATAATGACACTCTTTCCTGAAATCGCAGACCAAGTCCGTGAGTCGGGCATGTCTCTATTCGCGGCCGGCGGCATCGCAGATGGTCGAGGCGTCGCAGCAGCCCTCTCACTTGGTGCAACTGGCATCGTAATGGGCACGCGCTTCCTAGCAGCAACCGAAACTCGTATCAGCAAAGGCTATCAACAAGAGATTATCCGAGCTAAAGATGGAGCTCAGTGCACCACCAGAACCATGCTCTACAACCATCTCAGGGGCACTATAGGTTGGCCAGAGCAGTATAGCCCAAGGGGTATCATCAACCAGAGCTTCCACGATCATCAAGCAGGCGTGGAATTTGAGGAACTGAAGAAGAGGCATGATGAAGCATTGAAGTCTGGGGATAAGGGGTGGGGGCCAGAGGGGAGGTTAGCGACGTATGCGGGTGCGGCTGTTGGGCTTATACATGATGTGCGGGATGCTGAGAATATCGTGAAGGGTGTGCAGGGGGAAGCTAAAGAGGTTATAGCTGAGCTTGCGAACGATACTATGTAACTTATATCTTACGTCTCTGCCGAGGTAGTTGAGAGGCCATGCATCTCTGCGTTGCAAAACGCAACTTTGGCCGCGGTTGAGATCAAAAACCATCCGATTTCTCGCTCTATCTGGATTTGACCTGAAACTTTTTTCAATGCCTCTCAGTGCTTGTAGATGCTTCATAAAGCGTGATAGATATGAGTTTAGAGCAATGGGCAGTAAGTCCCTGGCCTGAAATATTCTGATACTCAGAGGCAGTCGACTATCGACACCATTCTGACTGACAGAGGCCCGCGTCCATATCGGTTCTTGCTTTAATTAATATACGATACATTATCAATTGAGCCATTGCAGTTAAAAGGTGTTTCGTTCATCAAGTAATCAATACACCTGACGGCTCACTTAATGCCCCCACGACACAGCTATCGGGTTATCTCGGCTGGTTTCTTGCTGCTTCATAAAGAAACACATATGCCTCGATTATTCAACTTGTTCTAAGTGCCCTCATGATAGAGAAGTAGAGGTCTCGAATAAATCAACTGTTCAAAGACATTTGGTACAAGTGAAACTCGTCCTTTTTATCGCATTCCAATCGACTATCAACTGGTAATGAGAGATGCCGATTGAAAGCAAGTATAAGGTTCAGTAAAGAGCGCCGGCACCTATTTGTTAATCAATCTCATGAAAGTAATAAGTAATGTGAGCCTCGGCAAACAACACGATCTCGGGAGGCAATGTAGCTGAGATTCTGACAGAGCGAGCGCAAGGCCCAAAAGAGTGCATATATGTAAATTGATGCTTCAATGACATCCTCTCAGCATTGCCCGTTATTTAGAAGCTATTCTTCCTCACTCAAATGCCAATTGTGACATTTTGCAAGCTCTTGAAGCCTTTGATGACATTCCGAAACTCGCCTTAGCAATTGGGTGAACGTCAAGAGCCGGAGCTTTTGACAGATCACGTGGTCATAAATACAGCAACTCCAATTGGCCAATTCGCTCGCGAAGATGGGTCCATCTTCCAACTTCGACCCAAATCAGCCCATTCCTCACAAATCCCTCGACAACACCTCTCAGCCCATCCCGAGTCATCCTCAAAGCTCGACTCCATTGCCCGACGCAAACCATCAACAAGATGTTCCTGCAACGCTCCGCCCTCACTGCGGCTCGCCGCGCCGCCGCTCGACCTGCTGTCGCTCGCACCTTCACCACCTCTTTCGTCCGCCGTACGCATTTCCATTTTGCTCCTCCAGCCAGCCAATGGCGATCGTAGTATGATGGCTGACTAGTGTTTTTGCTTCCACTACAGGAGATGCTGCCCGTCCTGCCACCCCCAACGAGCAGGCCGCTGCTCTTGCTGGCACCGCCGAGAAGAAGGTTGGCTCCTACAAGACTCTGAAGGGTATGTTGCCCAACAATGCCGCCGCCGACTGCCTCAATGGCACCCCGTAACCTCGGCCGACGGATCGTGATGTGACGTACGACAATCGCTGACAAGCTTTCGTGCACAGAGATCCGAACTGAGGAGGATCTCTTCGGTCCTGGTGCCGCCCCCGGAACCGTCCCTACCGATCTCGAGCAGGCCACCGGTATCGAGCGTCTCGAGATTCTCGGTAAGATGGAGGGCGTCGACATCTTCGACATGCGCCCTCTCGACGCCAGCCGCCTCGGAACGATGAAGGATCCCATCATGGTCCGATCCGCCGGCGAGGAGCAGTTCGCTGGCTGCACTGGTTTCCCCGCCGACTCTCACAACGTCCACTGGCTCGGCGTGAGTCTTACCTTGAAATCCCGGACGGACGGAAATGAAATGCTGACATTTATACCTCCAGATCACCCGCGAGCGCCCCATCGAGCGATGTCCCGAGTGCGGCAGCGTCTACAAGATGGACTACGTCGGTCCTGAGGACGATCACCACCACCACCATCCTCCCGAGTTCGAGGAGCCCAAGACCTTTGCCGATTACATCAAGCCCGAGTACCGATACAAATAAATGCATTATATTACGCTGAGAGGTATTGAGGAGACTGGGTCGTAGCATTAAGGGAAAACTAGATGGATGTGCATGGTGCCCCCGGAGAGAGGAGCCGTTTTGTGTAGAATAGGGTGCCTTTATTCCCTGTGTCAATTTACTAAGTTAGCTTCCAGAAGTTGATGTTGACTATATATTGGGCTTGTTGTGTTTGTGACAATAGCAGTTTGATCCAATTGAGCTTGTATACATCAGGAATGACTTTCCAGGCTTCCATAGTCTGGGTATAGCTGGATTGTGATGTCATTTCGTGGTACGGATGTGAAACATCCATTTGCGGTTATGAAACTCAATACTGCCAATAAGATGTGCCCTTTCGCAAGACGACGAGTATTCGACCGTATGTCTGGCGCACCCTCATCTATTTTCTGACTTCCAGTCCTGAGATTGTGGGAGTCTGGGCTCTCATCTGGTCGATGCTGGATATCAAAGTCGTGTGATAACATCGTATACCGGCTGTAGATGGATATATGAGCGTGATCCTTGTGATGCTCATGGAAGCTCTGAGTGATGAGAAACGTGTGTCGTTGAGCTCACTCATGGCGTTCAACCTTCATCTTCGTCAAAGCTCAGCTTAATCTTTTTGGCCTTCTTTTTGGGTTTGCGATTCTTTGCTGACTCCTTTTCGGTATCATCCTTCTCCTTCTTCTTGTCCTCTCCTTTGCCCTCATCAGAAGCCTCACCGATGACTTTTCCAACCTTTCGTTTCCTTCCTCCAATAGCAGCTTTGCTCTCTGACTCTTTGGCGGTTTCTTTCTCTGCTGCAGGTTCCACGTCGTAATCTCCAGTGTCTTTGACAACTCCATCCTTGTCGACCTCAAGACTCACAACGTTTCCGTCTTCATCTACGACAAGCGGGACATCTTCTGCCTCCTCACTGCTGGAGCGCTTCTTAGCTGACCTCCGTTGCGCAGCGAGTAGTGGATCAGGCCCTGTAGCACCAGCAGCTTGAGCCCTTAGAGCAGCGAGGAATGGCGGTGCCGCTGCTTCGGTGTCGTAAGACAGGTTTTTTGAGTTGATTTTGGGTGCCATGTTTGGTGATGCATGAAACAGACTAGATACAGCTCTGTTTGTTATGGTTGGTTGAGCTGTAAGCGATTGGGTTGCGGCTCTTTGTCAGCGGGACGGGCTTCTTGACGGACGGGAGGATTCGTTGATCGCAGGCAGTTCTTGATGAAGCGGAATCAAGATCCAAGATTCAATCCCAGCCTAGACTCTTCTGAGCAATAGTGCAGCTGCATGCAAGCGCTAACTTAAGTTACACGTGGGTCTTGGAGCGACCTGAATTGAATTTCTTGCTTGCTTTCGCTTGTTCGTAGAAGCCTCCACATGGGTCTGTGAGTGACAATCTGGATGTGCGAACCTAATCTAATTATAAATCTAATTATTTTTCTCCTTACAGGGAGTTTTCGTTTTCTTCATTTCAGGTCAGTCAGTTTTGCATCAAACGCATCTAGGTACATGTGCCGGTTCAACGTGGGCCCTTATATCGGTGTCCGGTAGTGTTCCGTCCTTTTTGTTTGGTGTTTGATTGGATCGACGCTGTCATGATTCAAAGGATGAGCAAGCTATTGGCTCACGGACGAGCCCGTGCCCCCTGTAACGACCCGGGATCTTGGTGAATGTGCATGAATAACTGCAGTTGGTACAGCTCAAGCTACACCTGCAGTACCTCCCTGCTCCCCTACATCAGTCATTATCTTCAGTGGCTACAGACTCTGCTCACGGCCCCGTCATGTTTTGTGTGCTCCCACTTCCCACCCTCTCATGCTCTATCTGTCTGTGTCTTCTCCCTTATTTGCCTCTCTCTTATTCTTTTTTTGGGCATCCCTTTCAAGGCCAAGACCCTTAGTCTGAGTACAAGAGTCAGTCAGTCTCTACCGCCCTTGCTGTACATGTACATAGAACATGCAATGTAACTCATAACATGGATTCCCTCATTCATTGGTGATCTCTCGCTATCATCCGCCAAGAACAAGGAGTCTGTGCCCCACCGACCGTCTCTACCAGGTCGACGCGTCAGTAGTTTTTTGCTTGCTAGATCAAACTCTGGGCCTGCTTTTGGCTTTGACTTTGGTGGAATTTCTACTGTATTGCACTAGAATCAGGGAATGTGGTCCCTGCCGCTCGTTACTTAATTCAAACCGTCTCCCTGTCTGTCTTTTAGAGATCCAATATCCCATCCCACGACTGCTTCTCCTTCAATGTTACGTCTATGGACGACGTGCGACGACACCATCGAAATCCACGAGCCACGACAACGATACCACGACCGTCTTCTCTTCTGCGATCACATTTGACATAATTTTTTTTTTTACCTTTTTTAAACTTCCCGGTCCCACCTTGAAGATCGACCGAACTACCTACGGCTACCGTACAAGTTAATTGCCCCATCTACCAATACCGATCTCCCTCCCTGGCCTCCTATTCCTCGACCACGACCACATCTACAACTTCAATCTTGTCTTCGACGGCTGTCGCAGGCGCCACGATACGGCGCTTTTCATGTCCTCCAGACTCCGACTGCTACCGATCACAATACCTACCGCCGTGGTAGGATCTTCCTCGCCATGGACTTGATCAGGAGGGCCACCAAGGTGGCTCCCAGCAAACCTCCTCTACAACTTCCCCTCGACGAGAAGAGGGATTCCAAACATAACAAGTCGGTCGATTCTCGCATGGCCTTTTTCCGAAGACCCCTGCGACTAAAGGGGAACTCTACAATTTCCGTGCCTCTGGGCGTGGTTGTCTTTTTTCCAATGCTTGTTTTAATCCTTATTTTTATTCTCTTCGTCAGCCATCCCAGTTCCCCCGGCAGGTTTCTGATACCAGGGGGTGCTCCCCCCAAGATGCGGTAAGTCTGATATCAGCATGCTTGGCATGTCAGATAGCTAACAGCCCAAACAGGAAAATCAGCGAAAAGTACGATAAGGTGTTCGTCGAGGGCTGCGCCCAGCCTGACACCAGCCAACCTCGAGCCAACGCCGCATTTGTGATATTAGCGCGAAACAAGGAGATCGATGGTGTTTTGCAATCCATAAAATCAGTCGAGAGACATTTCAATCGCTGGTATCATTACCCCTATGTGTTCCTCAACGATGGTGATTTCGACGACAACTTCAAGGAGGCTGTTAGAAACCACACCTCCGGAGATGTTGAGTTTGGAAAGGTTGGACCAGACATGTGGGGGTTCCCCGATTGGATTGACCCCAAGGTAGCTTCAGAGGGTATTGCCAAGCAGGGTGACGCTGCCGTCATGTACGGAGGCCTAGAGAGCTACCACAAAATGTGCAGATTCTACTCTGGGTAGGTCGAGGTTCTCTTAGCGATCAAGGACAGCTTGACTAACAGCGCAATAGCTTTTTCTTCAACCACCCCTTATTACTCAAGTATGAGTGGTACTGGCGAGTCGAGCCCGAGATCAGCTACTTTTGCGACATCACATAGTACGTTCTTCTCTAGTAAGACGCAGTCGCATTACTAACTAGTTGCAGCGACCCTTTCCAGAAAATGATCGAACACAACAAAACATATGGCTTCACCATCGCCGTCAAGGAACTTCGAGAGACTGTCCCCAATATCTTTCGATACGCCTCCGCCTACAAGCGACTTAACAACATCACATCGAAGGGCTTGTGGGAAATGTTCGTCGAGCCACCAGAGGACGATGACGAGGACGCTTCTAAGGACAGCGATACCTCGCCAAATCCCGAGAAGAGTTTCTGGGATACCCTCACGGGTAAAAAGGAGAACATTGTCGACCCTGAGTCAATGGAGGGAGAGACCTACAACATGTGCCACTTTTGGTCCAATTTCGAAATTGCGAAGCTCAGCTGGTTCCGCAGCAAGGAGTACCAGGACTTCTTTGAAATGATGGACAGAAGCGGTGGCTTTTGGATGGAACGAGTATGCAAGCCAAAGTCCCCCTTTTTGTAACGATGCTAACATTGCTTAGTGGGGCGATGCTCCTATTCACTCCCTTGCCGCTGGCGCTCTCCTCGGGCCCCAGGATATCCATTACTTCCGAGACTTTGGTTACCGACATACAACGATTCAGCATTGCCCTGCCAATGCGCCGGGCAAACAGCTCGAACGTGAGCCCTACCTAGAAAAGACAACATTCCCCGAGTATAAGAGATTTGAGGAAGACGACTACTGGGAGCATTGGGACGACGTGCAAGAAGGTGGCATTGGCTGTCGCTGCAGATGTGATACAGACGTTGTCGACGTTGAAGGCAAAGAGGGATCATGTCTTGCAGAATGGGTCGACGTTGCTGGCGGCTGGGAGCATCCGTACTAGGCCACTTTAGACTTGAGCTGTCTTGAGTATGGACTCTAACAAACGGATCATCATCAGCATTCGAGCACTGCGATTATCAACCAAACATCAACGGCGCTTCAGGGGCATAAGCAACTTCATTCGACTAGGTCAAAGGAATTATTACACATTCGGGGACAGGGAAAATAAAAGAGGGTGCGGCGTTTTGTTTTTGTCCCGAGCATCCTGCCTTTGCCTTAGCCATGGCCGGGATACTCGTCTATCATTGTACTAAAGGGATAGGGCACGCGCATCGTGGGGAATCTGCTGCATACACGGCTTGGGAGGTCTTTGTCAAGATGATCTAAGAGAAGATGGATTTACAATCTACTCTAGATGTCAGAGAACCCGTTGGTATTAATGATACATGTAGGATGAGGACCGGCTCATTCTACAACCACAGAGAAGTGGTTTTGTTGCATGTCTCTTTTGGTGGTATTATGCATAAGTGATCGCCCTGACCTTAATTTATGGTTCTTACTACTGCAAACCTTGAGCCTCATGCACCCATCCCTTAAGTGTGTAGATTCCGCGGTAGCGTAGGCAGATTCCCAGGGGCTGAATGGACGTGGCGTTGGAGGCCCCGGTCTAGAGAGCACTGCCCTCAAGGCAATCAGCTATAATTCTAGACCCACCAGTTCATGGAGGGCTGACCAAGTCCTATGTATAAGAGTCCTAGAAACCACAAAGAGAAGTCTGCGCCAATATCATTCAATTCACGGGTTGTTCTCTATTCTATTCTATTCTCGTCACACAAACCATATCAGTTTCGGTCACAATGGGTGCCTTAAATCGTGTCTCAGAATATCTCTTCGGCCCTGCGATTCCTCATCGAGAACCATGTGGCCGAGCAGTACAAATCATGTCGGATCTTCATCTGGAGCTAAATCGACAATACGCAACGTTTGATTTCCCTGCCAAAGCACCTTTTCTCATTCTTGGGGGTGATATAGGCCGTTTAGTCGACTACGACATGTTTCTTCCTTTCCTCGCACGCCAAACAGAACGCTTCGAGAAGGTTTTCTTAGTTCTTGGCAACCATGAGTTCTATGAGATGAGCTATGAGGACGGTACTGAAAAGGCGAGGGAGCTGGAGAAAGAAAAGTCTCTGAAGGGAAAACTTGTGATTTTGGATCGAAATCGCTGGGACGATCCGGATTCGAAACTCACAATTATCGGCGCAACATTATGGTCGAATATCCATTCTTCAGCAGCTGAGACCATTGCCCTCCGAGTATCAGACTACAAACTTATTAAAGACTGGACCGTCGCCAAACACAACGAGTGTCACGCCCGGGATCTCACCTATCTCACAGAGACCATATCCGAGCTCAACAACCTTCCAGCAGAATCTCAGAGAAATGTCTTAGTGGTAACGCACCACGCACCCTGTGTAAAAGGGTCTTCGAGACCAGAACATGCGAATGCACCGTACAAGACGGCGTTTTCGACGGATGTTATCCAGGCGAGGGAGTTTATGCGTGGAGTGCAGGTTTGGATGTTTGGTCATACGCATTATACGACGGAGTTTAAGAAAGGTGGTGTGAAGATTGTTGCGAATCAGAGGGGGTATGTTTTGGGGTATAAGGGCCCGACGTTGGAGAACACAAAGGGTTTTGATGATGAGAGAGTTGTAGAATTGTGAGTTGGGATAGATTGGTTTCTTGCACTTATATGGTGTTGGGTATTTGCTCTCGAAGAGCTTGGAGTTGGTATACTGAGTTGGTTCATTCATTGATACATTGCAAAGTCGTTTGTATGTATATAATCTATACATCCAAGGCCGTTTATATGTCCCGAGCATATGTCATCAGAAGCTCATGATCTAAGGTCCATCTCGAGTCATGGGGCGACAAAGTTGGTTTGAGTAAACAATAACTTCCGGATGTTCAAAAGGGTCATACAAGACCTGGGGTAGCTCCTGTATCCAGAGGCTTAAGAGTCGTTCTGTTATGCCCAGACACGCACTCGAGCATTTACATCTCTCAAATGCATGGAGATGGGCTGAGTCAAGGCGAAGCCCCAGGCCGTGCCTTGTATGGTATTTAAGCATAATTCATCAGCTTTACAACCCTTGCGCTTCTATCTTCAGTCAATCCTCAATTGAGTGTTGGTTTTATATGTTTGATACCCTTGCTGTTGTTGTTGTTGTTGTTGACTTATAGATTCATGCAGTCAAGAGTGTGCCTTGGGCTATGCTTGAATACAAGGATGATGAAAGTACAGAGATGTTCAATTCACTTAAACTTACAGTTTAATACCTGATGGTATATATCAGTGTTCCCCTCATTGTTTGGTCTATTTTGCATATCGTCTCACCTGCACGATTTCCGCAACCAAACAGCTCCATGAGTATTTTGTTGAGTAAGTACGCATCCGCTTACACCCACAATGTCAACCGGAATATCTAATCTTTACTATAGTCATTATTTGAGTACAAAACTAAGAGACAGAATCTCCTTCGAGGTGATAGTTGTGCTAGACTTCCATCAGTCAAGCATCTCAACGTACGGGTCATTCACAACGAAACTGGGCGTCTTGAGCTGAGACAACGGAAGCCAGCCAAAAGGCTTATACAATACTTGTTTAATCGCTGTCTCTACAAAGTTTATCTGGCCAGCCTTGAACACAGCTATATCGATCGTTCAAATGGGCACCATGATGTTCAAGCACCACCGGGCTACTGATGATGACCCAGCGAATCTTGCATCCGATCCAATGTTTTTATTTCTTGTGATTGGTATGCCTCTTATTGCATTATTTCTCATTTGGGTGCTGCTTGGCTATCTATAGACGCAGAAAGAGAATCAAAAGAGCTCAGCGCGCTGCTAAGGCAAGAGAAAGACTCGCAAGCACGGCTGGGGATACGCAAAGCCTGGGAGGAAGGACTCTCTGCAACTGATTATCGTGTTCTCGGTTCATAAATGCTTCATGATGAATGCTATAGGGGATTAAAATGTTCAGGTGAAAGATTTAGGCTCTGTGGTTGATGTATTAGAGGAGTAATGTATGTAAGTGATATCTTTGAGGGAGGTTCAACGGCTCCCTCTTTCCGGAAGGGCCGGACCTTTGGTACGGCCAGTGAAGATACAAAGACTTTATGAAGTCTTCTAATAATATAATAATCATTTTCAATCTCAATTTCGAAAACGTTGGCTCTGAGCCTGTCGTCGATGAGTTTCTATGAGTTGCAGCCTGAGGCATCCACTGCCCCAGCTTGACGTTCTTGCGCTAAGCCATTCAAAAAATTGGTTACCGTCGACTTCGAGATCGCCAGCATCAATTCCAGACTCACGGCCACGGCGCCCTCTCCACGACGATGCCTCCTCGAATTTCACCCTTCAGCACGCCGCTGTGCTGCAGGACGACTGCCAATGCTCCCGTGTCGTCGCTGACCGCCTACCTCTCCGGCCTCTCCCTCCAGACCCGAAATGCGTCTATCCTCAGCAGTCTCGCCAACAACGCTGGCGCCGTTCACCAGAAGAAGCGAGTTGGTCGTGGTCCCTCATCCGGACACGGAAAGACATCTGGTCGTGGTCACAAGGGTCAGAAGCAGCATGGAAAGGTCAAGCCGTGGTTCCAGGGTGGTCAGACACCTTTGATCGTCAAGCATGGCCGAAAGGGTTTCAGCAACTTGTGAGGCGCCTACAAATATCCCGACAAGAATTTGAAGAGTCAGGAGTTACAAGAGTTCAATTGACTAACAAATTTGCAGCCGAGCTCCTCAGATGTCGGAAGTCAACCTCGACCAGATCCAGGTTTGGATCGACCAAGGACGAATCGACCCCACCAAGCAGATTACACCAAAGGAATTGATCGAGTGTGGCATTGTTGGAACTGTCAAGGATGGTGTCAAGGTCCTTTCCCGAGGTGCGGATATGCTTAAGCAGCCCATCGATGTAATGGTCTCCCGTGTTTCTGCTGGAGCTATTGCCGCTATTGAAGGTGCTGGAGGCAAGGTCCTCACCCGATACTATACCAAGCTGGCCATAAAACGACTCCTACGAGGCCAGTCCGTCAACACAGATAAGCCTCTCCCTCAAGGATTGGAGCACGTCGATACTGTGCTGGCCGCAGCCCGCGATTCACCCTTCCGGTACCGATTACCCGACCCTACCAGCCGTGAGGACATCGAGTACTATCGTGATCCCGCACACCGAGGATACTTGAGCCACCAGCTTGCGCCAGGAGAGTCGCCCAGTTTGTACTTCAGGGTGCCTGGTGTGCACAAGATCAAGAGCGAGGTTAAGAAGGAGAAGGCAGCCACTGAGGAGACTCTGTTCTAAGAGTTGGGAAGGGCATATGAAGAATTGTATTATAATGACCGAGTATAGACACTTGGATGTGATAACAAGCAATGTACAAACAATTGAACTCACGAACTTGTTTCTGTAACCTCTGGTGATCAGCCACAGTCTCGACGGGCTGTGGCGTCTCCAGTAACATCCATTTTAACCGTTGCATGCGTCAGGGGGTACGTACCCATGACTCTCCACAACAGCTCCGTCCGGTTTAAGTTGATGTCGCAGACCCAGGTCTTCTCCACTTGGAATGACTTCACCAACCTCCCAGTTGCCTCTCAATTCGCGTGTATTTCGTCGCTAGAGCTTCTGTATTGCTTATTGGCTTCGCTTCAACTCCTGTAGCTGCAGCTTTGTTCCATCGCAGGCTCGGTATCGCGCACCCAACTCGATTGCGCTGTATATCGTCCTCTTCGCAGCTTCGATTACGAATCGCTATCTAGACGACCGATCTACGCTCTCCACGAGTAATCGCGACTCGGCTGATCGACATCGACGAGATTGATACGCGCCGCAAGATAATCTTACATTCACTGCTCGCCTGAAAGTCACAATGTCACTTTTTGGTTCATCGCCGACGGAGGACAGCCCAGGTCTGGGCTCGTCTACTGGTCCAGCTCGTCGCGGCGGTGCTGGACTCTTCGACGATGACTCTGGTTCTGGAACTCCAAAGCCATCCAACAGTCTCTTCGCTGACGATAACGACTCCCATGATTCACCTTGGGACATGCCCACGCCGCGCAAGCAGCAGAGCAGAGCCGATCTTATTCGCAACCTCCTCCCCGGTAACGACGTGCCCGATGAATATATCGAGACCTTCGATACAGTAGTGCGCGAAGATGGTAGCGGAGGTCAGGTCACTTCTGGTGGTGTCGCAAAGCTCTTTGCTACTGCCAGACTTGGTGCTGATGCCCAAGCTCGCATTATGTCCCTGGTTGCTCCTGGAGGCGGGGATGTACTGCTAGGTCGAAACGAGTTCAATGTGCTGCTGGCTCTGGTAGGCCTTGCACAAGAGGGCGAAGTCATAAGCCTGGATGGTGTTGACGAGCGCCGAAAACGTAAGTAAACATATCTCTTCGATTCGCATTTCGCATGATTATTTTCCCCTCATGTAAATCGCTTGCTTGCCAAGACTTACAAGCTGCCCTATCAACTGGTCAATGCAATGCCATGGATGTCATATCAGTGCTGGCATATGCCCCCCGGCGGTTGGTGGGGACACTACTCAGGTCCAGCTAATAACTCATTTCCATCACAGGCCTTCCGCAACCCAAGCTCGCGGGTCTCACTGCAGAGCCCATCCTACCTCCAGTTGCTGAACTCTCCGCGAAGCCGCCTCAGACACCTCCAAAAGATATTCCTCCTCAACAACAACAAACTCCTCCCGCGCAACAACAGCCTAAGCAATTTCGACCAGCCATGGATGACCCAGAGGATGATCCATGGGGGAGTCCTGATATGCACAAAACCCATGATCATGGTCCCTCCAAGTCCAACGGCACCCAGCGAAACAGCACAAATGGCCATGCCGGCTTTGGCCAAACACCCCCGACAACAGTAATCGACGCTCCTCCTCTGCCTAATATTGCATCCCCTCAAGCCACTACGTCTCCAAACAGCCGGAGACAGCATAGCAGCAACTCGGTGACAACGCCTGGTGGATGGGGATACTTTGATGGGAACAACCCTGTTGTAGGCTTTGGGGAATCTCCCTCTGGGCCTGTCCAGAATCCCTTTGGTGGAGCTCCCGATATGACACCAACTGCACAACCTCCAGCTCTTCAACACCATACGAGTAGTGGTAGAGCCAGCCGAGGCGCCGAGGAGAATGTCGTTGTTGTGCTTATGCCGGAAAAGGAAGGTGTTTTCATGTTCCAGCACCATAATTATGAAATCTCGAGCATAAGGCGCGGTAGCAAGGTTATTCGCAGATACAGCGACTTTGTCTGGCTATTGGATTGTCTACACAAGAGATATCCATTCCGTATTCTACCGCTACTTCCACCTAAGCGTGTAGGTGTAAATGGCAGCCATCTGTCCAACGATGGGACTTTTATCGAGAAGCGAAGGAGGGGTCTGTCGCGGTTCTTGAATGCCCTTATCAGGCACCCGATTCTGAGTCAGGAACAACTTGTCGTCATGTTCTTGACCGTTCCTACAGTAAGTCAATTCTGCCACCAAGTGTAAATCAACTGCTGAAGCTAATATCAGCATCAGGAACTATCTGTGTGGCGCAAGCAAGCTACCATTTCTGTTCAGGATGAGTTTACTGATAGAGCACTACCACCTGGTTTGGAGGATTCTTTGCCAGCTGAACTCGAGGATCTCTTCAACCGAACACGCAATGGCGTCAAGCGGTCTGCTGAGCTTTACATTAACGTCTGCAACATCATGGATCGTCTCGTCAAGCGGACCGAGGGCGTGGCTGCTGACCACGCTCGTATTGCCCTTTCTTTGGCTTCTTTGACAGAAACATCGGAGGATACTTACGCAACTGACACCAACGAGGTTCCTCTTCTTAATGATGGACTTGTTGCCATGAGCAAACACCTCAGAACTTGCCAGGCTTTGATGGAGGATGAGAGCCGTGGATGGGACGAGGGAGTTCTTGAGGACCTCAAGCGCCAACGAGATGCTCTTGTCAGCGTGCGTGAGATGTTTGAGCGAAGAGAGCGATTGGATAAAGATAACATTCCTTATCTGGAGCGGAGGATTCAGACAAATGAGAACAAGCTTGCCAACTTGAGATCTAAGCCAGAAGGTGTGGTTAAGGCTGGTGAGATCGACCGCATAGCAGAGAACATCATCAAGGTAAGTCTCTCTCTAAACTATTAGAAGAGGAAGCGCTAACAAAGGATCAGGATAAGGAGTCTATTGTCCAGCAACACAATCGCTCCATCTTCGTCAAGGAGTGTATCCGCGACGAACTTGTCACCTTCCAATCAACTCAATACCAGGTCAGCCGATGGAACCAGGACTGGGCCGGCGAGCGAGTCAAGTACGCCGAGATGCTCGCAGACAACTGGCGACGATTGCTAGATGAGCTTGAGGGCATGCCCCTGGGTGACTAGAGTCCGCCAGATAGTCATCAAGGGTCATTTGCTACAGCGTACGACTGGCCTGTCGATGAAAGCGCCGAGATTATATGGGGAGACATTGAGTGGTGATTGGATATAACTACGGGAGAGGAGAGAAGCGGTTGTGTGTTTTCAAAGTATATTTATGCGTGCAAGATGTATTTGTGTATCAAGACAAGAGCAAGAAGGTGGTTATGCATGGGTTGAAAGAGGAGCGTTAGCGGGAGGCAGAGAAGCGTGTGGATGTGCTCGATACCCTTCATTCATTTTAGTTTCCAATCCTCATTCATAATAGAAATCAAACTTGCCAAGTTTATACAAGTCGCTGCTCTTAATTATATGGTCGTGTTAGTCCTTGTTCAATATTATGCGAGATCATGGTGTTGTGTTTCAATGCAACGTAAATATTCCCATTTTTATTTTTTGCTGTCCATGTCAGTCTTGGATATCTACCACTGATCTGTCACGGCACCGTGAGAAGCGTCTCCGACCAACTTAGCATACTTGGCCAGCACACCTCTCTTGACTCTAGGCTCGGGGGCCTTCCACTCACTCCTTCGCTTCTCCATCTCCTCATCGGTGATATCGACATCAATGCGGTTTCTAACTGCATCGATAGTAATTACATCTCCGTCCTTGACCAGAGCGATAGGGCCTCCGACCATAGCTTCGGGCACAACGTGACCGACGATGAAGCCGTGAGAGGCACCGCTGTATCGACCGTCTGTGACGAGGGCGAGATTCGAGAGACCAGCACCCATGATGGCTGCAGAGGCCTTCAGTTGTTCGGGCATACCTGGACCACCCTTGGGGCCTTCATATCGAACAATAACGACCAAGTTACCGTCGGATTGCTTGATCTCACCCTTGTTCAGGGCAGCGTTGAGCATCTTCTCAGTGTCGTATACACGAGCCTTGCCTGTGAAAGACAGACCCTCCTTTCCAGTAATCTTGGCAACGGCACCGCCGGGAGCAAAGTTTCCTCGTAGAATGCGGATGTGGCCGGAGTCTTTAATAGGGTTATCGAGAGAGCGGATGATATCCTGACCAGGGTCCAGGCTGGGCCAGTCTTCCACGTTCTCGGCAAGAGTCTTGCCGGTGACGGTCATGATGCTGCCGTCAAGAAGACCACGAGCGATGAGCATCTTGATAACAGAAGGTGTTCCGCCAACGTTGTACAGATCCTCCATGTAGTACTTTCCACTGGGGGCCAGATCAGCGAGGAAAGGTGTTCTATCACTGGCGCGTTGGATATCGTCGATGGTCAGGGGTACACCAGCTGTGTTGGCCATGGCGAGGAAGTGAAGAACGCCGTTTGTGGAACCACCCAGAATCATAGTCAGAACAAGAGCGTTCTCGAAAGAAGCTCGGGTCATGATATCGCGAGGACGGAGATCCTTCTCCATAGTGGTTCGGATAACCTGAGCAGCGCGCTCACATTCACGACGCTTCTCAGGAGACTCGGCAGGGTATGACGAAGAGCCAGGTAGTGAAAGACCCATAGCCTCGATGGCAGTAGCCATAGTGTTAGCCGTGTACATGCCACCACAGGCTCCGGCACCGGGACAAGCATGCTTCTCGATATCATCCATGACATCAGAGCTCTCACGGCCAGCCTCACCAGGATTTGTCTTTGCGTGGAGTCGGCCATAAGTGAAAGCGCCAGAAGCTTCGTAGCATGTGCTGATGTTGATGGGCTGCTCGAGGAGCTTAGAGTGACCCTTGCGGATGGTACCGCCGTAGATCATGATAAAGGGGCGATTGTGACGAGCGGCGGCCATTACAGTGCCGGGCATGTTCTTGTCACAGCCAGGAATAGAGATGTTGGCATCATGGTGCTGGGCGCAAGTTACAGACTCGATGGAATCAGCGATGATTTCTCGAGTTTGAAGAGAGAAACGCATGCCTGAGAGGTGTGAGTTATTTGTGAATTTTGTGAGTGAGTTTCACTGACCTTCGCCTCCCATAGTGATGGCGTCAGAGACACCAACGGTGTTGAACTGCCACCCGATCATGCCCTCCTTCTCAATAGAATTCTTGACGATTTGGCCAAGATCGAGGACTGCAACTTTGTGAGTATAGATTTACCAGCGCGAGGTTGTCTCACTTACGATGAGTACTACAAATCATTAGTGTTCAGTCTTGAGAGAGGCTTTCGGTTCAAAACTCACTTGCAAGGGTTTCCTTGCCACCACACAGTAGCAACACCGATTTGAGGGGCATTCTTCATCTTGTCCTTGTTAGGGACACCAGCTCCGTAGAGCATAGCCTGGTAATGTCAGTGAGTTGCTGGGATATGGTAGAGGTAGGGGAAGCATACCTGAGCTCCGGGATAGTCATGCTCGCGAGTGATCTTTGTTGACCAACGGTTTAGAGCACCACCGGGAGGAAGACAAGGAAAGGGGATGTAGTCGGGATCTTGTTTAGGGTCGTGTTGGACTTGGTCCGCCATGATGATGAGCTGTGAGAGCTGATCTCAGTCTGTAGTTTGTCGGTGGAGTTCAGCGGCTTCTAGTGATTCAATGGCTGAGAAACACCAGAGTTAAGTCCAGGTGAAAGGAGCTATCTCCTGATGACTTGGATTAGTTTAAGTTAAAGGATAAATAGCGACGTCGGAGTGAGAAAGAGGAAGAAAGGATGAGCTGGTTTATGTTACAGTGAAGAGGATGCCAAGGCGTAACCCCACGGGCAGTGACTGACCTTATATAAAGGAATTGATTCCGGACAACAAGGTCTTTAGACTTTGGTCTTGGGTGAGGGTGACAGAGAACCGAAGACGAAGAGAAATTGACCAAAGACAAGCGTCGGATTAGACAAGAATTGTGGTGCGAGTTGCAATGCGTCTGCCGAAGAGCGGAGTAGTTCAATTTTAGTGACTTTTTTCAATGTAAGCGGAATGTCCTGTAGCCTGTAGCTTCGTAGCCCTGTGACTTGAGGTGGTGTAGTGTGCGGAGTAGAGTGAGTGAGTGGCGTTGGCTCCTCTGTTGATCAGTTGAAGTTTACGATATCACAAGTCACGAAGAGAGAAGAGATGGAAGTGAGATTATAATACGGGAGAAAGGAAGTGATGATAACGGCTGCTGCAGTTGTGACATTTTGTACTCCCCAAGCTAATGTCGCTTCTCGCTCATTGACAACACATGATAGATAAGAGAAGCCTCGTGAAATTGCGTCAAACTCGTTTACCTCGTGTTAGAAGAGGCTATTCTCACTCAAAATCTTGGCTTGCCTCACTTATCCTTCCTTTGCCGGACCGAACAGCTCGGCATTCGCTCCGGGTATCTCATCAAGAGTTTCCCCTTCTCTTGATTCTTCTTTCTTTAACCCCTCTTGACTTGGTATGATCATGACATATCCACTTCCCGCCTGCTAGAGAGGCCAGCAACCCCGCACATTAGTTAGTGACCTTTGAGCTTTGTCGAATACCAACCGTCGGTTTAGCAACTGCGGATCCCTCGAGCTTTAATAGGTCCGAGCTAGTCATTGCCAATCAAACAGAGGAAACAAGAACTGTCTGTCTCCTCTGTCAGTGTTGAGTGAGTGCAAGAGATAATGAATACTTGAAATACCCGAGGTCATCTCCACTCCTAGGAAACATGCTCCCCTCACGATACCCTCGTCCAGATCATAAGCGTGGGGTCAAATTTAATTAACCCCCAAAACAAAAACAAACGGCATGACAGCGGCTAAATGGGAAAACACCCTCCCTAAGAATATCTAACAACCTTACAGTTACATTCAGCCGGGACTCCGCAGTCCCATTCGCTATGGATCCGTCCCTTCCCTTCCCTTCCCATGATCCCCGATGCGCCCCTCTCCGCGTGACATCCACAATTTCTTCATCCACCGGGGCCGAACCGCGGATCGGATACGGGGGGGAGACACCGAAGTTTCGGCTGACACTCACCCGAACGGTTCTAACCACCGAGAATTTGTAATGTTTCGACGTATCAGATATATCATGTTATAGTCCAGAATAGGCATGACCTCCATTTGTCGGTTGTTCAACTACAAACAAACACAACCCTTTACGGCTCCTTTCATACCTCAGCTACAAGACACACTGTACGTACTCACAACTCGTCAATATCAACCCCAAGATCATGCAAGTCATATTGGTCTATGCGTCTTGATACACAGCCGTCGTCATTGTGAAACAGAGACTCGGAAAACGCATTGCAACGCTGCACAGCCAAGACACATACACCCACCCACCCAACTCACCACAACACATAAGCATCACTCAGCAGTACCATTACAATTCGGGCTTTTGCTGCGAAATCATCTTCATGACACCTTGTACAGACACTGTTCGGACGTATCACCGTCTCGAGCAACCTCAAACATATCCCATCCCCATACCCTCCACTAACACACGCTGATCTAGTTTCACCTCAATTACGCAAGCAAGCAGCACTTTTTTTCAACGCTGTCATGTCACAGTCCACATGAAACAATAAACAGTTCAAGGTGAAGAAGATTATCAATTGATGCCTGCCAGCTTTTACCACTGACAGGGTGTATCTAATATTATCCTCCTCCCCATAAACCCCATCCGCTCAGTAGTAGTAGCCCGGGGCCGAGCGTCTTGAGCTTTGGCTCTTTTCTTTCATCACCGTAATTTCATCAGTCCTGAATACGAAACAACAAGAGGACTGTACAATGTAAGGAAATCTGCCGAAATGGCAAGCCAAATAAAACGGGTGAGAAAAAAAAAAAAACGTCAAAAAAAACCGGAAAGCGAGACCAAATGAAAAATCCATGACTCTGCCCACTACCCCGGGACAGGTCTTTACTCCAAGCATAGGACGGAAAAGGTGTGTAGTAGTGTCTCTCTCCATCTGCGACAAGTGCTCTTCATGTCGTGTAGCAAATGCCGTGCATCTACCTCCTTTTTTCCACCTCAAGGATCCAGTATTGAACTGGATCCCACCCACTAGACAATACTTTGTTCGTAAGATAAGAACGGTATAGGCGCACAGTGAAAAGAATGAAAGTGATGTACTTCGTGAAAACGAGTGCGGGCGCAAGTAAAATGCCCTAGTGTGTGGCAGATATGCCGTGTCGTGTGCATGCCTCTGGTGGTAGAGAGCAACAATGCCGTGATTGAAACGAAATGCGAAAAGCAGGAGGCGTATCATACAATGAGGCGAGACCACGCTGCAGTCTCACCTTGTCCTCATTCCAAATTACCTCGCCTCTGGATGGGATGAGGATCAAGACGGGGTGACGTGACCCGAGGAGTCCATGTTCAGTGAGCGATTTGCATCATACCGAATCGCTCCTCTTCCAGCCGTCTCACAATATCCCGATCGCGAGCGGTTCGTGGGTCAGCGTCAATTCCAAGGATCGAAGAGATCCGTGTCTTGTCCTGTCCCTTGTTGTAGGACTGGCTCTGTGCATCCTTCTCGACCTGGCCTGGGCTTGAGATGGGGGTGATTGGTGTCAGAGAAGAAGGGCTGCAGCAGGTGCCAGTTTTCCAGGCCTGCTCGAGAACAGTGGGAGACACTGAAGGACCATACTCGTTGGCGATTGTTGTCCAGAAAGACGCGCGGTGGGTTGAGTAGATGGAATGAAGGCGTGAAAGATCGACATGCGAGGCATTGTGTGCAGGAGGTGAAGATACGGGTCCAGGAGCAGGCACAACTGAGCAGTCAAGACGCAGGGGAGGTGTTGTTCGTTGAAGCGAAGCTGCGCGGTGGTGAAAAGCAGCATGAGGCATCTGAACAGCGACGTCCACTGTCGTCGTATATGACTGGTTGGTGACGGGAGGTGGGAGAGACATGCGAGATGGCTTTGGGAGAATGGACGGTAGACGAGTGACATCGCTAGGTCCAACGATGCTGGGGAGTTGGATGTGGCTGGCAGTGTTGACGTTGCAGGGAGGAGGGCTATAACTTCGTACACTTCCACCAGGAGAAACTGAGCGAGAGACAGTCTCTCGTGCAGGGCTGGGGACGTTCACGTGGTGAGTCTGGGGGATGTCGTTGGAGGCACCCGATGAGACTGAGGCAGCACGCTTGTTGCGTCGGTTGCTGCCATGGGAGAGCTGATGGTAGTGAAGACGGCAAGCCAACTCTGTCTTCTTGAGGTGGGCTGCAATGTACTTATATGGCATCTTCTGGAGGCGAGTTTGGATGAGATACGACTCCTAAACTTGGGGTTAGTGATTTGGTCCGGCACAACTAAACAATATCGGCTCACCTCCTCATCGCTCCAAGCACGTCCACCGCCAGTCGACGAAGCCTTACGGTTCTTTGAAATTCCGTAGTCGTGGCGGTCCATGGAATCCCGCGATGGGATATAAGGCGCGGGGGCGTGAGCCATCTGGTGTTGAGGCATGCCTGAGCTCATTGGTCGGCTGTTCATTGTACTGCCTTGAATCCGCAATGGGGTATCGTAAAGTAAAAGTCAGGCTGCTGAAAAGAATCGTCGTTTTTCGAAGAGTCGAAAGTCGTCGTATAAGCTGGTCTTGAAGAAGAAGCCAGACCAAGTGTGATCGAAGCGAGTGATATCGTTCGAATGCCGGATGTGCTGTTTAAGCCAGCGAGAATATTTAAACTCGAAAATACAGACACCGGAAAGGAAAGTCCTCAAAAGCTGAAACTGTTTCAGATAGAATGAAACAGAATTGTTATAAAAAGGCGTTGAATGAAAAACCAATATCGGTTTTGTTGTGTAGAAGGTAATGGGTTGTTGTTGTTGTTCAAAGGAGTGTCAGCAGCCAAACCAGTTGGTCCAAGTTGGTACTGTTAATGAGTGTGTTGGAGCTAGCTGCGTAGAAGAAGTGAAGCAGAGCCGAAGAAGTGAATACAATTACAAGACGCGACAGCGTTTCTTGCAAAGCAGAAGAAAAAGAAAAGAAAAGATGTGAGGTTGAGGATGACAATCCAAAGTGAAGAAGGGAAAGAGGAGAAGTAGAAGTAGTTTATTAGAAGGGGAGGGGCAAGTGGTGTAGTAATAACAATGGAAGATTCAGAAACAGGCACAATAGACAGTTTACAGCGGCACGCATGCAGTAACAGGCTCACTAGAGTAAGGTACAGTACGTACGGGGCAGATTGCAACGGCCACGACGGTGGTGATGGTTCGGGCCATGCATGGATTGGAGGAAGGACATGGATCAGGGCATAACAAGGGTTTGCTCACTGCCAGGGCCCCTGTTACATCTAACAGGAACAGTCTAACAGCGTTAACGAACGGGGGTGGGAGGGGTTCCAGGCCTAGACGACAGGACAGGGCATGGGGGTAGATTCAGGGCCTGCAGGGCATGGCATGTGGCTTGGCTGGAGTTGGGATGCTGCAACATGAACAAAACCAAAACATGCATCCATCGCAGACGGAACAAGTCGTGGATGATGATTCATCTTACAGTTCCTGTCTGGGACTCAAAACAAATACTGCTACAACAAGATCTGAGGCTCTAAACGGAGACAAACTAGACGACACTATACTATTTTAGCCTGACCATAGACTGGGCGCGAGACGAGACTAACACAAGACAAAACCTGCAGTAATGAGACACCCAATTTCTGGGGTTTTTGGTTTCTTTGTTTCTCTAACCCCCCCCCCCAAAAAAAAACCTCAGACGAAAGAGAAAAAAAAAAGGGCTTGTGAAGCAATAGCAACGATCGTAATATTACAGAAACGCCACAGATGACAATGGCTTGATACAAGTGTGCAGTAGTCAAGCCTCAATCGCGGTGAAGGTGAGCTCTAGTCTAAACAGCTCGACAGAATAGGAATATGGAGCGAACACCACCGTCCGCCACTATCATGAATCAATTCGTCACGAACCAAGACCAGATGACATGGTCCGCCCAAGCGAGCCTCAAAACGATCACTTACATGCTGCAACTGCAACTGCAGAACAGAACAGTCGTTGTCAGTAACGGATACAAGATCCGCCGCCTTGTCAAATCAACTCACCCTTGCCTGGTAAAACGGTCACCACCGCACGTAGCGTCTCCCACTGTTGAAGAAGTGATCCAAACATCCATTTACCACCCCCGGTTCAGTACTCGTACAACGGATATTGGCAGGCCTGTGCGAGTTTTAAACATACTCTTCGCCATCCTTGGCATCCGATCTCTACAGCACAGCACAGCACAGCAGCACAGTACCTTTACTCTCAAGGAGAAACTGTCTCCCGTCGGACAAGACACGCATATAGTACTCTCCCTAGGTTTACGTATGGCCTCTGTGGGTTTTGTCCTCGTGTTCATTCCTTGATAATCAATCAATCACTTTTCTTATTCCTGACAGCAGATATTCAGTCAGTCTCTCTTCAGCGGGGTCGTGTTGCGTTACATCGACCTCAGCTTCAGGTGCGCGATGCGCGTAATAATTCAAGGTGCCCTTCCATTAGTTGATAGCCTTGTCTGACTCTCCAGCGCAGCACACAAACTGCTTCTTGGCAGCCAACCCTGGCGAGTAGCAGGGGTTCATATATTGCTTCGTAATTGGACGGTCCCTGATTTTGATTTGCACCTCGAGTTCCTTCAACCTCGTGGTTTGGCTGTAATAATCCCATCCACACTTGTAGCCTTGAGGCTAACATCCATCGCGCGCCGCTGCGCTGTGATCCGTGATCTTCTGGAGGACCGTGATTAGGTCCCAAGCTGTTGGCTGCAGCTAGCAGACTACTGCTGGCCCGGGCGTAACAAGTAAACACGATTGGGGAGTTGGTGCTGTTGTTGTTGCTGCTGCATGATTCTTGGTGTTTCTGTATAAAGCAGCTGAAGTAAAGCCGCCACAGGGAGATGTTCCGCAAAGCTTATCAAACCCCAAATGTTTAGTTAAACAATATCCGGTTTCGTTTCTCTCGCCTTTTGGCTCCAAGTATCAAAACTCGAGTCGAGTCCAGATACGTACATATACTTCTCGGCCGGCTTGCACGGTGTTTGGTGGAGGGCATGTCATTGCAACCCTGTCGGCTATCGTTTCGTGATAGGTGGGTGCAAGATATGCCGTCCGTTTAGACGATGCGCACATGCCATCGACGCCTCGATTCACAAATTTGCGGGACGACAAGCGCCTGTCTAATTTCAACACGCAGTGACTTGTTTGCACCTTTATTAATTAATTAGGCTTTAGGAAGTTTTATCTTCATCTGTTGTTGTTTGGTAGGATCAGGGCAAAACAACTTCAACTCTGATATCATACATATCACTTCTTCAGTAGGAGCATCATCATCTCACCAACTCTCTGGTCATGATGTTTCCTGTCTCAGAGTCACTATACTGCTACTCAAACCCATATAACTTTCCTTACCGTCGGTTTCGGTTTCTACCTTAACAAAGCCAACTAATCTCGCCGCTTCGTTAGCTGCCGCCGCGCCCCAGGCCCAAGGTTCAGGGATCCCCCCTTGAAACCCGCTAACGCACTGGCGTAATTTCACCTCGGTATCAGGGATTAGTCCAAAAGAGATGGACATTTGCGAACTCTGTGGAGCGTCCTCTGCTGATTGGGCGGCTTATTAACCTCAGAATACTGGTTCAGTGCTTTCGACACTTTGTTTTTACCTTGTCCGTCGACAGACTCTGCACTTATTCCTATTGTGGTCTTCTGTATCGTGTCCTGGTTATGGTTCTGGCAATGTGCCGTGCAGGGGAAACGAGCTGAGTTGACGGCACAAACCGAAACATTCGTTCCCCAGTTACAGAAAACAATAATGAGAAACACGGCCAAGCGAGACACAGGATGGACACGGATGCTTCGATCCCGCTGTCTTACGCCTCTCTGATCGTCGTCCTTCCTTGCAACTCTGAGTGATTTGAATACGGCAGAATCTATTCGTCTATTCTTGGAGCCCTGGCCGACTAACACCGTGCCATGGCAAGATGATCACCAGGTGGTGTCGGGCGGTGAACCGGCCCTTGGTAGCGAAATGCTGCTGTAGAGTGACTCTATGTAGTCGATCTCACTCCCTTGTCCGAGATCTTTACGCGGCTTATCCCCATGCATATCGTATTGTAGAGCACCCTTATGAAAATATGCACTAGCACCTGCAGCAAGGCTCTGCTCTGTGGCGCTAAACAAAACTGCGAATGCCTTCAAGCTTCAGATATCTGATGCACACTTCTAACATGACAGCGTCAAGAGAAACACCTTCTCCAGCTCGGATCGAAACATTGCCGGAAACCGGGTGCTACTCTACCGAGTTGGCAGGAGGTCCCATGACGCCGGATAGCTGTCGTTCCTGTGTGAGCTCGAGTCTGAAGCAGCGATCAAACACGTCGAGATCCGAAACTCCAAGATCTGAGATTCCCAGATAAGTTTTAGATAACCTCAGTTTTGAGTTTCTTCCATGCAACCTCGCATACGAAATCCTGATACATAATTCCTCAACTATTATTTACTTAATCCTTCTCTATTAAGCGCTAAACATTATACAGCTGTCAAATGTTTGCCAAGTCGCAACACTTCCCTCCGTAGACTTACCTCGGCAGTGTTTCAGGAGTCTGTGCGGTCGAGATGGTCATAGCTGTTTGGATCCCGGACTGGGGGCCTTCAGGCTGTCCTGAGAAAAATGTTCTGGAACTTTGCTCTGCACGGGGACAGAGATGCAGCTATCGTGAGTTGTTAGTCAAGCGGCAAAGGACCGTCAAAGATTTTTTATGGCGGGATATGCTTGCGAGAGAGCACTACGTGTAAATCCACAAAACACATGCAGGGTTCCGTGTTGATGATAATTTCGTTCGGGTTTTGTCTTTATTGATTGTGCTACTAAAGTACACTCTCCATATAAAAAGACTTTTTTTAAAGTTGTTTACGTGTTTTGTGAGATTATTCATGACACCGGCAGATTCATCTCGTTTGTTGAAGGTTTCTACTCCATGGCTAAGCAATGCCTTGTGTTCTTTACGCCACATGTCTATCTTGCAGGGCTGGCGTTTCAATATTCACCGTTATATAAGGTTGTAGCTTGAAACGCGACCAGAATGTTTGAGATTCCCATTATCCAGTCCTACTGTGCCTATAAGTTCCCCTACCCATTGGAGCGTAAGGTAGAAGCAAGGGTCCTGATCGCTTGGCCCTACGGACGGCTCAAGAGGTGTCCGAATATTTCGACCAGCTCTTGCAACCGGGGTGGTTTCATCCGCGGGCCTAACCCTCGAGGAACAAAGGTTTCGAAACTTGATAGTCTAATGTAACTCAAAAGAAGGCTAAAGCACCGATGCACTCGAGCTCTGTTGCTGTTATCAGGATCTTTGCTCACCGCAAACTCGTATTGCGGGCGACAATTTTGCCTCGGAATGTATTTCCCCGATATCCATATTAAGGCGTGTATGTTTCGTTCGCATGGGGAGAGTGCCCCGTGCTCCTCTTTTGTGCTTATTTTATTGTTGGCGTGGGACATCAGGCCATCCCAGATTACAAGCGTGTTTCGAAGCGGGCGGGGATCGGCAATGCAGTTGGAGATGGTGGAGGAAGATGAACTCGATGGAGTTTGATGCCGGTGCCGGATCGTCGTGTGAATGTCAGATTTGGTTATCTCGCCGTTGTCTTGATCTGGTAGTTCTGTTGCATTCCTCTTTATCAGAGCTTAATCTCAACGTTCGCCACCGTTAGGGCTCAAGAGATTTCATCCTGTATGTGCCGGGTAATCTAACAGAAGTTAAATCATAGGAGGAAGAAAAGTCGGAGATTATAGAAACATATTCATTCTTAGCACCATTTTTAGTCGGAATTTCTGCTATAGGTGTGAGAACCTAATCAAACTATAGTAAATTTAGTTTTCCTCCTATAATTGAGTTTATTAGAGTTCTTGTAGTGTTTTAATAATGTGCTTATTGAGGAACAAGGAGGAATCTCTCTTATATGCCGCCCGTGAGGACATATTGCGGTAAGCCTACCCTGGACAACGAAGATGAGTCTGGTCTTCTCTTGACAGCTATCGAGTATGTAGCAGTCTCATACGGTTGCCATTCGGGGTATTAGCATGTAAATCTAAAACTCCCCTGGTGTGATTGAATCAGTTCAGTATCTTTGCCCGTGTAAATGCAGCTCGAGTTCGAGTTCTGCCTATGACAGTGAAAGGCGGCATCATAAGTGCGGTTGAGGAGAAATTGGGAAAAAAAGGGGTCGACAGCCTCGACGGATAAACAAGCAGAATTACTCAAACTGCATCTCTACAGCATCAGAAACATCATATTAGACCATATCCATTTATATTAATTGCCACCCGTACGATAGAACAAAAACTCCGAGTCCCGGATCCGACGAGGGAGGGACTTGAGAGGTACACAGATTCAATGTCACGATCTTAGCTCGAGACGCGACCAGATTGCCGGGTATACCCCATTGTGTACAGTACTTGTAGGGTGGAGAATCGGGGCAGATCCATCATTTCGAGAGATGCGGCTCTTGAGGCCAGCCATCCTCAAATGGCACGTACCGCAAGACAAGGTACGTAGGTTCAAGAAACGGTGTCAAGACTACATCTAGTACAGATCTGTCATTCAAAGTGCGCCTACTTTTAACAACACCTCGTGGTTGTTGGAGATAAAGTATGAATCGATCGCGTGGAGTGGGGATGACACCTTGTCATTCGTCAACAGAACGAAACACGTTGAAACCAACAAACATAGGAAGGTGATAGATGACAGATGAATAGTTGCAATAGTCAAAAGAATAGCAGAGGACACGTGAAAGGACCGCTTTATCCTACCAAGGTTATCACGCAATGCAAAATGACAGCACGTCACGTAGATAGAGGCTGTCAGTGGCTGCTGGAACTGAACACGAAAGTCTCATCAAAGAGATTTAATCAGCTACGACAAACGAAATAGAGATTGCAAAACACCGACAACCGTATAATTAATCACCAACAGGGATTCATTGTCTGATGGGATGATATCGTGAGATTAGACCAGTCGGTGAATTATTAGACAAGGAAGGCCATTGACGAGGGAGAAACAGATCATGTCAGATCAAAAAGGTGACGTACGCGAGGAGACTAGACTCATTGAGTGGGATTGACAATTACTGATACCAAGGAGATATCTCTGCCAACCTCACTTCAACTGATTGAATGCCTGATTCTATGATAAACTTGTACGACGATAACTGAGGCTTGACCAAACGTGGCTTGGCAATTACCGGATCAACCAAAGAAACGAGAGATTTTCATTAGCGGGCGGGGAACGAGAGCACGTACCTCTCAGTACTTGTTTTCGAGATGTTTCCTGCTGAAAGAGATAACATGCTCGTCATCAGCGCACTGTGCATTCCAGTATAATTCATGTGGCTAAAGACAGTGTGATTATGAGGTCAAATTCTAAGCTATTCGCGCCTCGGAAGCGTCGGTGACCCACTTTTAGCGCAAGCGTCGTAGCTTTCTGTCACGCCTGCCCACCTCCTTTCGCCCATTCCATTCTCCCCTTTCCACCAAAAAAAAAGGGTAACCCACGACTACCTTCCCCTCCCCAGGTCCCAGCGACTTCCAAGGTCCTGCCCGAGTTACTTTGCCTCGAGGTACCATCCATCGTTCCTCCCTCCCCCAGACAGACCTATCTACTTTTTACCTGCCGCATCCAATCCACCTCAAACTCGACCTGACGGGAACAGAGTTGAACTGAGGTGAGGTATCTATTGTACATCATCTCACAATCCATACCTTCTACGCCCAAACTTCATCCTCAATCAACCTAGCTGTGGATCCACTCACAGCATCTGCTAAGGCTGAGTGAGGTATCTCTCTATCATTCTGCGATTGCGACCTGCGACAGGCGAGCAAAACGACTTGACCTGTGACTCGACCTTCACATTGTGTCGTCACCGTCGCAGACAAACAAGACGCGCATTTGCTTGCTCGTTCCCTCCTGGGCCTTTAACTCAAGTCAAGTAAGCATTCTATTCTATATCGTGTCCCATCAATCAATACCATCTCCTGGCTTTCATTCTCACTCATTATTGCGTCTTTGCTCATCGAAATGAAAACTTGTACATGTTTTTGAGCGCGCGTCCTGTATCTTCCGTCATTGCCGAGTTGAGATGCGGCAACTGAGCATAAACTCACTCACTCACTCTATTCACTCATGACTCAATACTTCACCATCACCATCACCTGTCGCATCGCATCGCATCTACCTACCCATCGTCTTGCCACGACCACAGTCCTACGTTTTTGTTCGCTACGTACCTCACATCACTCGCGTCTTATCGCAGACACGTTACGCGTGTGTCCGCCTGTCCTTTCTTTTGTCTGGCTTGCTTGCATTTTCCTGCCTCGTTATAGCCCCAGCCCCAATCAATCTCTTTTCGCTCACAAGCGTCTGTCTCGTCTCCAACCACCCCCAAAAACAACGGGGCACTGCCAATGTCTTCAACATGGCTTCGCCGAGGCGCACGCGAAAAGCAACACAGCATCTGACCGCGCACATGGTTTAGACACGTAGAGCATCGCGCACATGCGATTCCGTTGAACTCGAACAATTTTCTTTATTTCCACTCTCACCACGTACACGCTGATACTGACCCAACCTTAACCAGCGCACAAAGGTTCATTACAAGACAAAAAACCTTGAACATCTCGACCAGTTGGTACTTGCGTGGAGAAATCAAACCGGCATCCCACCACATCACGTTTCAGTTTTTTACCAACCAGATCCCGCGGTTGTGTTTCCTGACGCCCTAAAAATCCCCTCCCAGCACAGATCTTTGTTGAGTACTTCGCAGATACTCGAGATACTCGTCTGTACCTCTCCTGTATCAACGTTGTCGCCTTCACGATATTGTGACTGGTCACTGTCTAACTCTCTTGCCTTTTAACTCAACTTTATTCACGGATCAACTAGTCAGACTTTTGCCCGTGAGTACAAATACTTTCTCTATTGTCACCATCTGTACTCTTGGTCATACGAAAAAAAGTTCCGCGTTTTGCGCCATCGCGCTTCTGGTGTTAATACGGAGAGAAGCACTATGAATCGCAACGCGATGCCGGCCAACAAGGTGGACCCAAGGCTGTGGTTACAGGTATGCTGCAAATGTTATGAAGCGACTATTGTTCTGTTCCTGTCGAAATTCGATATCGAAAATAGTTGCGCAGCTCAGTTCAGCCCAGACCCTGGTCGCGTCACCCCCAGTTTGCGCGTGCTTCAGACCCACGTTGATTGATACACCAGTCAGAGTCATGATATGTCTTGTTGTATCGCAGACGCTAGCGTCAGCGTCTCACGACTTTCAACATCATGTTTCCTTGCTTATTGCCGATGGTTCCTTGAATCTGATGGCTAACTGGTACCTTTTAGAACATGCAGCAGTGGCAAGTCGGGCCTGTCCCGGAGTATGTCTACTCCAACTCTCATCAGCCAACCGAGATGCAGTAAGTATTACGTCCTTTGATGAACCCTTCTTTCTTGGACCAGGTACCACACCATCTGTCGATTACAAGAGTAATACGACTCTTTCCCTGTTTCGTCACGGTATTTCTGGCTTTGTAAGGTCCTTAATCGGTGCCTTCAAATTGTGTCTCACGACCCATTTCACCACCGATAGACCTGACGCCTACCAAAGCTACACAAGTAACTTTCTCACATGAAAGTACCTCTAATGCCTGTAGCTTGTGGTTGTGTCAACTACCGTGCCCATTCATATCGATCATGAAGCCCTACGATTGGGAGCCACCCTGCTGACCTGCGTCTCTCAATAGCAACCCTCACCAATACCAGAACGACATGACTCGTCGTCCTGAGAACATGGAATTCCGCTACGGCGCCCCTCAACCTAATATGGCACCGCAGCAACAACAGCAACCTCAACAACAGCAGCAGCAACATCACCCGGCGCCTGTTCAACCTCCTCCCATGAGCGTTCCTCAGCAGCCTCCAAATGGTGCTGCACCTCCTCAGCAAGTACCTACTCCCACTCCGGCACCAGCTGGTCGGTCGCGAAAGAGGCCGGCACCTGGTGCCGCTGGACCTCCGGCCACAGCTGCTCCTCCTGCCCCTGTTACCCCATCTCAAGTTCAACCTCCTGTCGCAGCTCCTCCCCCACCACAGGCGGTTCCTCAACAACCACAACAAGTTCAGACAGATGATGCGAACGCAGCACCAGTTGCACCTCCACCGGCCAAGAAAAGCCGGACTAACACCCCCTGGACACCACAAGAAGAGTTGCGACTGAAGCAAATGCGAGATGCTGGCAACAGCTGGGCAGAGATTGCCAAGGTAAGACCTACGGTGTAACCTGGGTATGATTCATATGCTAAAAATGACGTGTAGACTTTCCCTACCAGGACAGAAGGATCTGTCAAGAAGCATTGGTACAAGGTATGCTCGACCAGGAGATCAACGGGAGGATTTAAGAAGCTAATTGGATTTAGGACATGCATTATGCTGAGTTTGCTGAGGACGAGGTAGCCACCATTCGCCCTGTACATTGAACAACAAAGCTGACCTCCCCTTTATCAGAGCCAAGCGTTATTGAACGCCATCAAGGAGTACGAGAACAACAAGTGGAAGTCAATTGGGCAGAAGGTCAACAAACCTGCCAAGGTACGTATCTTAACCCTCGGAACTTGACAAAGCATGTAAGGTGTTGACATATGATGTAGGCTTGCGAACAGTACGCCAAAGAACACTTTCCAGGTACGTCTCGACTGCTCTGTTTTGACGACGGAGTGAAGAAGCGTTTATTGAAACTGACATGCATAGATTTGTTCCCTAATTCCAAGAGATAGGGCGAGTCGCAAGGTGGCTTTGGGATCTCTTGCAAGTTTCGCACTCCTGTGAGAAGTCGATAGCCAAGAAGATGATCTTTTACCCAGAATTCCCTACTGCAAAGGGAAAAGACACAAAACACCAAAAACAAAGGGAAAATTAGCAGTGGCGTTCTGCACAATTTCTATGCGGGAAACTGTTTAATGTTTGTTAATTGTGGACTTGCCTCGAATATTTTATGAGGCATGGCGGACAATGCCTCACCGGCTTTGTTACCACTCCTTCGGATCGGATACGGAAAGGATTGGAACTGGGAACTGGCGCGTAAAGGTGGAAAAATTGAAGACGAGATGCAGCGTATGCACCTGTCGAACTGGCCTATAGGAAGAGAGTGTTACAAAGGAAAGGGACTTGTGATATGGACGCGTCTGTTGGTGTAATGGGGAGAGATGAAGGAGGATATGGATGTCTGAGGTTGAGGAAGACGAAGCCGTTTCAAGACGGACCGAGTCGAAGGGAAGGAAGGATGACGGCAGTGTGTGTTATTTTTTCCCCTTGTCTTTTTCCTTTTCGATTCTGGTTGTGAAAGGATGGGACTGTTCGATTTTAGGTTCGGTTACTTATACCCCAATGCCTGGAGTTGATTCCTTGCACACAAACATAATGGCCCCCTGATTGACGCTCGTGAACTGAACCAATTGCCTGTATATTGCGCGGATCGCTTTAGCTTGCGAAGACACAAATCATTTGCCATTATCCTGTACCAATTAGTTGCTGCAAGATAGTAATGCGTTCTTGGTTGTCTACTGTCAGGAAGTTGGTGTTTGACAGGCCTGTAAGATTGGTCAGGGACCGTGGCGTGTCCCCTGTGGTGGGCGCTGGGCTGTCAGCCTGGGCTAGGTAAAGGTACCTAGGCTACTTGTCGGGTACAATGGGATTGTGGCGGCGGGAGGGGAAGCGTTGTGTGACAGGCAATGGCGTGCCAGATGTAGATGTGACATCGGCAATGCATGATGGCGTAGAAGGGTTTTGGAAGGTTTTCGAGTGCCAATTCATTATGACATCCATTGTTAGTGTGGTTATTGCATTGAGCTCTGGCGAGAAAGGTAAAATGGGCCGGAATGAAGGGGGCGGTACGTATTATGATGGGCAGGGATGAGTCTATGACCTGAAATCTGGGGAGATATGGATGGATGGGTTGAATGATATGGATGCTGATTCGCGGAATGTACGGGCTTTGAACTCAGGGCTTGTGGTATCATCGAAGTAATTAGAGATACATCGATGTTGTAAATGGAGTCGAAGCTGAAAGTTTAATATATATAGTAGGTAGCATTTCGGGTTTGAAGATCAAGTCAAACTCAATCGATTTGGTTGAACTTTGTTGGCGAACGAGGGTATTTGCGACCGCAGTGATGCAACTGAAAACAAAGTGATTGCTTTGCTGTAGGCATTCAGAGATTGAGCACTGTTGCCTTGAAGACATGTTCAATGGACTGGGTATTAGAGGATTCCATGGCAACAATTGCTCTTATTACAGCTGATATCTATACGATGATGCCACTGATGGATCACCAAGACAGTCACATCGCCTCTGCTTAGGTGTATGAAGTTCAGGGGTCAGCCAGGATCAGGCGCATGATCTTAGACGAACTGATCACCAAGTTTGAATAAACTCGAGCTGTTATTGGTCCTTTCTCAAGCCTAGTCACTGTTATCTTCCAGAGTGGTTTAGTGTGTTAGTGCGTCTAAACGAAAAAGGCCATGTCTCGTGTCTCTCGGCACGAGAGGTCCGCTTTGCCAGTGCGCGAGTGTGTGTGAGTGCTGATGGGGAACGGACAGGTACGGGGGGAGTCTGGTCCAGTCTATTCGGCCTTCTTCTTTGGGAGATTCGCTTCTCTTCTTTAATCCCTCTTCTATCCTTTCCCCAGATTTCGCTGTCTGTCTGTGGTGTTGAAAATCCACCTTTTTCTTTTTCACTGTTTTGCTCATCGTTTGCTTTCTTCCTAACCCAAGGGAAGACATCGGTGGCACTATCAATCGTTTTTATTTTCTCGTCGCTATTTCTCTCTCGCTCAAGTCACGCGGTCGAGTCCCGATCGATCGAAAAAAGCACACGCAGAATCTACGCGATAATTTCTAAACCAGACACTCGCTTTCTGCGGAGTTGCCCGACATCCTTCTGCTCTCGTTAAGAAGGAAAATCCTGCGTATTCAAGGGATATTTCCAGAAAGGGGACAATCTTTTCGGATCGAGGACGCGCAAACTGTTTCGCGGCCCGCATTCCATCGCCCTTTTTTACTTGATTCAACTGTCAATCAGCAGCCTAATAAAACGGTCGCTATCAACACCACGCAAATACACCTTTAATCACCGACAACAACCCAAGTCGCTCGCTTGCTGGGTTGTTTCGACTGTCGTTTTTGTGTCTACTCGATTCAACAGCAGTCGCTACCTGTTCTCGACACTTCAACGCCTTATCTACTCTTAATATCCCGATCAGATCAGCTCAGATCAGACCATACCATAATACCGAACCCCTAATTCGAGGGCGCTCTTGCATCAAAGCATCAGTTACATCTGTTTTTGCTCGACTATTTCATATTCATAATGTTGCGATCTCTTGTTGTTGCTGCCCTTTTGGGCGCTAGCTCTGTCGCCGCTGTCAAGTGCACGCGCAGCAGCCACTGTCCCGAGGACTCGCCATGCTGCTCCAGTAAGTTACCTGCACGAAGTTGACGATTTCTGATATCTGACATGTATCAGCCTATGGTGAATGCGGTGTTGGTGCGTACTGCCTGGGTGGTTGCGATCCTACAATGTCCTTCTCCCTCGACTCTTGTGTCCCCGCTCCTGTTTGCGAGGACCGCAAGATGAAGATGAACTCCCTTGATTCAATTGTCGATATCGGCAAGTATCTTGGTGATTCTTCAAAGGCCGACTGGGTTGCACAGGGTGAGCCTGTTGTTTTCCAGAACAACGTTCTTCTTACCATGCCCAAGGACAGTGTTGGCACTCTGCTGTCTTCTACTGTCTACATGTGGTATGGTAACGTCAAGGCTCGCTTCAAGACCAGCCGTGGTGCTGGTGTCATTACTGCTTTCATTCTCTTCTCTGACGTCAAGGATGAGATCGATTATGAGTTTGTTGGTACAGAGCTCGGCGATGCTCAGACCAATTATTACTTCCAGGGCATCACCAACTGTAAGTCGTCCCAGTGTCACACAGCAAGGTAGCCCCTTGTTCGTGACACAGCCATGAATCCTCACGTGATGGTGTGTTGTACCTGACACGGCTGACACTTTGATAGACGAGAATTCCGAAAACATTACGCTGTCTGATACCTTTGCCAACTTTCACGATTACGAAATCCGATGGACCCCCGACAAGATTGAGTGGTGGGTTGATGGCAAGCTCGGCCGAACTCTCCAGAAGAGTGATACCTGGAATGCCACCTCTAAGAACTTTGACTTCCCTCAGACACCCTCTCGCGTGCAGCTTTCTCTGTGGCCTGGTGGTAAGGAGGGTAATGCCGAAGGTACTGTAGCATGGGCTGGAGGTCCTATCGACTGGGATGCTCCCGATATCCAGAAGAGTGGTTACTACTTTGCTACCTTCTCCGATGTTGAGATCCAATGTTTCAACGCCAAGTCTGGTCCTGGCTCCAACTCGGGTACTAGCTACTGGTACAAGGATGCTGCTGGCACCAACGACACCATTGTCGACGGTGACAAGAGACACACCATTGCTTCTCTGATGGCCACTGGTGAGGACATGGACAAGGGAAAGAAGGAGGACAAGAAGAAGGATAGCAAGGACGATGACAAGGACGATAAGGACAGCAAAGATAGCAAGGACAAGGATAAGGACGACGACGATGATGATGAGCCTGCCACTATTCCTGGCGGCAGCAGCGGCGCGCCTTCCAACGACCACGGAGACGATAGCAGCGATGACAGCAGCTCTGGTTCCGGTTCTGGCAGTACCCCCAAGGGCAACCCTGACGGCAGCACAGATGATACTGAGCCCGCTGACACCACCAACTGTGAGACCAACAGCTTCAACCAAGACTGCGCCAGCTCGAGCTCTAGCTCGAGCAGCAGCAGCAGCAGCTCAGATGATGGAAAGGGTTCCAACGCTGGCACACGGAACGGCGCAAGTGCTCTGGCCATTATCATCGCCGGTGGTGCTCTGTTCTGGCTGTAGTCAATGATGATGGCGTTTGATGTCCGTCCTGCGACTCCTCCCATTAACCTCTCTTTTTTCTTACCACTCTTATATAGCATCTCACCGCACGTTTCCTGTTTAGCATTTCATGACGGTCGGCATTGAGATTTTGTATGTAATTTCTTCTCTTTCATGGGTCCATATTCTGTTAGTAGAGGGACGATAATGGTAAATGGTTTTGCATGGGCTTCTTTAAATGAGGTATTTTGCTTGCTGTGCATGTGATGGCATGTGAAGAATACTGGGCGGCTTGGTTATTTAAATATGTGATCATCTGGTCTATGCGCCTGGTTATGGAGAAGATGTATGTTTGGGATTGAGTAGAGGGACTGGGTCAGGCAGACTCCTTCGGATTTGATGGCATGATGAGGACATCCGTGTTAAGATGACAGGTACTAAAATCTCACGTGCAAGCGAAGGATTAGTTAGTGAAAGTAATGACAAGTCGACCTGCCAGTGAAAGCAAAGAGAATAAGCATAACCATTAGTCAAAGCGTTGAGGATCGAGACAAACCATGGCCTCAGAGAATGGCCAACCAATTCAGCCCTACTCTGAGCATGGCATCATTTGACCTCAAGCTATCGGGTCGGAGAAAAAAAGGCCGCAAGGGCTGAGCGTTTGCTTTTTACCGCTGATCCAATCCCTTCTCATCTTGGCGGTCTCCTATAAACGCGAACCCCCTGCATCTCAGCTCTAAGCGCTGGAGTCGCTATGCTCTGAGCCAATTGTTATGGGGGGAGGATCAGTGGTGAAACTCGACGGGTGTGTTTGCTGACTGTGGTATCCGTTTCGTTTCATGTTGCCGTGAACATTCACTGGCTAACAGCCCTACAGCCACTGTAGCACAGCCCCTACATTGCCTTTTTTTCCTCATTACCCCTGATCAGCGGTTGATCGCTGTTCTTCCAATCACTGACGCTGCGCCTCCACTGAATGGAATGGGATGTTCGCCTTTTCGCCAGTGAACAAGGCTTGACAAGGTTGCTCTTTTGAGGGGATTTCTCTTGTTCCAGTGACTGTGCATCTGCATGGATCGCAGTCCTTTGTGAGAATGGTTCACTACCTGGTCTAGGTCTTTTGAGGCTGAGGCTTACATCTGTAGCTATATATGCTCAACCCCCAGCCATTGATCCTTGGTCACTCTATTTCTCACAGCCGCAATCCTTTTTGCTAACATCAGCCTCCCTTCATTAAAATTACACACGATTACGTTTATACTTTTTTCAATTCTTAAAAAGATTGGACTGGTTCCTGTTTCTTTTATAGACTTTCTGGCTTTTTCAGCTTTTGATACCCCATTCGATATTGATTGTCGATCGCTATTGCAGTATACTACTACTACTACTACTACTACTACTACTACGACTTTGAAACGAAACGAAACAACACAAAACAAAACACGCTTCACACAACAACATGAAGTACACTATCGCTGGCCTCTTGGCCACTCTCGCCACATCTGCCTCTGCGCTTCCTAACATTGCACGCAGCTCATACCCCGCTGCCTCAGCATCTTCATCCGCTGCTGCGCGCATCCTTCTCGGAAACTCTGGCCACATCTACGTCGCCGACTTCAGCCCCAAGACGGGCAAGTTCGAGCTCACTCTGAACCAGGAGATCGAGGGCGGTAACTCATGGATGGCCTACTATGACCCCAACTTGCTCTACGCCGTTGACGAGAACTCTGATGAGCTGAGACTCTTCAATCTTGATCTCGAGGCTAATAAGCTTACCCTCAAGACCAAGAAGGCCGGAAGTGTCGGCGTTGTTCATCTTGAGTTCAACTCGGACAAGACACGCCTCGTCGGTGCTGCTTATGGAAATGGTACCATTGATGTTTGGAACACTGAGAAGGGTGGCCTGGAGTTCGTCAAGACTCTCAAGTCTCCTGGAAAGCTTGGCCCCGATAAGGAGCGCCAGGCTGCTTCTCACCCTCATCAGGCTAACCTTGACCCTTCTGGTCGCTACTTTGCCGTCAACGATCTCGGCACTGACTCTGTTGTCATCATCGACTCCAAGGATGATGCTTACAAGATCGCAAAGAACATTCCTGTTGAGGCTGGCTGCGGTCCTCGACATGGTGTCTTCTACCCTCGTGGTGGAAAGAAGGCTACTCACTACATCGTTGCTTGTGAGCTGAGCAACCAGGCCCTCGTCTACTCTGTCTCCTACAAGGAGAACACCCTTGCCTTCAAGCACCACCAGTCTATCTCGACCTACGGCAAGGACGCTCCTGCCAAGGACCCCAAGACCGCTGCTGTTGGTGAGATCCTTCTCGCTCCTAACAACAAGGACGTTTACATCTCCAACCGTCTGTCCGGAAACGAGACCGACTCTATCGCTCGCTTCACCATCGCTGAGTGCGGAACTCTCACTTATGCCGATACCGTCTCATCTGGTGGCCTCCTCCCCCGTATGATGAGCTTCAGCCGAACTGCTAAGCACGTCTTTGTTGGTAACCAGAACGGTACCAGCGGTCTCGTTGCTCTTCAGCGAGGTGCTGATGGCAAGCTTGCTGAGAAGCCTGTCGCTACTCTTCCTGGCTCTGCGTTCGGCGAGCCTTTGTTCGGACCCCAGTATGTGCAGCAGATCCTCCTGAACTAAGCTCGGAGATGTTCACTGTACTATTTCTTCTTCTTGATGGCGCTTTTGGTGTTTCTCGGGCTTGATAGACCCTTGGAAATCGGGCACGTTTTTTTTTTTTTTTTTTTTTTGTTTTTGTAAAAAGAATTCTTGTTTATTAGTCAATAAGATAAATTGACATTTGCTGTATACCCTGGTATCAGAAAAAGATAACGCCTGTTATTCGTGATGAAAACCTGTTGCACATGTGGTAATATGCTGTACCGTAATCCGTATACTCATAACCCATTTAATCTGAACTTGAATCGCTCGCCATACCTGCTCCTCCACGCCCTGATGTATCTTCCAGACTCTCTTTCACATGTCGATACTCTTCATCTAGTATATCTGGATCTGTGCACTTGTAGGCTGTCTCGAAGTCGATGAGGACAGCATCGCCGTCTTGTCTGATGAGGAAGTTGTGCTTGTTGATATCGCCATGTACAATACCCAGATCATGCAGTTTTTGCAGACTTCGCTGGCATGCGGCGAGATCTTCAGGTTCTGCAGTCCGAGCATCGTGAATCTCTTCGAGGAGGAAACCAATGACTCGCCCGTTCTCGTGAATATGACCGAGAAACTCAGGACCGATGCCTTGACCGTGAATCCATTCGTACGAAGTCGTCTCAGCAGCGAAGTAAGGAATCTCCCATGGAAACTGCGCAAACTTTGCCAGTACCGGTGTCTTAGAAGAAGGATGCGATACACGATAGAGTGTTTGGCGCACACGCTCGATTTGGCGGAGCTCAAGATGATCTACCATAACATCATGCCAGACATTTCCAATCCCAGGCAAACTGCTTCTTCTCGTCTCGCAGAAGAAAGGCTTCCCTGTATGCCCGTCCTTTCCGACACGGCCCTCGTTCCAGTCCCCGGGGGGAAATACAGGGAGTTGAGGGAGGAGTTTTGGCTCGTATGTGCGATGTTCAGGGTCTATGAGACCCCCGTCTAGTGTGACGTATCTTACGTGAGCGCCGTCGACGAGGAAGCGATACTCGCTCTTCTCGTCTGATTCTGGGTCTGCGAGAACAGCGAGAAGTCTGACGTTGTTGTTATGTTTCATGATAAAGTGATCGATGAGTAACCATAAAGGTGAATACCCTTATGGTTATGGTTATACTGTATGTATATGTATATCGTAGTGATCAACACGCGATACAAGAGGTTGGTGATGACACGTGGGGGTTATAGCAAGCCACAGAACCATGTGTGGAGCTGATATGTTGAAGATTGATGATTTATAGAGAGAGTGAGCTGAGCTGAGAGGAAGAACGAGTCTATTTATGATTGAATAGTCTATGGAGGGGCTTAACTTTTACAGGTCAGGTAATGCAATGCGTGCGTGCTGCTTCTCGGCAATCTGGACCTGGACTGAAAGTGAGGAGAGCAGAGGTGGGAATTGCGCTTTGACTCGTATATAGTGCCCCAATACTACCTGTACGGTCAATAATTAAGCGGGGGGTTCAGTTTAAGCGTGTCTTATGATTCTAGAGCTGATGAGCCGTTGATTCTGGTCGTGTTGATCAGCACTGGATACTGTAGAGCATCGTAAATGCATGTATCTATCCGTTGCATCATGTCTGCCAACGAACAGGTGGTCAATACATCCTCAGCCCTCCAAGACTCAGCCCTCTCAGAGCCAACTTGGGTCATTTCCCCTCCGTCGATCAACTAACGAACAGAGCGGAGACCATGCCCGGAATACACGGATTAGTGCCGATAGGATTGCGTCTACTGCTGTAGCTAATAATAAGCGATCTGATAGTATGGTAAACTCTTTGTCAAGTGCTCATGATGATCCGCTCAGCCGAGTCATGGCCCTGTCTGTCGTGTAAGTGAGGCGGTTTCCATCCCCTGAACATTGTCATGGGGGGTTGACAGGGGTAAGTAGAAAAAACGCTCAGCCTTTGGATCAGAGAGAAGAAAGAAATAATGAATTAATGCAGAATGATATTGGAGGTTATGCTGGCGTTAGTTGAGCCTCAGGAAAAAGCAAATACGATCATCATGCGCCATGACCCTTCCTTGGCTATGGCTTCAGCTCTAGACTATGGGATGGGCTTTTCATGGGTAGAGTGACGTGATGTCAACACGATCAATGTGCACTTCTCCAGGTTCTTGGTACTTGATTGATATCATGTTACATTCTGACATATCCAATCATGTATTCCTTAGTGATACAACGTGCATGCATCGTTGAATGGTGTCGTACGATTGGTAACGAGACGTTGATCGAATGCCTCAAATGGTCGATTGATGCGTTGGCATTGAAGCCACGGCAGATAACTTTTGGTTCTTGTTCCTCTTTTTATTCATTTATTATTCAACTTTGTATAGCCATGTATATGTTTCAGCCTTTCTACTGCTAGATCAAGCACAATCTGTCTAATATCACAACAGGTAACATCTTCATAGCCTCATATCATGTCATACAACTCTCTATTCTCACTACGCACATCTACCTCCTTTTATCCATAACTAACAACTCACATCGCACAGCATTCTCACCCCCCGCAAGTCAACCGTAACAGTAACCATCGCTGCACAAACCTCGCCTCGGAATCCATTGATTGGGACATGAATGCACGTCTTACTCTCACTACACTCGTCGGGCTGCAGCGCCTATATGCATGCATCCCTCCTTCATGTCGTTCCTCAAGAAACATCTCTCTCACACCATGTTCAATTGCCATATTTCTGCCTGATCCCGTTATCGTAGACGTAAACTTAAATATCCATCTCTTCAGGCCTCATCCCAAGAGATAAGAATATTGTCCTGCATCATGTTTTGCTGATTTTGGTGTCGTTAGACGCCCCCTTTTGCACTTTTATATCAATGTTTTGACTCTATTCTGCTTGAGATCTGTGAGATTTAATGTATATCCCTATATCCTCGCCTCACCTGCAGGCTGCCCGACGCCATGGATCCCCAGCCATTCTTCATCCACTCACGAAGCCCTTCAGCCATATTAGCCCATATCCCACTCTTATAAGGAGACAATTCTCTGATAACCCAACTACGAATAACAACATCAAGATTGGACTCATTGTGGGCTTTACCCTTGCTGCATTCCTGGCCATTGTCATCACCTTTTTGTACTTCTACTACAGATCTGCACGGTTTACTTTTAGGAAGAAGAAACATCGCCGGCATCATCATCACCACCACCATCATCATAGGAGGCATAAATCGATGAGCAGTGGAGGCTCGAGACATTCCGATAGGAGTGCTGCTCCTGCGGATGATGCACCTCCGCCTCCACCTGATAAGCCGGCAGATGGGTAGCAGGGGGAGAAGCCCTGCCTTTTGGTAAGTGAATACTGTCCTCATACTTTCACATACATGAGAATGAGGCTAACTCATGTTTAGAATTCTCTATTTCATGTGTATCCTTTGAGTGTATTAGTGCTTCATTCTTTGACTTCGAAAAGTAGAGTCCCAGGGCATCATGTTTGTGTAGTTGGATTCATGTATCGTATCATTTGTATTCTATTAGCCCGTCTTCGAGATATTCATAAGCTTCTTTATTGTCTCCTCCCGGTATATCATACAGTCTATTGCTCTTCATGTGCAGTGGTCTAACAAACAGAAACAACATCCCTATCCCGCCTATGCCAGCGATGTCCAAACATGAAAGGATTGTTCAGTCCATCATGTATCTGAGGTGCATCCATCTCATTCGGTGGGTGAAGTGGATGTAGATGACAGGGATTGGGCATCTGAAATATCGGCTCCGGTCTTCGAGGGCCTGGACGATGATGTCGATGTCCGTGGTGAAGCCTGTGATGTCGGCAGTTAGGGTGGTGACGGACTCCATGGCGGTGATGAAGTTCACGAGACTCAAGCTCGACATATTCAGGGTCATCTTTGACACTTGCGTTGAAATGTCCTATGATATGACGTCGACGGTGTGAGTGACGAAGACGGTTGTGTCTCTGACTCCTGCTCGCCTTGAGCTGCCTGAAGATGTTCCAGTTCCATACAAATAAGCCGACTCCGATGATAGCGGCAAGGAGAGTTAAACCGACGACTATCCCTATGATTTCCGGAGCTGTGTCTCGACGATGAAGCTTGTGAAGGGCTCTTGATAGGAGAGGTTTGAAGTCGTGAGTGTGATTGTAACTTTGAGTTGTTGGCTTTGTAGTGTGTGTTTCTGTCGTGATATACGGTGCAAGGTGATTGAGGATTGTTGAATTGTGAGTGAGACTGATGGAAGGCATCGCGAATGAGAGAGTGTCTATGGGGATGACACGGATAACGCATTATTGACAGAACGGAAGAAAGCGACTGCATATCTATATACCCAGGGAATAACCTGCTTCCTCAATTGCAGCGACATATCGTGTCCACCATCATACCTCGCCAGTTGAAACTGACAACCAATGACTGATTTCTTTCTTTCATTCTCTACAAACGCCAACTGGCTCCCTCGTCTATATGTACATGCAAACAAGCACCCCATCAAACATCTGCAAAGCACCGGTTCCTTATGCAGTCCATCAAACTTTAGAACATTCTTTGTTGTAACACATATAAATTCTAGAAGATTGCCCAACACGTTTGCAAAGACGCAATAAAATAACAGACCCTCAACCTTGTACCAATGGATATCATCGCATCTCCCTCCTACGATCCCTCCGTCGCCTTCTCTCCTCCGCCTCAACTTCACCCTCCATAACCCCCCTGATCTGTCCCAACGTACTCCCGATGACATCCTGCAACCTTCCGCCCTTTCTCACAAAGCGATCATAAAACTCACAGTCCCGATGTTTGGCGCCTCTTGCGTTCAAAGAGATTATGGTGCTCGACATGGCCTCCAACTCTGTCTTAAGGGTCTTGAGATCTAGGTCGCGCTTGTATCGACGTTGACGACGACGACGGCGGCGCTCTTCTTTGTCATCGTCGCGACGAGGCTCGTAGGGCTGGGCGTAGTAAGTCTCTTCTGGACGAGGAGACTCGTAGTATGGTTCTGCAAAGGTTACGCGGTGACGACGTCTCTTTCGACGTTCTTTATCAGATCCGTATTTATCACCGCCATCTTCAACATCCCCACTCCTCGGTGCTTCTCTGCTCCTCTCCTTATCTTTATCTCTCTTCCTCTTCTTATCCTTCTTGCGATCATCGTCTCTTCGGGGCTGTTCATTCTTGCCGCCAAGCATACCAAGAACGAACTCAGCTACACCACGGAAGTCTTCAGGGTTGATCTGGTTTCCGCTTCGTGTGCCATCGCGAGTTCGTTTCTCAGAAGATGATTGACCCATGGCTTTTCTGGCGGCAGATTTAGCAGCGGATTTGGCCAAATTCTTTGCGAATGTTTCCATGAAGCTGGGATCCTCAGGAGGTCGAGAGCGTGAAGACTGGTCCTGACGACCAAAGAACTGTTCGGCAAAGCGGTCCATTGGTATGTCTTCAGGTACGTCTCTGAGATGGTTCAGAAGAGTTTTTGATATAAAGTAGAGAAGTATGGAGCAAAGATGATGCTCGTCGTCGCTGTCGTAATCGTCGTCTGGGTCTTTAAGGTTGTCCTTGGGTACAGACTTTGTATCGGTTTCAATCTCACCAACTTGTGTCTCTTCTAGCTCGTCCTCAAACTCTTGCTTGATCTCTGGGTCCTTTTGAGAGATCGAGTCGTGAGCTGCAGCAACGCCGTTGCTTTGTCCCTCGACTACTTCTCCAGACCTTAACGAAGGGTTATCCAGGTTGTAAATATGCTCAAAGAACGTTAACAAAGAGAGTGAAGAATAGAGAGAAAGTGCAGGTTAACCAGGCGAACGGCTTGTGTAGCGGATTTGCAGTCGCCTATACATGTATACTCTGTGACACAACACTCCCACAGTGACAGCAGCCACCCGGCTGACTCTGGAGTATTTAAATATGTCAAAGTTGAATATTACGGTGATTTTGTACCCATGAGGTTCCAAGTCAGGTGAGTCGCGTCAGGTTCGTGATGGCTGAGACTGAGGATGATACATTCATAGGGCCTTTGGTCACGCGCCCATTGCGGCAATGCAGGAACATGACCGCGCTGAGACATCACCATGACCAACAGTCAGTACCAAATGATCGTCTTGTTCCTCAAAATATAAAGACATGACTAGAAGAGATGATTAAGTTTCATGTATTTTTTTTAAATGCCTAAACTATCGTGATTGACTTCATGTCAGACTTGTTCATCAGATGCTGGTGTTTTCTGATCCCAACTTCGAACCCAGCCAACCAGACTCCTTGAGGCCTTGCCATGACCTAGACTATCTTGTCAAACAGGCTGCCTGCTATTTTAATGCCCTCTATACTATTGTTCGTATCCCATTTATGTCCTAGACGCCTTGCGAATGCATTCATGCCACAGCCATCATGTCTAGCAATGAGAAATATGCAGAAACAAACCAAGCAATGCATGCAGCAGATATATGCGCCACTACTAGCTCAATAGCTCCTTGATATCTTCGATACGTTGGAGCTTTTTCTCTTCATCACTCATCATGCCCAAAGAGGTTGCTCTGTTTCAAATGTTAGCTACGCTCTGATACTCTCACCATTAGTAAGACTCACATGAACTTCTTCCGCTCCTGGACCTTCAGCATCCGCTCTTCCACACTTTCCTTGACCACAAATCTCTTGACTTGTACTTCCGACTCCTGTCCCATTCTGTGTACTCGATCGATGGCCTGAGCCTCGACTGCAAAGCTCCACCAGGGATCCATCATGAATACTCGGCCAGCGCTCGTCAGATTTAACCCGACACCTCCAGCACGCAAACTTAGCAATAGGATCGTGAACCCTTTTCTCTCGGTGAACTCGTTAAGTACAGCCGCTCGAGCTTTCTGGGCCATAGATCCGTCAAGTCGCAGGAACTTGATGTTCGCACGAGTGAGAGCAGGCTCGATAAGGCTAAGAAAAGACGTGAACTGGGAGAACACCACAGACTTCATCTTGGGATGTTCTCGTCTCAGACTCCGCAATTCAGACATCAGTGCAACCACCTTTGCTGAAGAAGCATTAACACCAACTCGTTGCAGGCTGATCTTGGGATTCTTCGACATCATCATATCAGGGTCATCGTCGTGTCGAACGACCTCAAACAGGTCACGTTTGTTGATCGGCTCACGACAACTGAAACACCGAGGCACTTCGCCTTTGCCAGTCTGATGCTTGATATAATCAAGCAAGCACTTTTTACACGCAGAGTGCCAACACCCAGTCACGGTCTGATCATTCATCGGCTCTTCAAAACATAGAGGGCATTCATTCTCAGCCTCATCACGTATCTGTTCCAAGGCATGAGCACCAAAGGTCTGGTTAGTCTCCTTCGAAGCCTCATCTGTCTCTGCCGTGAAAGAAGTGATAAGTGACTCAAGGTCCATATCATCTGCCAGTCCAGCAGCGGCATCAGCAGCAGCTCCGGCTTCTTCTTCATCTGCCACAATATCACGATTGCGGACGAGGATGGGATGACAGCAAGATTGGCGAAGACGCAGGATCTGTGCAAAGATGGTGGTAAAGGCTTTCATGACAGTACCCGCTTCAACGTTCTGCGAAAACGTTCGTTTCGCTTTGTTGAAGATGTAACTATACACATCTCGTTCCGTTTCCGATAGCTCCACATCAACAATTTCGACTTGCTTAGGTGGTAGGAGCACAAGCGGTTTGCCGTCGGGTGTTTTCATGTCCTTTGTACGTCGTAGGACGAGAGGCTCCAGGACTGTTTGTACAACATCCAAGGCCCGCATAAAGTCGCCTGATTCGAAAGGCACAGTAATAAATGTTCGCCAGAACGAAAAGTTGTTCCAAGGTTCCACGCCTAGGAATCTGACAAGACTAAACAAATCTTCTAATTTGTTGACGATGGGAGTTCCCGTCAGAGCCCATCTATGGTAGGCTGATATTTCGTAGCAAGCCTTTGCAGTCTTGGATGACCTGTTCTTGATATGGTGTGCCTCGTCGATAATAATGCGGAAGAACTTTAGGGAGAAGAGGCCGTTGTGAAAGCTCTTGTCTCCGTTTCTGGCAGCTATGCTACTGAATTCGGATAGAACAACTCCGTAACTGGTAATCACCAGGTCCGGAGCGTTGGACGCATTGGAAGCACAGCAGAGTGCCTGCAGATTGCTTGACTTCTCGTTGCCGTAGTATAACTCAATCTTCATCGTTCCATCCTTGGAAGCCTTCACCGCTTCACTTTGCCATTGCGACAGTAGCGACATGGGTGCAACCACCAACGTTGTGCATGGCGCATCAAGCACCGATTCTGAGTTCTTGCCCAGTCTGGTAAGCTGATTCACGCTCGAGAGCTCAACAGCTGCTCGGCGAGCTTGAAGCGCGATCTCGGATCTGTGCGTGTGCACCAAACTTAGCATTTGGATAGTCTTGCCGAGACCCATTTCATCGGCAAGAATACCACCCAGACAATGTTGTTCTTGAACTGGGAAGTCAAGGGACAAGTCGCCAGAATACGGATTGACGTAGAACTTCGGCTGTCCCTCAACCTGAGGTACGTTTTTATCATCGACATCTTTCAATGGCCAATCGTACTCCTCCCAAAGAGGGTGCATGGATGGCTCCCGGTTGCTTTTCTCGTCCTTCTCTTTTGCCATCATCCAGTGTAGCGCTTGTTTCTGATATGATCGCAGTGTCATAGCAAAGGTATCTGCTGGCTCCGCTTCAGGAGTGCTAAAATCGAAGGACTGTGCCTTCTTGTACAGCGCATCAAGCTGATCCTGTTCCAGCTCTTCTCCTTCCTCGGTCTCGGACGACTGGGATGAGCCGGCTTCCTTACCGTTTCCATTTGTATTCCCATTTGACTTCTTGGCCTCCTTTTGCTTCTGTTCGTCCTGCTCAGCAGCTCGGAGTAGCCCCTTACGGCCATCTGTGGCAGCAGAATTCGACATAGTGGGCTGTAAATTGATCTCTTGAAATAATTTGACCAGTGCGACTTGTCGTAGTCGAAGTGTTTTCTCATCGTTCGTCTCGTTTTGTTCGAAGAAAGCAGCCGATCGGTCGTCAGCAAGTTTGAATGAGCGGCTGAAGAAGGCAGAGTCGAGTAGTGAGCATCGCAATTGTAAGAAAACCGTGTCGTTCGTTCGGAGTCTCTCAGGGGCGTAGACCACAGTTCCTTCGAATTTGCACACCTTTTCGTCGATCAGAGCTGAAACCCAATTTGCTGTCTCCTTCGCTAGCCGTCCAACTTCTGATCCATTTTGAGTGGTGAAGCGCACGATAACATCGACTCGCCTCGCGGCGGCGGCGGCAAATCCTCGCGAAGGTGTAACTGGTCCGGCCTTTCCCTTCCCTCTGACAGATTGGGGTGGCTGTAATTTTTGTCGCTCGATTTTCACGATATCGCCGTGCTTCAACACGTTAACTCCGCTTCGTGTGGCCCATCCTTCAACACCAAACGCTCCTATATATCGTTGTTTTGGCATTCTTTGGCTTGTCTTGATATTTGGCTTGCGTTCGTTGGGGACGCTTGGCGACCGACTGGAGCTGGCGGTAGAGACAGGCCTTAAGGGTGCTTTCCATGATGGCTTCTTCACAAATTTCTTGTATGTTCCATCAAAGTACATATTAACCGCTCGTTCGAGATCGTTTCCGCAGTGGTCTCTTATGGCCGAGAGAACGTCAGTAGAGACCTTGTCCCCGACGAAAGCTTCGAATGCCTCTTGATCAAAGGAGACAGACGACTCCTGTTGGAGCGCCGGTGGCCGTGACGGAGATGTTACAGGGAGATCATCGTCGTGTATTTCGTCTAAATTATCTTTGTATTCATCTTCTTCCTCGATATCGCCTTCATCTTTAAAGAACCGTTTCGGCTGCGGTAGTGGGGACTGGTCATGAGAGACAGGGTCTGAAGAAAGTTCGTCTGGGTCTGCAAAAAACCTTCTTCTTTTCGTGGGAGGTTCTGGATCTATATGATCATCTGGGTGATTTTCTTGGTAAGAAAGTGTCATGACTAAAGACCTTTTCTCATAGAGTGTTTGGCCAAAAATGTTGAAGCCCCCCAAAAGAGCTCTTTGAGGTCGAAGCTGGGAGACGCGACAAACCCTTGCAGGCGCGACTGCGCGTGGCAGTGTCACCTGATCCCGTGTTTAAGTGGTTCCTTCCATCTCGTCATTTCGTGTTAATTGGTGTGGCTGATGCTGTGGCGCGGTAAAGCTCGACGTCATGAAAAATTCACTGAAGGCGATTGGAAATCCGACGTCTATGGGTGGCCGTGTCTAAGTCGCAGGGCCGTCATGCCCATTTTATCACGATCAATTGCATTGTTATTGAGATGATAACGGTTTTTGAAAGACAATTGTAATTCAACAATCGTTGAGGACTCATCATTTTACAATGTATCGCCCAAGACTATTGGGCCAGAGCCTTCGGGGCTTCACCCACGCCCGAACATGTCGCCGAACATATATCACAGATGCTGATGTTGAATCTGCAAGAAGATACTGCTTGACACAGTTACAGTAAGATGAACTATATTCTGAAACAATATAATCTGACATTTCTTAGAAACAGCGACTATGATGCTCATCTCATTCGCCGCTTCGTCCCCTCTCCAGTACAAGACACCTACGCTGCTCTCCGTACCCTCAACCTTGAGCTTGTTCGTCTCCCTGAGCTCGTCTCTAACCCTACGATTGGATCCTTTCGAATGAAATTCTGGCAAGAATCCATTGACAACACTTTCGCGGGTCGTCCCCCTCGCGAACCCATTTGCATCCTCCTTCACAAGGGTCTACAAGATCTGGAAGCCCGTGATGGCAATTCTACCAAGAAATCTATAAAATTTTGGATCTCGAGATTAATAAAAACGAGAGAAAAGCATATGACAAACAGGCCTTTTGCGAATTTGGCGAGCTTGGAGGAGTATGCTGAGAATACATATTCGACTCTCATGTACGCGACATTAGCATCACTTCCGCTGAGATCAATGCATGTCGATCATCTCGCAAGTCATATCGGAAAGGCTTGTGGTATCGCTGCGGTCCTACGTGGCATCCCTGTTCTGGCGGCACCTCCTCCTCCAGTAAATACACCTTCTGGTCAGGTTCCAGCAGTGCGAGAGCCTGCACTTCTTCTGCCATTGGATGCTATGGCTGAAGCAGGAGTTAAGGAGGAGGAGGTCTTCAGGCAGGGACCCAATGCTCCCGGACTTCAAGATGCTGTATTCCAGGTCGCGACACGAGCCAATGACCACCTCATCACGGCCCGAGAGATGCTCAAGCGGCTCAAGGCAGGAGAGGATCCAGGTCATGAGTTTGAGCATCAAGGAGAAGCTGAGCATTTGTATACCGAGGGAAGCGACACATTGAGAGAGATCCGTCAGGGATTTGGAGTGCTTCTTGAAGCTATCCCTTCGGCACAGTACTTGCAACGTCTAGAGCAAGCAGATTTCAACCCATTCGCTGTCAAGACAGCTGGCTGGAAACTGCCATGGAGTATCTGGCAGGCCTTGTCTAAGGAGCGAATCTAATATGTAAAACCACCAATCTCGAGATATGTCTCGACTGTACTTTATCAAAAAGCATGTAATATAGAAGGCATCGTGTTTAGATTATCATGAATGACGATGAAATCGACTATAATCCAGCAGTGCATTGTGTTGTGAATAGATAGATGCCCCACTTGACATGAGCTCCCACCATTGAAGTGGCTAATCCTCGGAGCCCGAAATTCGAGATCCGCCAGAAATTCATCCAGCTTGGGCGACATCAAATTGTTCCGCGACAATATCATTCTTACTGTAGATGTCATCACCAAGATGCTCTACGAATTAATTGCAATTGTACGAGTTCCTTCCTCTCTGTGGATGCATTTGAGCTAACCGAAGTCAGGTCCGACCGGGCAGCCTCTCCGAGGTGAAGGAGTGCGTTCCTCACATCGAATCATTAACCGATCTTAGCTAACCAACGCAGAATCGCCCAAACCGTCGGTTCCCTCGTCCTCAAGAATGGCGGTGTCGTCCGCGGTCTCGCCAACTGGGGTGTCTTCTCCCTACCGAAGCCTATCTCAGTGCATCAGATGAAGCACACACACGGCCATTACTTCGTCATGCGATACGATGCCGCCTCAAAGGTTCACCAAGACGTACGAAATACATTGCGCCTCGAGCCCCGTATGATTCGCGCCGCCCATGTCAAGCTCGGAGACGGAAAGCTTGAGTCATTGGCTAGATTTGGACCGCCCAAGTGGAAGACGACTGGTAGTGAGGCATAAGGGGAGAGGGAAAGACTTAAAGATATAAATGGATGGCAAACGGCTTTAATAGCGAGAACGAAGGAGCAGGAAATCATCATGTAGGATACATGAACGATCCTCGAATGAGAGTGTGGGCGTCAGAGTCCGAGAAAAGACTTGGCCCTATGCTTAGGCATCACACGATGCCGTGTACAAAAACGACGCTGCGTCTAAAGACAGCAGCCATGGTTGTATGAAATATTGTAGAGCTCCAAACTATCATTCGCTTCATAATGTACTTGTCACGTTTTCAAGGACCTAATACATGGACGAATCTCACCAAGGGTTCAAGACACAAATCACACAGAAAGACTGGTAACATGAATGTGTTCTATTCTGTTACTGCATGTCTATCATAAGTCATCAATTACAACCACACCGATGGTCCGGGTGCTCTTGGTTAACGCCGTCCTTCTAGAAACGCAACCCGCTTCCCGTGTGTCCGGTTGGCGCCTGAACGATGTGCCCTGCCTGTATACAGTGGTATGTGGATATCGGAACCGAAGTCGCAGGAGTCCATGTCTTCTATGGGCTCCGTTTCGTGTTGTGAGCCAATGAGTGTGCCGCTTCCCTAGTTGTCAACGTCCATGCCATCGGTCTTACCAATGCCCTGCTCACGACACCAATCCACAAAGTCGTCAATCACACTTGGCCACGCGCCATCCTCGTTCCAAAATGATAGCGACTCGTCAGATAAAGACTTGAGAGCGAACTCGAGTGTCATGTTCCACATGTCCTTGTTGACCGAACGAGTCCATTTGGCATTGAGGAAGGACTTCCACAGTTCCAACCAATTGCGGTTTGGTGTCTTCCACTCCATTCCCGGAGGGGCAAACAGGATGTCCCAGTAAACGAGCGCAGTCTCAAGGTTCAGTGCTTTCTGGTCGCCGTCTCGACCAGCAACAAAGGTATGCCTATAAACCTTCTTGAATAGCGTCGGGTCAGAAGAGAGGGATTTGGTCAGTTTTCGGAGATGGGCGGCATGCTCTTGATGTGTCGTTCCAGCTCTGTATCAAATCAGCAATACATCCTACAAAGGAGTCTGGCCATGTATTGCATTTGGTGTCAATAGCAGGCTTGGGTGCTCTCTTACCCAGTCACTTTCCAGCCATCAACGTAACCTTTTCTGGTAATGACGCCCACAGAGGGAGCCTGGAGAAGTTCAAGCGCGACAAGTAGCTCGGCATTTTCGATGTTGACTTGTAGCTTCTCAGTGAGGTATGACATTGTGGAGTCGAGCTCGAGTTTGTCTTTTTCATCGCTAGAGTCTAGTTGAAGATGTAAGCTAAAGAGCCTGACGAATTAAGAGGACCATACACACCCTGCAGTTGAGAGAATAGCTTGTCTAGCGATGCCTCTAGAGGCGACGGGCCCTTATTGTCTCCATTGGATGAAAAGAACCTATTCGATATATGTCAGTCAATGGCACAAGGTAATGTTGAAATAGCGAAGGGTTCCGAGCAAAGGGCCAGTGTAATGGCCAACAATAACTATGCGTGCTGCTGTGGCCATCTCAGCCAACACATAACACAACTATTGAACACCAAGGTGATATACCGAGATTTTGAATTCTTTGGTGTTTGTTCAGATTCCGTCTGATGAGACGATCCAGGGGTATCTTTGCCGGCCTCCTTGGTAGAGGACAAGATAGGAACCCCGGTCGTGATGCGCTTCTTGAAACTTTTCCATCCCATCTTCTTAGCTGGCCGGACTGTGCTTGAGTGACTACAATAGGTCACAAAGCACCGAATGGTCAAGGGCTCTGAAGAATAGGAGGGGTTGAAAGTTTTGTAACAACGTAGGAGGCGTCTGTACAAGCCCGGTCATGGGTGCCAACTACTTCAAGATCCCCATGGTTCTCATCTGGGAATTTGATAGAAGCATAAGCAACGCATATCCTCGAGGTAACGTATTCAAGACCCCTCAATAGCACCAGATCTACAAGTAACCTTGTCTAAGACTATCGGCGTCTTTGTCGGTCATACTTTGCAAATGAGACGGGCAATAGTGGGCCAGGCGACAGTGACAGGATACAATGGGCAAACAATAGCCGGAAGCTGCTCAATATAGACATATCCGTATCCGGATGTAGCAGGGAGCATTGTGCCAGTAGACATAGGCGACGTGTATCATGACAAGCATAAAGAATAGAAAAGACGGCAGTAACTTACGTATCGACAGCTTCGTTGAGCTTGAAACCGGCATTCTTGAGGTACTATTAAAGTGGATGTTAGCAACGCCATACCATACAATCATGATGATACAACTCCTGGCTAAATAGGCGCCGCTGAAACACAGGCCGATGCATCCATAGCCCAAGCCATGCTGTGTAGAGCAGTAGGATGTCGTGAGGTTTATCCGTGTCAGGGACCAGCTTGGTTCGCGATGATCGACATAAGGAAGGTGAACACGGAAAATACGTACACGGGTAGCCTGTCGCTCTGATTGACCAGTAAGAGCTACGAACTGGGCGATGAGAACCTTCTGCTGGGCAGCAGATGGTGGAGGCATCTTGACGGCGTCGGAATTGTCGCTAGTTGGCAAGGCTCTGCAAGGGTGTCGAAATCGAGTCGTCAAGCGGGTTGTTGGCGAGCGTCGGCCGATACGATCTAAATGTTCCACGGAGGATGCTCGGGGTTAGGCTCCTAGTGGTGATCGAACGGTGAAGGTGCTTGGTTCGGTCGTGGTAAGATGGCGCAGAGTGAGGGCCGGAGGGTGAGGAAGTGTTTATCGGAAGGAGTTCCCCATGTGGAGGTTGCGCCGCTGCGGTTGAGTTATGTTCGAGAGGGAAGGCGGAAAGTTGTTGTTGGAGACGAAGGAGAAGTGTAGATGGAGGGGTTGAGCTTTCACTTTGCGACAAGGCTGCGATCTTAGCTGATGGTGGGGTTGAAGTTTAGGTGATGAGCGGGGCTTGACTGTAGATGCCTTACGGGGGTATCCGTAATTCACTTATATCTGATATGAGATGTCTTAGGTCCCTTGACTGATCACACTTATGATAAAGGAATTCTTAACGTGAATAAGATTCTTCATTAATATATTTTAAATTCTCTATTTAATTTTCTTTATAGAATTTCGTGAATGATGAGCATAAGAAGCCTAAAATTCGATTATCGGCTCTGGGCCAGTAGTAGAGTTGTGGAGTCAAGGTTCTTGAGTTCTGGAAACGGTTATTCTGCACGTGAGTCTACGAACTATGCATAGCACTTGAGTTGGAGTTTTCTGATCAACAGTGAATCCTTGTGTTAAACTCAGATGATTCTGCCCTTTAAGTATCTCGCGGAGATGGAGTTGTCATCCATCTATGATGTGTGGTGCTGTTCCCGCACTGTATTCTATACCCTTCAGCTCCGGTTTCAGCGGCTTGCAGTGGATCTCTACAGTGCAAATCTCAAGGTAGCGAGAGCCCCCGCCTGTGTCATGACGTCTAGGCCCAGTCTAAGCACTTGACGCGGTTTTAGTTCACGTCGCGTTCCCAAAAAGATTAATATCAATTAAAATCACAAGCTCCGACGTCCAAGTTGCAACACCACAGCAACCGCCAGACAAAAGGGACTGAAGATGGCCTCACCTCGCGCGAATGAAGAGGAAGATATACAAATTGATCCAGCAGAACCTCTCAAGGGCATCGTCGTCTGCTGTACAAGTATTCCTGCTGAGCATCGTGTAGGTACCGTTCAAACTCGTCAGTCATCATGAGTCCTGTTTACTGACCCATAATGCCTAGACCAGCATCGCTTCCAAAGTTGCCGAGCTTGGTGGTATTCACAAATACGATCTCACACCCGACGTAACCCATCTTATTGTTGGTGACTACGACACACCCAAATATCGCCATGTCGCTCGTGAACGCCCCGATATCAAGGCCATGGATGCCGCCTGGATCGAAGAACTTAGCGAGATATGGAAGAACGACGAAGAGATCGATTATCGACAGCTCGAGAATAAGCACCAACTGAAGCCCCTAGAGAGGCGAGGCATCGATCCTACAGTCCAGCCACAAAAAGGAGAGCCAGCAAGAGATTCGCTGCTGATTTGTTTGACTGGCTTTGGCGACCAGAGGGACGAAATCGCAAATAAAATCACATCGAATGGAGGCTTATATACGGGCGACTTGACGAGACGGTGCACACACCTAATCGTCAACAAACCAGAAGGCAAGAAATATACTGCAGCCAGAGCATGGGGCATTCACCCAGTCACCCTCGCCTGGCTTGAACAATCTATCTCTCGAGGGATGATCTTGGAAGAAGCCAAATTCGACCCGACATTACCTCACGAGGAGCAAGGGAAGGGCGCATGGGTTACAAGAGAACTGAAACGTACAATGAGCAAGCGATCAAAGTCTGCCATTGCAGGTGGCGCTGAGGAGGGCCCTAGGAAGCTCAGGAAGACTGCCAGCATGAAGCTCAGTTCACAGCGTAATAACATCTGGGGCGATATCCTCGGTCGGTCAACATCAAGAGATTATTCCTTCGCTCAGGAAAATAAGGAAGACGGAAACCAAGCTCAGGTCCAACAGCCACAGCGAGCAGAAGCTCAGCCTGAGCCACCAGCTCCTATAGTCCCAGAAGAAGACCAGGGCATTTTTGGGAGCTGTTACTTTTACATACATGGATTCAACGCACAAAGAACTTCTGTCCTCGAGCAAACACTCGACACCCTCGGGGCCACTCTTTGCTCATCATTAAATGAGGCCGCTCTGGGAAGAACTCCAAAGCCACCTCGCAGTCGGTTTCTGATTGTTCCTCAGACATCTCAGCCTAACACTCACCCTCAGGAAACCTACGATAACCTCCATGTTGTGACAGAATACTATATCGAAAAGTGCCTTCACAACAAGCAATACTTTGACCCTGGGGAACACGTTCTCGGTCGGCCATTCACCTTCTTCCCCATACCGGCGTTTTCGGATCTTATCATATGCAGTGCTGCTTTTACAGGTATCGAGCTCAATCAAGTTGCCAGAGCCACTGTTCAGTTAGGAGCCAAGTTTGATGGAGAGTTTCGTAAAACTACAAGCGTGCTAATTTGCAAGGACATCACTTCTATGCGCAAGGAGAAGTTGCGCGTGGCTCTGAAATGGGGCATTCCTGTTGTTTCAGCAGATTGGTTCTGGGAGTGTATCCGTACAGGCTTCAAAGTCCCTCTCGACGATTATATATTCCCTGAGATTAAAGAAAGATACTCAGAAACCTCTCAGCCTGAACCTAGACCAACCTCTAGAACCGCCCCTGAAGCACGATTGCATCAAAAGCCCATGCAGCGCACTCATTCAGAACCGGTGTCCAAGTCAACGAAGAGTCATATCACGAAACCTCCACACGGCGCTGGCGTCGATACCTCGGCCTTTGATCATGATTCGCCTGAGAAGGTCTCTCGAAAAATGACTGCGAAACCTGTCTCGGTCATCTCACCAGACTTTGTCACAGCACGCACTCACCAAACAACAACGAATAGTCTACCTAAGGACAAAGACTTTGACTCACCTCTTGCTGAGGTTCCTCAAGCACGTCTCAACAGATCTCCATCACCCACCAAACATACCACATTGCCTCGCTCTCGCTCCGATTCCACAAGCAAAGTTAACACTACAACTTCTCGCACTGAGGAAACCACAGACAATCCTCCAACTCCACAAGAAAATATACAGCAAGCGAAACAACAGGAAAATGCAGAGCAAGCTCGTCTTCGCGCTAAAGCCGCAGAGCGCCAGGCCCTCTCCTCAAAACTGACCTCACTCATTGAGACCACAACACCAAATCTCCCTTCCTTCGCCTCCGATGAAACCGAACAACCAGCCCCAAGACCTCGCAAGCGTCAGCTATTCGGCCGTGCCATCAGCAATGCCTCCAATGCCAGCAGTGCTGCCTCACGCTCGGCGGCTGAGCTCCACGACGTATTTGGCGATGAGGACAAAGATCCAGAAAACCAAGAATCCGAGCCCCCAGCAACGCAGTTGGAATATCGTGACGATAAGGCGAAGGAGTGTCGAGCTGCTCTGATGAGTCGCATGATGGGCAGTGGTGGTGTCGAGGTGAAGGCAGCAGCGTCTACAGCGACACAAAATATAGTACCAGGACCAACGCGAACATTGAGAAAACGATAGGGATGAATATGTAGAAAAGGATGTATATGCGTCATAATCTGTTCCGAGTTAGTATGTATGGTCTGTTTGATTCAGGAAGAATATGGTATTTGCCACAAGTAATACGATCTCTCTTGGAGATGAGCCCTGTATCAAGACCACATCAGTCCTGTCTAGACTTTTGCTTCGAGACACTTAGTCTAGTGGCTATGAAAGAATTGAAAGGAAATTGAGACCATTTGTTCAATCTAATCGACTCAAGGTATACTATGTAATATGAGAGAACTCCTCTCTAAACGGCTTTTCCTTTCCACCCATCAAGTTCTCTTTTCCATCCTTTTAACCCCGAGCCAAGAAAAACAATCCTCCCGTGAGCACACAAAATCCAGTGTTGGCTTGGTGCGAAGTGATATCCTCTATGAGTGAAGAAAAATACTAGAAACAATAGGAAATTGAAACAAGTCAGATCGTGATTAAAAGGGAGACATGTAGAATAAATAGGGCCATCTTTGTCCCTCAAAGACGGTCGCTTGCGGTCAACAAAATTTATTCCACCAACTGTTGATTAGAATCGCCTCGACCGGGCAATTGTTCAGAAACCACGGAATCCCACAGATTATTGAGTTGCTCACTATTATCCAGGTCAGTTCCCAACTTTGTCACAATTGTTCTCAGGGGTTACACTTACGGCTCCCTCTTGGCCATTTTCATACCCCTCTCTCTACAGAAGAACAGGAAGCGACGCATTGTACGGGCTCGTGGAAAAGATGCCATGACATCGCCTCGAGGCTTGCCATCCGCAGCAAGCTCTCCGGCATCCTTTTTCATAATGATGTGAACACGAAGTGCTTCGATACTCCACTCCATCTCCTCAATCTCTGCGAGGTTGACATGGAAATCGATCTCGTCCCTAAATAAGCCCCATTTCGCAGGTTTCACATCCTTGAGTACTTGGTGTTGGAAACATTGTATCTGACCAACCCAGGTCCAATACTGTGTGACATTGATATGACTGGTATACAACCGAGTCTTGACTACAGCAAGCCGCCAATCGTACTTCGTGATGCTGCCTCCGCTGCATGAATCTGTGTCGGACCAGGCCTCGAAGTGAAATTCGTCATGTACGGGGCTTCCATGTGTAGGCGGCATGTATTTCGGCTTCTTGTTGAGGTGGGTGCTGAATGCTGGCTGGGGCCCAGGGGCGGGGACCGGCGCTGGCGCTGGTGCTGGTGCTGGATAGCTTGGTGGTACCTGGTTAGGAAGAGGAGAGTGGTTGATGAATGAATCCTCCCGGGGCGTAGTAGGAACAGAGTGCATAGACTTCCGCTTTTGGAGAGGTTTGGGTGTATTGCTAGGGCTGCCGTGACTCAAGCGCGCCTTCATGGCTCCCGAAGGACGTCCTATGTTCTTGAATCCATGTTTATAACGAAGACTGGTGAGCTTGGAGTCATGATAGAAATCGTGAATTGTTCGTGGCAGATTGAAGTTGTGACCCTGCGTTTGAATTAGTTCGTGAAGTCGCTGTCGCATCCAGTCAACCGGCGATATGTCAAGATTGAACTTCTCGAGCTCCGATATTGTCTCTGAAAGGCGGAATAGCGTGTCGTATGACGTTATGCCGCCTTTACCGGCCTGGATGTATCTTTTACCCAATAACTGATAGGGACTGATTGGGCCCTTCTCGTGGAATTCGAGAATTTTGATACCGCGGTTGACCTGTCTGCCAATTTGATACTTTGAAGAACCACCCTTATCCTGCTTGGGACCTGCTTCAATGGCAGCCTGGTGTTTCTCACGCCATCGAGCAAGCTGTGGCTCAATGAGTGTCTTGACGTTAGGCCAGTTGGCCTCCCAATAGGGGTGTTCCTCGTTAATCTTGACCAATGGCACCCCGGCGACGCATTCAGGATAGGTGTAAACATTTCCGTCGTTCTTGAGGACCATGTTCTCTCGGGTAATCTCTTCCAGTGGTTGGGCAGGAGGGGATTCAGGTGGCTGCGATGAAGGGTCCAGGGACAGAGATGGTGGAGTTGGTCTTCCTCGCTCGCTGGATGGAGGTCGACTTCTCACATTAGCCGGCGTAAAACCAGCAGCTATGCGATACTCCTGTGAGGTGTGTATTTGCTCAGGCTCTCGTGATGTGTGAGCTGGATCAGAACCGCGATAGTCTCTGGCAAGGCCATCGAGCTCTGTTGATGGATGGAGGATTTCATGAGGACTGCGGCGCAGAACACCTGAGGGAAGCACAGAACGTGGTGTCTCCAGGGGCCTGGGTTGAGGATATATTGGTGTCGGTAAGGGCGAGTCCACAGGGTCAATCATTCGTTCCGGAGCATAATCTGACCTAGAAGCCGTTGTCGGCCGGCTTGGAGGACCATGGGGGGATCCATAGGCTTGTCTGTGGGACATTTCACGAGGGCGTTCAGCGATTTGGATTGGTGCTACCTCGACAGTCCGTTCTGGGGCCTTCGCAGCTATCACATCATGGAATCGTTCATTAGGTCGATCTGGAACTTTCTCGGTTTGGTGTCCAGGGCTCCGTTCTGGCTGTCGTGCAGTAGTCCATCCTGCTTGTCGCTCAGTCTGTGGCGCAGGTTGAGGCTCAACTGGTCGTTCAGGCCGTTGCTCGGGTTGCTGTTCGTATTGCCGCTCGGGCTGTCTTTCAATTTGTCTATCCGGTTGTCTCTCAGGCTGTAGCTCAGGGAATTGTAGAGCGGGCTTTGGTGAAGGTGGCCGATATGGCACAGAAATCTGTTCATCGACTCGCTGAGGTTGTGATTGAGTTGTTTGCTCAGACCTCGGCTGAACTTCAACTGTCTGATGTACTGTTTCTGAGGAAGGGTTTGCAGAAGTCTCTTGGACTCCATCCTCCAGCTGCTTCTTCCGTTGTGCCCTCTCCCTCGAGGCCAGTATGTCAATTGTGTCCCCTGAGGAACCATGGCATCCCTGGCGATTCCATTCACAGTTGCCACATTTCTGAAAGAGATCCCCGCCGACAATGATGCAGTCGTCGAAGGCGCCTTGGTTCTTATCGCAAGACAGGCATCTCTTGGCCTGTATCGCCCCCGTCGCTTGAATCATACAAGAGAGCCATTTGACCCCCTTCGCCTCAGTTCGCTCGTAAATGCCTGCAAGATGTGTAGTGTTGAACCGTCGTCCTCGGCGGATCTTGACGGGTCTTTGTATCTCCAGTTCTTGGATACCCTCAACCCATTGGTTCCAAGGCTCTATTTGTTCCACGGGTCCAATCACATTGCCATCAGCATCAACAATATCAACGAGGCTCGAGGCTCCCCTATTATCGTGGTGCTCAACGCCTTCCATACGATCCTCGTCTTCTTCTTCTTCTTCTTCTTCTTCTTCTTCTTCTTCTTCTTCTTCCTCAGGTCTGTCCGCTACCACTGCAGTGCCATTAGTAGGCTCTACTCGTGGGGTCGGTCCATTAAAGCCTGAGGATAGCTCTGGCAACATTTCAGGTAGAACAATGCCTTCTGATTCGGGTCCGAGATGGTCTGGGGCATCAGGATCCTCTCCTCTCTTTTGTCTAAAGAATCGACGCATCTTGAACCAAATATCATGGAGCGTTTCTGTTCTCTTCTGACGTGACGTGCGGTAGTCCTGCTCAATGCGCTCAAGTCGGGTGGCCTTCTCCTCACACTCATCCGTGGTGCGTGCCAGTTCAGCCTCGACTTTGGCGAGTTCCCTGGCTAGTCGAGATTGAGATTCTTTCAGTTGACTTCGCTGTCCTGTAAGGTCACTGAGTTTCAACCTGACTTCATTAATCGAGAGCTGGAAATCCTTCTCAATCTTTTTGTTTTCGGCATCCTTCTTGCTGCGAAGATTAACCCAGAAATTGCGCTCTGTCTCATCCCAGACAGACTTTTGCTCCCCCTCTGGGAGAGAGTCCCAGACATCTTCCCCTGTGGCCATCGTGGGCCCAATGGTTCAAGCGACTGCTTGTCACGGATCTGCAATAACAAGAAGACTTCAAGGTAGGACCAATATCAGTCGAGATGAAGTATGAGCAGTAGAAGCTTTGATGATTGGATGCATGAACTCGCTACTGTGTTACACGTGACGGCGTCTGGCTTAAGGAAATGAGCAAGCCGCAGACGGGCGAGCGCGTTTCACTACCTAGGTGTTGTGCAGATGGTCGCAGGAATTTGTAAATCAGTGGCTCTGATCCGATTGCCCAAAGGCTGAAATAGAGTCGTGGGGCGCGTGCTGAAAGCGGGTTGCAATCGGACTAAATCACCCCAAAAGTCGAGCTGAGGTAATAGGCTGAAAAAAGGAAATGAGTTGGCGGAAAGCGCGTGAGATTAAGAAAAAAATTACATTTAAATCTCGAAACTCTGATGGAGCGAGGCGTGTTGCGACCAGCGTGTATAGGTCTAAGGAAAGATGATAGTGGTGGGTTCAATAGGGAGGGAGCTGGCCTAGCATGAATGATGAAGCATGAAAGTGACAAATCCCCTGGTCACCCAAAGCTCGTTAGTGGCCGAATTGCTTTCTTTTTTCTCGCGGCCGCTGTCAATGGGCATGGGCCTGTCGAAAAAGAAGCGGGCTTTGGTTACAGAAGCTGGCTTCCTCTCAAATGCCATTCAGCGCCCCAGCTCAGTAGGAACTGCAATCGGAATTAGATCGGTGTCGCGCAAATGAGCCCACGGTTTCGCAGCGCGGGCCACTATCCCCTGCAGAAAGGTACAACCTCACTGAGAAGGGCGTAATGGGGGATGATAGAAGGACGCGATCGAATGGTTTTAGGATGTTCTTGGGGGTAAAGGGGAGGTGCAGCTGTGTTGCACGGTTTGTGGTACGCGATGTGCCTGGGAACGGGCGTGATATGAATGATAAAGTTTTTCTCTGGGAGATAGGCCACGATTGGGGGATTGGGGGCGAGAATAATGTGCGCAAGGACAAGGAAGGACAAGATTGCTTGTGGACAAGGAAGGCGTCGGATAGATTAAGTATAAAAAGAGTATTCGCGAATAAAAGTAAGCTCAGACGATCACCTCCAAGCGGGAAAGTACTGTAAAGTAAAGTCGGGTAAGTGTCAGTGTCAGTGACGTGGGAAGGAGGGTAGATAGATAACGTCCGTCACCCAAAGACTGGCCACCCCCACAGACCGGCCACCCCGACCAAAACACCAAGAACCGGATATCATGATCAATTAACTAATTATCTCAACACCACATTTTTTATATTAAATAAAAATTTAGTCAGTGAATATTTAGATGAAACTGAGTACAAAGGTCCTCAAGTTTTAATTTCTTAACCCTATTTG